CTGAACTTGAAAACTCCCCTAACAGTTGCGGGTAAAACAAACATCCTGCCGATTCCGGCCGGCGAAACAGTGCGTTCCAGACCACACCAGGCCACAAACAGATGAACAGCCTAGTGATTTAAGTTAAATAATAGTAATTTGTTACGAGGAAATCAAGGATGCAAGGCAACAGGTTTCGCTTTCCTAGCCCTGACACGAAGTTAGGTCGTAGGGCGGGCAGTCACTGCATGTCCGAGCGATATTGCGTAACTGGTACCATATTAGCGTTTTGGAGGCTGACACATTACACATACAAAAGAAAAAAATCGGTTTAAGTTGGGAAGACTGTTTCTGGAACTAAACACGACAAACTTACCTTCGGCTCACTTCCGGTACTACCTTCCAGAGCACGTAAACTCCGACGACAGAATTCCAACAAATAAAATGCCTCGTTTTTGTGCTGTGTGAAGCTTCAGAGCAGCCGTAGGCCCCTCTTGTCCTTTGTACATTGAGCCGCCGTACAGACAGGCCAACTGATAACAAGATGCGTGCAGCTTGTGAGGAATCAGTTCCTGCCGTAGTTTTGGCGACCGGATTCTTTCAATGCTTGATATTGTATGACGACCTTTCTTGTCATCATGAGGCGTCCGAAGCAGCCCCGCGTACGCATAGAATCCTTGCTTGTACTTGTTCTGGGGCTCGCTAGTTTCGGGCACCGCGTCTTGAGCGCTCACAATGTGATCGTCGATCCAATTAGTGGTCGTCGAGGTTACGCTCCTCAACGGGCCGAGGGCGGCTTTGGCCTCAGGCGCCAGCTAAAGGCCGGCTGCGGCTCCTTTGTTGCATGCCCCAGTGCTACCGACGCAGCCAAGGTGAAAAAACACTCTCCTCATGGATGCTGACTGTGCAATTCGCATCAATTTTAACTACGGATCCATAGATTATGTTTCCATTCGTTTTTCGCCTCGCTCGCACTGCCTAGCCACGCCTAACATATGGCTTCTGCGGTGAATCCGAGCGGTAGGACCTAATCGCTCGCATAGTCGTCGTTTCAATTGATGTATGTGGTTGGTTTTGGCCGTTTTATCCCTTGATGCATGCCAGCGCTCATATGCAGGGTATCTATAGGTATCCTTGCTATCTCGGCAACAGCGTGGTTACGTAACCACGCACGCGTGCCCTGCGCTACGTCAGTCGTCCCAATCCACTAAAGCATCCACACTCTAGCATGCCAATCCTTTATACACATCCTTACAGTCACTTTCCACATGCATCTGAGCCGCAGTACTTTGTTATATTCTATGAGTCATAGCAATCGAGCTCGCTTCAAAGCAGTAAACCTTCGTATTCATTTCGCCGTCGCCTGCAGACGATTTTGGGCAACAACCCCAATCTCACTATTGCGGATGCGGCCTTTACAAAGGGTACTTGCACGTCCACCATGGCGCAGTGGGGTGTCGTACCTGCCGGCGGTTGGTCGCCTGGCTTCCAACTGGCATCATGGTTTCCGAACGGTAAGAAGGCATGTGGTGGCGATCGCAGTGCATGACCGCCTAAAGCGGGTTTTTCGATGCACATGGAAGTCGACGGCGACCCAGGGTCTATTTCGCGACGCGACGCGATGACGCCCACGCCCGTTGCTGAGCACTCTGAAATGATCATTCACGGCGTCCGCTTCGTAATCCGCTTCGTAGTCCTTAAAAAATCCATCTGACGCGCCGGCACGAGTTACGTGTTAGAGGAGTCAGCGTTGACATTGCAGCACTCAGCATCGACATGTGTGGTTATGCCTCTATGGCTCTTTTCCACATGCATCACTCCTCAGGCTCCCTAGTGCTCAGTTCGGGTGATGCCTCCGCCGCCAACTGTGCGGTGAACACGCTGGACTATTACACGCTGAGCGTGGGTGGCGGCGGAGACGCCAACCTCAACGCGCTCATCCCTGCCTACACCACCTACGATGCCGTGGCGCTTGAGTTTACGGTGACTGCGTTGAAGGACGGACTCCTGGTTTTCAAGTACGCGTTCGGAAGGTGAGCGGGAAACGTGGCCAGTTGCCTCCTCTGGCTATTATGACATCACATGCGCGCTCTCGCGGATCGGTACTTCATCACTGCGTTACACGTGCCTGGACACGCGCCTAACATATTAGGAATGGATGTGCTCTTCCTTTTCACTTCATTCCCCTGTTACTCCATGTACCCTAGGTACTTACATCAAGCTGAAGGCACCAGTTCGCAGCGCCGGCCCTGGCCTCTTACTGCCTTGGGTTTTCCACTAAACTCGACCCCCACGGGAAATACTCTATCCTACAGTAGTTGTACAGACAACGAACAAATAGTTGAACCCGTTGTTATCTCGGCGCAATGACGGGTACATCGAGTGGGTGGACCCCCCGCCCTGTCGCCAACCCTGGCTGTGTGAGCGTGCTCATGAGCATGCGTGTATGTGCATTCCTGACTCACTGAAATCCGCCCGCTGGCCGCTGTGACCATTACGCAGTGACGAGTACACCGAATGGGTGGGCACAGCCTTCAACGACGTGTTCGGTTTCTTCATCGCACCCATCTCCCAGCCCATCACATCCGGGCACAACGTCGCCATCGTTAAGGGCACAGCAAGCACGCAGGTACGGCCTTGTTCCTGTCTCCCCATATCGATGCCACGGGTGCCGCCTCCGCTCCATGTCATGTAACACATTACTCAGCCGCTCACAGAACGTAAGGCCCGTTTCCCTCCAGCAGCACCGCATGCAGCACGCCGCTTCTACCCCGATCTCAGCCAGGGCAAGCCCACCCGGGAAGACGTGACCTCCAAGGATTCCTCCCACCGGGCCTTATCCCTTGTCCAGAGCGGCAGGAAGAAATTTTGACCTTTCCCCTCCCTCTTAGGAACATGCCCTCCCTTCTCCCTCTCTTCTCCCACCCACGAAGAGAAGAGATACATCTTCCCCAACCCGTCCGCCCGGCCTCTTTTTGTTGCAGGTCTCCATCAACAACGTCAACCACAAGAGTCATCAGGATCTATACAATAATAACCGCATTGGCGCAGTGAGCCCGCTCAGGAGCATTGAGGTGCGAAGCTGGTTGGCGGGGGGCGGTTGGCCCCTTACAGTCGGAGAGAGGGGCAGTAGTGGGCCGCCGCTGCCCTGACTGGGCGGAGGCAGGGGCGCTAGGTGGGGCTGCCAGGCACCGTCAGGTTGCGTGTGACCTACGCCCAAATCAGGTGTCAGCGCATCCTGGCAAGGTGGAATTCATTCAGCTGGCCCTAGCCAGCGGTCGTAGTCGGTTACTGCTAGAGATTATTATTGGGCTGGGTCGATGTTGCCCACCAGCATTATGTATGTACATGTCAAACTCGTTCATTTGAACACCATTGCCGAGAAACTGCCCAACTGCGACACAACTGCCCAACGGCCAACAAACCGCCTAGCTGTCCAACTGTCCATTCAGCTCCGAGCCTCCGGGTATCCAACTTGCACCGGTCTTGCGGCCCAGTTCTCCAGCCACAGCCTACTTTGCATGCGAACTGTCTTCCGCCAATGTATACCGCCCAATGCTTGTCAGTAACGTGAATGTTAGCTCCGGGGTCCGGCACCAGAGTGCTGTCGAGGACATCCGGAACAAAACACCTTTGGACTGGCCAAAGCTGATATGGAACAGAGCCACCAGAGCCACAGAGCCACCATCACCACCACCACCAGCCGCACTATCGCTGACTCTCCACAGTCACAAAACCCCTCTTACCTACGGGTTGCCTGCGTGTCAAGTTCCCCACAAAGCAGGCCTTCCCCCACCCATTTAAACCTCTGTCTTACTCCCTCCTATCCCCATATGCAACCCTTCCTGCAGGCTGACGGCTACACCAACCTTCTCAACACCCAGGGCTTCCAAGTCACTGCGAACCAACAGTACCGTGTAAAGCTAGCAATTGCGGATGCCGGAGACCACGTGGGTATACGTCCCTGGGGCCAGGGGCGGGGTAGGCGGCGGGCGGCGTTGGATGAGGGCGCGTAATGAACTTCGTTGCCGTGTCAGTCTGTCGTACATATCCCCCGGCCGTGTAACCCTCTCCCCTCGTAATTCACTTGCATTTGCCTTTCTAGATTCTGGATTCATGGGTCTGGCTGGGCGGCGACTCGCTCATTATTGACAACAGGCCGATCGCCAACGGTACCATCGACACGCCCGTGGACACCACCAACAGCACATGCACCAAGCAGGTAATAAGGATGAGGACAGTTGTCGTAGCACATCAAGCCGCACTGCACTCCAAGACAAACAAAACAACTACCTGGCACTGTTACTAAACACGCTACCTGCCTGCGGGCTGCGAGTTGGTGGCCTGCACGTGTGTACGTTGTTGAGACTGTACGGTGAGACTGTTGAGATTGTACCGCACCTGCTGTTTCGGATAAGTGACGAAGCGTGCAAAAGCGGGCAGGCGCGTCCGGACCGTGTGTAGGGAAATTGATTGCGATTGTTTGGATTGGTTGGAAAGGCCAAAAACCCATCCACCGATGCACGCAACAGCGAACTCCCCAAGCACCTAGGCTCGATAAACCTGGATAAATCGAGATGACAACGGCAGCATGCATGACCAGGCCAAAGCCAAAGCACAACCATATATATAGCTATTGAGGTTAGTTGCACGTTTTTTCTGTTTTGCAGATCATCACACTCAATGCCAACGCATCGTATGACCCAGACTCAAGTAAGAACATGCTGCGATTGACTGATAATGACACCCAGTTGCCGCCATTTGCAGTCCGTGCTGCTGTCCGTTGTTCGCTTGTGCGACAGAACGACACAGCCAGACGAGGGCTGGCGAGTGGCAATTCTCACCATGACACCATGTAATGTAATGTGTGTATATATATATATATTACAGTAATTTTATCTCAATGTATTGACGTCTGTTTGGTTGTGTTCTGGCTTCTGGTTTGGACAAGCTAGGTTCAGCGACGCCTAATTAGGCCACTACCATGAGTTCGCTGACCTCGGCAATCGCACCGAACCAAAATGAAGCAAAACGTTTTACGTGCAGATGATGTACTATCGTACAACTGGACGATCAGCGCGCCGTGCTACCCCACCATCACCCTTAGCGGTGCCGTCGTGACGGTGAGCCTAACGCACCTATCACCGTTGCATGTCGCTGTTCCAAGCATATGCATTCACTTGCATCACAGTGTATTACCACCATGACAGAGCTGATGCTGAAGCTACCGCGTGTTTCAGATTTGGCCTTAATAATGGTTAGAGCTTTAAGTACTTTAAAAAGTGCCGTACATGTGTTGCGTTAGTGGACACAGTTGGTAAACTCAGGGATTGGCTTTTCTTACCACCCTGACGGCCTTCCGCCACCCCGCACGGGCCCCATTGGCAACTGGCCGCGCGCCTCCTCATGTCCTCCAGCTGGATTTGTCCAAGTTGGCACAGAATGTGAGCTACGTGGTGTCGCTGTCTGTGTCAGACGACAGCGATCTGGAAGACATCCTCACCACCACCTTGTTCGTGCCGCCGGGCTGCGGCTCAGCCCTGACCAAGACGTGCACTTCCACCAAGCCCCCGCCTCCTCCGGCCAGCAATAAGCCGTCGCCACCGCCTGTCATTTACGTCGTGAACCCGCCGTCGCCACCGCCGCCGCCGCCACTACCGCCGCCGCCGCCGCCACCGCCGCCACCGATCATCGGCGATTACGTCATTGCCGGCAATGCTGGTGTCGTACCCTGCGGCAGCCCCGGCGTGACCATTGACGTGTGTGCAGCTGACGATGAAATGCTTGCGCAAATCGCCAAGGCGATGGACGGGGATCCGTACACGTTGTACTACATCTGGGCTGTGTTCGATATGTACGATAATGACATCCCTGTTTTTAACAAGACCTTGACCTCCGACCAAGGCTGCATCACCAGCTTCACGGCGACGGAGCTGCACCAGGGACGCTCTCTGAAGAAGTACAAAGTAAGCTCCGAGCGTGCAAGGCCATTCTGCGGACTGCTGCCCCTCCTCTTCCCTGTCTCGTTTCAGCAATAGACCCGTCCCTTCCCGCACGGCGCTCGCGTCCATCGCGCATTTCCATGCCGCTCCAGCCATGCCTCCACCCACCTTCCGCTTAACTTGTCCACTGTTAAGAAGTGTGTAGCTACACCCACAATCCTTGTAAATTTAGGGTTTTAGGGCTTACTGTAACTTAGGAATCTGCTGTGGCAGGACTCCTTCATGATATTCATCGTCTAGGCCGAAAGGGCTTACATTGGCCACCTGATCTGCGGCCCTGCACCAGGCCCTATTGCTCCTGCTAGTGCAAGTGTGTGGCTTGCGCCCGTATCGCACCCTCCACCTTTCCTCTTTCTTAAACGCTTTTAACCCTTTCCTCGCCTTTCCTCCGTTTCATGTAGATCCTAGTAGACGTGACCAACGTGGACACGTGGGATAAGGGCGACGGTGGCATTCTGGGAACAGAAACCTTCATCCAGGTGCTGCAATGCCCCATCACGCCCAGCTGGCCGCTACCTGTCGTACTGTTCGACAGCCCGGAGTCCTTCACCCTCGCCTGCGGTACAACCGTACAGCTGGACGCCAGTACTGCGCTGGCATGGGCCACGGCCAAGTACAGCAAGGTACCCAGCACGCAAGTTCTCCGCTGGTCACTGCACAATGCTTTTGACGTGGTGGTGTGGGCGACGGACAGTGCGCCGCCGTACTATAACCTGGACGGTACGGCACTGGTGAAGAATGGCGCCATCTTGGCGGGTGCCACCTACACATTGAGGCTGCTCATCATCCTAGATACACATGACTTCGACAACGACGCTTGGGAGACCAAGGTGTCTGTCGAGGTGAGGTTTTTTCCTGCGTCCCCTTACCTTCCCTGGATTGTGTGTTCGGCAACCCATAAAAGATGCCTCCTGCCCTGCGTTGGTGGTCTGGGTTATGTGCACCCCGTTACCTTTCCTACCCTGCGCTCAGCATATCATGTGCTACGTTTTACGGCTTGGCGAACTGCCCGAGGACTTGGCTGGGGGATAACTAACAGAGCCAATCGAACGCGACCCTCATGACCTGACTTGGAGGTGGCGGGTGTTCCACCATCCTGCGGCATCACGACCGTACCGTACTGTAGTACCAGTGTCGTACATGCAGGACAACCGAGTTGGTTGCATCTCCGATTCCTTGTTCCCCCGGCCCCTAAAACCCTAAACCCCTCTCCAGGCCTGCCTGTCCGGGGCGTATCCGAATCCACCCCCGCCGCCACCAAGCGCCAAGCCTCCTTCGCCACCGCCTCCCCCGCCGCCATCCCCGCCACCCAAATCGCCACCACCATCCCCGCCACCACCATCCCCGCCACCCAAGCCGCCACCACCATCCCCGCCACCGCCACCCCCTCCGCCGTCCCCGCCACCCAAGCCGCCACCACCATCCCCCCTGACAAAATCGCCACCACCGTCCCCGCCACCCAAATCGCCACCACCATCCCCGCTGACCAAATCGCCACCACCATCCCCGCCACCCAAATCGCCACCACCATCCCCACTGACAAAATCGCCGTCCCCTCCGCCGCCCAAAGCCACGTCCCCTCCCCCGCCACCCCTCGCGACGCCTCCTCCTGTTGTCAACTCCCCGCCACCTACAAGCACGGCTCAGAAGTCCCCACCACCGCTTAAAGCCCCGCCCCCTTCACCGCCCCCTTCACCGCCGCCCCCCAAGCCGTCCTCACCACCGCCGCCGCTGCTCAAACCACCACCGCTCAAGGCACCGCCGTCCCCAGGGAAACTTAAGTCGCCCAAATTAGAGCCGCCGCCCACTCCTGATTCTCCAGAACTGGGTGATTAGTTAAGCGACGGCTTCCGTGCCATATTCGAACTTCTCCGCCATTTAAATAGCTTTGAGGACTGCAGAAATGACGAACTGTTGTACACTTCTCGCGGGGTCGTACAGCGTGGATGCATTTCGCCACGTGATTGATTATGCATACGCGCGTATGTGCGCGAGGGAACCTTTTCGCAAGTTCTGGTCCCCAAAGGAGCACCAAAGTCTTCCCCGTTGTCTTCCCCTAGCTGATGGCGGTAACATTTTTGGTTTGCAAGCGAAGTGCATGGCAGGAGCATTACTTGAGGTCGGATGTGCTGTGACACTGAACACGGCCTCGGGCCGTTGCGCGATTGTTTGTAGATTTTTGGTCTTTTTGTTCATTATGCGCGTGAGCTGTACCTCTCGTGCGAATGATATCCAACCAGGTAGTAGGTATTTTACAGCGAGAGCCCCCCAGATAGACCCCAAGGGAATATGTACCCCAGCAATAGGGTGGTAAGGCTGTTGGAAGTCGCGAGCCACAACGGACCGTGCACTGCATTGCTCTGCCCTGCATTGGGAACCTACGACAGAAAGAAAACAACCGTGAGGACATGTGGCCGAGGCATTTGGCAGTACGGAGCTGTACGGAAGCTTTGTAGCTTTGACAGTGCTGCTCCTTGGACATGGATAAATAAATAGATCAGTTGCGAGTCCGCGTCGTACTCCCGTACAAAGCACGTGCTTAAATAGCTAGCTAGTTGAGCAGCATCGTCGCACTTTGTACGGCGGCATGTCACATCATCTATCCGTACAGTCACGTCACATTTTTTCATCATCACCGTAGATGTATCACAGGTGCTTGCATGGAAGCTTCCATCCCGGCCCACGCCCGCATTATCGTACGTACGCCCTGGGATTTCGGGTGTCGCGCTGGTGGTGGTGGGTATAGAAGTAAAGCGGAGAGACAAGAATTCCGTATGTTCATCAATTTGTGCATTGGTTTAAAGAGGCATGGAGATAAGCAATTGCATCGGATCGATACCTCTAGTAACTGGTAGCGGAAAGTAGTGTTTGTAGTGTGGTGGTTACAGTGTTTTTGTAGTGTTTGTGATTTTGAGTCTTAAAATGAAATCTCCATCCGAATTCACCAGTCGCGTATTGGGGTTCCGTCGTGTAGATGCTCCGAAGCTTTATGGCCTGCGATGACTGCTCCTATTCCAAGGTTGGCCGTGGATTGGGTGGGGTGGCAGCTGTGGTATGCATTTGTACCGGGCATCGTCTGTAGCTATCTGGTCATTACCAGTAAGTAGATATCCAGTTTTTACCTTGTCGTTATCGTTGTCTTGGCAGTTGGGAACGCGGTCCGTGTACGACAAGTTTTTACCCTGTGGCGCCAGTTACGTCGATGGTTGCAGAGGCAGCTTTGACGTTGGGGCTTAAAATGCGATAGTTACACGTGTAAAGGTATCGCCGTTGTGCCGTCACTAGTACGGCCATGTAAGACAACGTCTGTAGTACGACCATGTAAAACGTCAGGAGTACGAAAATGTACGACAATGTTAAATCCCTCGCCTGATAATCCTGACAGATTTCTGTTACCTGTGTTACCTTCATATTTTATGTGCTGTTGCGTACGGCTTGCTGTGGCTTACGTACTCCGTACAGGCTGGCTCCGATAGAGAAATTGCGCCCCACCGTCAGACAGGCTGGGAAAGTGTGTAGACAGGTAGCCCTTGCTGACATCTGCAAAACTTAGCGATCTCGGCAAAGGAACGGTCGGCATTGCAAGTTGAAGCCTCGTCGAGGTTGTGCCTGGTAAACAACCCTTAAGGTGCTGCTTGCCATGGCAGTCGCCTTTGAACGATGGATGACAAAGGAAGCCATAAGTCTACCTTTCTGGCAAAGCAGAGGACTGGCTGCACTTGGCAGAGCTTGCTCGTCCACGTCGGCGCCTGAAGGACCCACATGGGGATGCTTGCGGGTGTACGGCTGTGATTCCTTTGGGAGGACATAATTGAATAGAGGGTTTGGCACCATTGGTAAGGCGCGACCATTGCCCCCGGGAGATCCCGGGATCAATACCCGTTAGGGTCAAAAGTCCTTCCGGTGGTGGAAGGCATTGCGCCCCTAGTTGATGGACGGTGGTGACCTGGGATAAAGTTAACCTGCGAGCCGACCAGGAACGGGGTTGCGCCGCTGTCGACCCGGCAGATTCCGTTGGATGCTGGTGGTGGGTGCGGAACCTGAGCGATCCACTGAGAAGTTGACTAGGGTGACTGGATGAGGGTGCCCCGAAATACCGGGGAAGGCAGGGTTTCGCAGGGTAGCTGCCACGGGCGAAGATACACCCCCCTGTTTCACACATCATAATTGAAGGCATAGGTTCAACGGCTTCCACGCCGTGCATTTAATGTAGATATTTCGGCCATTTCGCCTCCTGTCTGGCTGTCTGATGTGTCTAGCATGCAGCCTGCTGGGTCGAAATTAATTGCGGGTGCCATGTACGGCATTGATATTCGGGTCTTTCCACCTGGCCAACTCGACAGCGTGGGCCCCCGGGGCTAACGCAAGAGGCAGAGAACAGCTAAGTGAGAGGATCTGGTGCTCGGTCAGCTGCCCTAGGCTTTGGGTTCGCACGGGACCAAGGGTCGGGGTTTCGAGTTCCTGGTTTCGCTGCAGGACATACGAGTGCCCTTGTCGTCTCTTAACCACACGCCATAAAGTATATATGATGTAACTTTTTGTATCGTGTTTAAAGAACATAATTGATTTCCTCTACTTATGTCGGCTTGATTCGATCCGTCATCGCCGAGGTGCACACTGTAAGGGAAGACTCTCACCGACTTCCTTTGTTTTCAATTGCATTTACCATAGCGTAGGTAGATCATGAATTGATTGGACGACCTCCTGCAACCGTTAGCAAATGGCGCCCAAGCGGCAACAAAAAAGCAAGGTTGAGGACCTTGTCAACCCTGTAGCTTACAAATCAAATTTACAAGCGCTCGGCTTTCTGTAAGGACAGCTTCCTAAGCTCGCGAGCCGCCTGGTGCAAGCAGTGTATGTTTCAATTCTCCCTATATAACTGACTTCACAGGCGAAACTTTGTGGCCGTCATATCGGGCATTGTCGTCGGGATCTGTGGAGTTGTGGGCTGGCATGGCTTTATCTACCATTTTATGGCGCAATTAGCGGTGAGGAAGTCCTCATAAGACAGCATAGCTAGTGATGGTTCCTCATATGCCCAGAAAGTTTTATTTGCTTCGTGGAAGCATGCTTCAGCCGATTTCGACCCGTGGTACTGTCCCTCCCGTTGGCTCCCACACAGTGTGTCGCAGCTATGTTTCTGAAGGGCTGCACCAATGCACCGAACTACTTCGTATCCTGGTACGTGTGTAAGAGCTCACCCCACGACGGGCCTGGCCTGGCCGCCTCTTAGATCACAGGGGGATCAAGCTTGTACTCCGTGCAATAGTGTTACTGGGGCTCTTTCGAAAGACAAAAAGCATCTGGTAACTTGGGCATGCCCCGTATGACTCGGTATGTAGGTTATGTAGTTGACTATGGATTTGGAATGTGCAGGGTATGGCCTGCGCATTCCATATACCCTGACAGACACCCTATGTGGTTCGTTTACCCTCTGCGTTCTGTTCGAGCTGCCTGGGCAGCTGGCACAATGTTTAAGGGGCTGCCTGGACTCTTAAGGGAGAGGGACCTGGTGTGTCTCTCTGACTTGGTTCTTGTGCCCTCCCCTTGCTGGTCTTGCGTCAACATGTTTTCATCTAGCTTCATCTCATCCTCGCCACTCAGCATGCTTGGGTTCAGTGGTGGTGTGAAAAAGTGAAGCAGCCCTTGCTGCTTCCATCCCTGCTTTTGCCGCTACCAACACTTGCTGAGGAGTTCTTGCCTGTGTTTGCTATGCGCTGCCTGGGCGAAGTAAAGCTCGTGGTTACATATTGGCGTTAACGGCTGCGAATGCGAATGCTGATGCTGACCTGCAGGAACACGTTGCTCTTTTTCGGAGTCTTTTCATCAACTACGTTGCTGTCGTACATCCTCTTCTGGATGATTTTCTATAACATATGTCACGTGTTCTAACGCGTACGCGACGCAAGTGATATACTACGGTTGGAGCGGACGACCGAGGCGATGTACGACGTACGGCGATGTGTCCGGGGGTTCCACCACACGGCGCCAGCTTTCCTTATCGCGTTTACAATGGCTGCCAATGTTCACTGGCATGTAACAGACGTGGCTATCGTGGCTGGTTGACTGATGTAGCTTTTGGTTAGGAAGTTGGCTCATAAGCCGTCCTGACTACCGAACACAGGGACTACACGCAAATCACGTGTAAATAAAAAGCCAGCGCTGCTTAAAGGCCTGGGATTGGGGAAACTGTGCTGTTGTATAAGCAGCTTGCCAACCACATCGCCATTTGCTGCTGCTTTTGCTCATCGCCGTGGCAAATGCCGCCTAGGAATACAGCATAAGCGACGTACCACACCCGCACAGCGGAAACAGTTGGCTTTCGCTGTTGGCTTTCGCTAGATGCCGTAATGGTTTGGATTGGGTTATGGATTTCCGTCCTAACTTAAAACAAGCGTATCTCATGTGCAGCTTCTTTAACAGTGCGATTATGGAGCTATGGCGATGATTAGGGGTAGACACAGATTTTCAGCGCGTCCAGCGCGCGCTTATGTACCTACATGTACGACATATATGCGACACATTTAATACCTTACAGGGCCTTAAGAACGAATCCCGGCGGGGGAATCCGGCACAACCGCCAGGGTAATTTTCATGCACGACATATTGGCACGACCGTGCACATACTAAACCAACCGAACGAGCTCTGTGCCCAATGCGAACACGGTACACGCCTCCGTAGGATGTGACACATAAGTGACGCCGAACAATAGAGCCAACGAAACGAACAGCACAAAGGAATGGCCTTTTGCACACAACCTCCTGCAACCACGTGAAAGAAGGCGAAAACCGTGTGAAACGGTACATACGACATCCTAGATGACTAACGGAGCTCCAGGCTACCAGCTCGCCATCTTGGGCCACATCGCAACCGTCCGAACGAAACCCGTCGTGCGTTCAAGGCGCATCAAACACCCGTGATGCGAATACGTCATAGCACATACCTTAGGCCGGCTCGCAGTATCCGCCCACGTTACCTGTCCAACGTGTCGTCCTAACCTTTTACGGTCAAATGCACACATCCGGCATACCATAAAATTATGTATACCTCTATGTACTGGCTGCCTGCAAACAGCCTGTCCAAAAACTAACTCAAAAAGTGGGTACAAGCCCTCAAGCATAACACCGTCAAGTCGGGAGCCTAACTGAGTAAAAACTACCCACTGAGCCTAACCACCATAACGGAAAACAGTGAATCCTATCGTATATCGCTTGCTCTTAACGGTGCAGAGGTGTCAGACCTGGCAGCGCCGACCGCGTTCTCGGCAATAAGGACTGGACCTCTTTCCATATTCCTCCCAAACCCATTACCATCCCCGGTTCCAGCCAACAGGCATGAGCCAAATAACTTCTACACCAAGCAATACATTCGCCAAAATGCCATGCGATCCAAGGCCCCATGAGATCCACCTAAAATCCACAACCCCCAACGGCATAATTGAAGCCGCCAACGGTCAACGAGCGCTGAACACCGGCCACCCTCCCTTGCGACCGGACGACGGCACCATCGCTGCCGTCGACCGCGTCGCTGCCTTCAACACGAAATTACCAGGGCCGCTTCTCGTAGGCGACCATGTCGTGCACATTGCCTTCGGCTTGTGCGGCGTTCGTACGAGCCTCCATTCGCATGGAACCGTTGTACAACATCTCGCGTGCCGTGGAGATCGAATTGGCGCCGAGATCCTGCAGACGGGATCGGAACACGGGAGTGGAGACCAGCAGCAAGGAAGAGTCGAAAAAGAAATCAGTTGGACGCTAAGGATACCTAAACATAACGACCTGAACCGAACAGAACATCCACTACTCCCTGGCTGCGGCATACCGCTACGGATTCACCACTACAGCTCAGTAGTCCGATGACGAAATGCCTGCGCGCGGCCTTGACCCAACTACCAAGCAGCCCTCACTGCAAAACCTCACCTGGAAGCCCTGCTTGACCGCCTGCGCCAGGAACGGCACCGTACGCCGAATGCTGCCCTTATCCTTGACCGCTCCAGACACGCCCTGGGCAATCTTAAGGCTTTGCGTGTCGCTGTGGTACCGTGTCTCGCTGCCTTTGGCCATCGCCTCCAGCGAGCCCATGCCACGGTACTTCTTCACGCGCTGCCCGTTCAATGTAAAGTACTCCCCAGGCGCTTCCGTCGTACCCGCAAAGAGCGACCCGCACATGACGGCACTGGCTCCCAGTGCAAGTGCCTTGGTGATGTGACCCGAGTTTTGGATGCCGCCATCGGCAATGATCGGCACACCGAGCTGGTTGGCAACGCGGGCGACGTGGTAGACGGCGGTGGCCTGCCCGCGACCCACTGCGCAGACCTCCTGGGTAGTGCAAATGGACCCAGAGCCCATGCCAACACGGAGACCGTCTGCACCGGCCTCAATGAGGCGGCGCGCTTGGGCGCCCGTGACGACGTTGCCGGCGACGACGTCCAGACCAGGATGGGCGGCCTTGATGTGCTTGATCATGGCCACCTGCGCGAGTCGTAATCGATCCGGGAAGGCAAAACCAATTCAAGGTTTATCCGCCACAGCTGCTGTGCAACAGCAGCAGCAGCAGCAGCAACATCCCGTTTTCACGTACCTGGTAAGTCGAGTCACCCTGGGAAGAGTCCAGAATGACGGCATCCACCTTGGCAGCCTCCCACAACAACTTCACACGCTCCTTATCGCTGTCACGCGTACCCACAGCAGCACCCACGCGCAGCTTGCCGTTGCCGTCCACAGAGGGCGCACCTGGGGCCGGGAAGCTGCGTGCGTCTTTAAAGTAGCCACGTGTGGCGAGGGCGACGAGCTCCCCGGCGGCGTTCACAATCGGCAGCTTGTTCTTTTTGTGCTTCTTCAAGACAGCTGCGGCGTCCTCAGGGGTGATGCCCTGTGGGTGATTAGGTGGGGAATTGGTAGTTAGTTGAATGCGGTTGCCTGATTAGTTGTAGTTGCAATTAGAGATAGTGGACTGGGGTCGAGGAGCGTTGCGGCAAGGGAAATGTGTACAGGAGCAAGGGGGAGCAGTCGATCGGGACATGATCGCTGCATGAAGTCGGCTTTGGACGGTGAAATATACTCAAACCCTCAGTCACAACGCTGTCAGTCAAATTGCAATGTACACGGGGTTGTGTACTGGGGGCCTCCAGCAGAAGCGGATTTATTTCGGATTTCATCACGAGCATTTCGGAATTTTCATAAGGAGCACATCCAGCGTCAGGCGCCGGGTTGGCCTGGGCTTAGCGGTCTAGAAACCTGGCTGGCGGACGATGGTCCCAGAGGTAACCCGGGAGTTTATGCGTGCTGCTTTTGCCCCTGTCCCTAATCTTACCTCACACCCTAGCTTCCACACTTTTCTCTTCTCAAACATCGGAGCATCTGGAAAACAACTTTAGCTGAAAGAACCCTCTTAACAGCCGCAACCCACCTCCGGCGCCGTGATGAGGTCCGTGGTCATGATCTCGCTGAGGGGTGTCAACCTGTCGTTGATGAAGTCAATATCGCGCGTGGTCACCACGCCAAGCAGCTTGCCGTGCAGCGCGCCGGTATCTGTCACGCAGACGCTGGAGAAGCCGCGTGTGTTCTGCAGGGTGTTGTGTTGGCCCAGAAAACACAGACACGTGTGTACCACCGTCGCCATTTTCCCCCCATCGCGGCTCAGATCATTAAAATACGCACATACACACACAAGCGCGCGCGATGTGGGACGTGGCCCAGACAAAGCAATTGGCGAAAGGAAAATCTTCCAAATGTGTGGCCGTGATACGATGCTGGTATACGGAGACATTCTGAAGTTTGCAGATGCGGATACGTTATTAGGAGACATTGACAAGGCTGTAGTGCGTGCGACTAGGTGAAGGGAGCTTTCAGCTCATGCGTCACGAGAGCATGTGCCATGCTATGCCTGCTGACCTGACGACACGCGTGTCCTGAAATCGGACCCACCTTTAGCTCATATAGCTTGTTGACCGTATCGCTTGGGCTAGCGACCGCAGGGGTGACAATGAACCCGGGGACGTGTGACTTAGCCTTGAGGACCTGCGCCAGCTGCTCCTCCGCGGTGTTGTTGTAATGGATAAATCCCATACCACCCAGCTGCAGAGCCGCAAAAATAGACAGTTAGGATGGAGCTTTCGTGGAGAGGTGTTGCATGACGGTCAAAAAGAGGAATGCGTACCGATGCCATGGTTATTGCCATTTCTGCCTCCGTCACAGTGTCCATTGGCGAGCTGACAATTGGGACGCGAAGGGATATGTTTTTTGTGACGTTGCTGGAAAGGTCGACCTGAATGCAAGATCGTGAGTTATGCTTGCGCACTCTGAAAGGCAATGTCGGGGAAAACGTGCCCCACAACTTCGCACCTCGTGGGCGGCAAAGAAAATATGACCCGGGTGGAAGATAACATCGTCATATGTATAGCAAACGCCCTGGTTAAACAGCTGGGAGGAACTGAAGCCTGCGAAATGAAGACGAAGCCCGTCAGGCAGCGTTGCCGAAAGTTTCGATCAGTACGCAAGCCGGAGACGCTCACCATCATAAATTGCGTCTGAGTAGCCGTTCTGCATTGTGATGATTTCTGTCGCTGGGCAAATTGCAAACTAGGTGAACACCTTTCCACACAGTGGCGGCCCTTACAACAAGTCTTTGAGCACTGCGTAAATTAATAATCATCCACGACACTAAGGCTGGACGATGATAATTGCGAATTGTGCACACGTTAATTAGGGCATTTGCATCACATGTTGGTTAGGGTCGTTAGCGTGAGGGCGTCGTACTCCACGCGGCCGTACAAGCAAGGCGTTTTGCGGCAAGGCTTGGCACAGTGTAGACATCGCTCGGAAAGTGCCCAAGAAAACCTGATTATTATAAAATGCCTGCCTCAACTGAAGCGGCCTTTACTTCAGGGCAACACCGAGGTAGGACGTGGATGGCTTTGTTTGACAACTTATCCTACTGCATCATTGTGGTGTCTGCTCTATAAGGCCAGAAGTGTTATCAGTACACGTCTTCAGCCATAGGTGGAATGCGTGATGGTGTCGGGTTGTCTTCTTCTAAAAGGCATCTTCCGGCAAGCTTGTCGCACATCACTATAGACGGAGATTTTTTCCTTACAGATAGATAGAACAGAAGCATTGAAAATGTCTCAACATGACTGCAGAATTGAGTGTTACATTCTACTCGTACTGCAAGTTTTGCAGTTGGCTTGCAACCGGAGTGCTCGCCAGTCGTTCGATCAGAACGAGCGAATCAGGTCCTACTCTTCATGAGCCTGTGACTAAGAATGTTTGATGAGGAACTCTTATCCCGGCCTGCCTGCGCATCAGCAGGTGAACAGCATCACAAGAATCCTTACCTAAGGGACCTGCTCAGGTTTTCCATAACCCACATTCCCCACACGGTAAGGCTGCAACTAAACTGTTGCTTTACTTACGCTTTACGTCCTCGGAGGCATCTGCTGTCGGCACACATTCTGCAAGATCATAGATCCCCCACGCTATGCCCTTGCCAGTTGAACAGCGCAAACAGCCAGTTGACCTGCGCAAAACCTCTTGCGGCGCAACTCCAAATCGATGACCACCTCCTTTCTCGATGCCTCAACCCAACGATACACAAACGCCGGCTTGTTGACCACACTGCCCAAACCAGACACAGCGAGACAGCATGTGGTGCATGTAGGGCCCAAGCTCTACGAAAAGCACCACTCCTTGCCTACACCTGACACCTTACGGCCTTGCATCTAAGTTTGCACCTCGCACACTGTTAGTATGAGGACGAATGGCCGCGGGGCTCAACAGCCTTGGGTGCTGATTGCAACGGCAATCAATTCGCGTCCGCCGTAACCAGCGTATATCAAACTGTCAAAAGAAGCCCAGCTGCTGTTAGACCAACGGCGGTTTCCAGTATAAAAAAACAATTATGTGCAGCTCACTGGTTGCAACCGCTGATACGTGATTCAAATGCTGTCGACTTCACCTAAATTTCCCTAGGAACTCATCTTCGACCCCGTCCACGACAATCGAACAAAACCAATTGATTGACGACATAGAAGCGGCCTTCAATGAACACAGCAACCCCAGTCGACCATGAAGCCATGGCCGTGCCAAATGCTGGGAGAACACTCACGGAACTAACACCCCACGCCGCGGGAACAACAACACAGAACCTGTTAATCAAAGTGTATACAGTGAAACGGGGCCAAACCTTCCCAAAGGAAGATGCCGACCTAATGTAACTCTCTCCATCGCCCTTTTTCAGCACTCCGAAACCTACACAGGACAACGTAGGACCATATTACACTGCACTCCGCGCCTTCATCCTGCGGTAGGACCGCATCAAGTCCCAACTAAGCGCATTCGAGCAACCAGCCACATGCTTCATCTCCCTCTCTCGTTAATTTGCTCTTCCTAGAAACCGGCACGCACCGGGGGCAAAAGCTAAGTGCGGCAGCTGCAACGCGCAGGGGCTACAGCCTTCTCACGCGTTGGTGTAGTCGGGCCGGTCACTTTCCAGAAGGCTGCAAGCCAATGAAACAGGGCAGGGCACGATCAAATTAAACTCGTCATAACGGGTGTTCGGATGATCCGCATCCATATCGCCTAAGGATGCCGTAAGAAGACGACGCCAGCTTTAGTCTTGCTGAGAATTCCCCAACCAGCATAATATTACCTGCGCGAATGCTTGACAATCGCGCGCCCAATCGCGTTGATCCAATCCTCTTTTTCCTTATCGGTGTCGGCAATGAAGAACATGCTCTCCGCGTGTGTCGAGATCTCAAAAGCATTTGCCTTGTTGATAGTGTCTTCCGCGCCTTTAATGGAAAGGCACTTGTTCACCTGTCGCGGGACAACCCCAACCCAAAACCCTCGATGAGGGATGCCTGTGCAGAAGGACGCGACTCCATCGCAAGCCGGATGCTAAACGTGGTTCAAAAGGCCATCAAACCATGATCGAAACATCGAATTTGCCATGAGAGGGAGTAAAGCTGCCTTCAGGGTCAACCGGGAGGGTTGAGGGCACGCTTCCGGAATGGAAGACCCTTAGCCTCCCGCATGCCAGAGGATAATTCGTAAAAAAGGAACGTGAGCTAAGGTGCTGTCGCGTGCTATCGTGATTAGCATGTTCAGCAGAAGCTGCCATGTTGGTGACGGGTCGTCAACCCAGGCTATGTAGACCAGGGCCATGCAAGAACTGTGTTTTCACGTGCACCCCGTGTGCTCCCAGGACCTTGCGAACGCTACGTAGGTTCTCACGTCAATCACACCACGGGGCACGGAGTCCGGCGTCACGACGTCGCTCTTGAACCAGAAAATCTTGCCCTGCTTCATTACGAACCACCTGGGCAAAGCCATACCCGGGAATTTAAGGTAGCCAGGACGGCCATGCAATGATACAAGTATTATCTTACCTTCGTCGCCAAGTTTTGATGTATTCGCCTGAGAGATGCAAATAGGAAAATATTTAGCAAGGGCTTTCACGCAATTCCGAGTACGCAATATCGGTCCCATGTTCTAACCTTGTTTTTGCATCCAACCACAACGCTCAGGAGTATGCCAAAACTCCACTCCACCATATGTCTCCTTGGGGCCCCTGCCCCACAGCGCCTGCATTGCTTAGGGCCCCGGCTCGGCTAATGAGAAATTTAGAGGTTATTGTCCTTTAATAAAGACAGATAAAGGCAGACGACGAAGCCTTAAGTGTTCGAGAACGCGGCCGCTGTCAGATGGCAGCACGACCTAGAAATCAAAACACTGGGAACGAAATCCGTAAGCACAACCTACTTACTTCAACAATGGCTGCGCGTGCGTGCGTGTGTACTTGAGTAAACGCTGTGTATGAAGGTTATCCAAAGCTTGGCAATCCTCCGAAATCATATTCCGTACAAGTCCTTCGCCTGGCTTGTTTCAGTTCAGAAGCCAAATGCGATTGGACTTCCGACTCAACCTGCACCTCAACAATCCTTTCTGAACTAGCGAAAACATTAAAATGGCTCTTTCACACGCCTTCCCGGGGCCCGGCCCATCACAAGGGCACATAGTACAAGGCTTTGATTTAACACAGGTAACTTTACTTTCGTCAACAATATTCCTGAGTGCGTTGTTATTTGATGGAACAGTCAGACGGTCGATGTAACACCTGTGCATATGGGTCACTGCTGGGTCACTGTCACAGATGAGTGGCCGCTTTGGCGGTAATTAGTAGCCCCAAGCATGATGCTCTCGTCCTTAGGTTTCCAACCCCCGTAAGGGCTCCCAATATAGGACGGTTCACCTGCTTCCTGGCAGGATGACGATGGTGAGGAGGATACGATAGACGCCTTGGAGTTGGTCGGCTCCTTCCGAACCAAAGTTGTTGGCGTCCGTTACTATAATGGAGAGGCAAACAAGGACGAGGTATGTACCCGTGCACCTTTTCACTTTGCACGGCAGCGTGCTGCGCAAGCTATGCATATGCGATGCCCTGCAAACCGTGCCGATATTTGGCGTAGTATTGTGTAACATTTGCAGATGGTCCTACTGGTACGGGAGCCCAACAACCCATATGACAGATGGTGCGTTATTGGGGTACCGCAACCAATGTTGTAGCAGGAGGTGTAATTGTCTCAAGACTTTTCCAGCGTCACCAATTGTACGACGAACAGCAAATTTTTATTACTTATAAAAAGCTAAACGAGCATATTCATTACTTTTTTAGGCATGATATATTCGCTGACATGCTGGTAAGAGGAGGGAAGAGCAAGGGAGAAAGCGAGGGGAAAGAAGGGAGAGAAGGAGAAGGGGGGAAGTAAGCGAGAAGGAGAGGGGAAAGGATTAGGATATGTTGTGAAGCCCCGCCCGGAGGGGGGGTTCGCCATGCTCTTTAAAGCTGATAATGCGCCTCTCGGAGCTGTTGAAATGAGGGGCGGAAGACGAGAGGAGACTGGAAAAGAGGGAGGGAGGAAGAGTCTGCGCATGCCCCGGAACGGCCTTTATTCGCCTAGCTTCGTAGCAGTGAAAATGATGATCAGGCCAGGCCAAAACTTGAACGGTATGACCGGCGGCTTGCCATGTCCAATATTCGTTACACAGTTGCAAAACGATCTCCAGGCCATAATTGCAAGAATCATTGCAACATTTTAGGACGCCAAAATTTCTGTTACCAACTTTTACTGGTATTGCGTAATAACCATGTATGTGGGAACAAATCCCTCTCCTAAGGAGCTTAAGTTCATCTTTATTATCTGCTTTCCCATATGCCTGTAAACGAAGCGAAACGGGATATGCCAGAAAACCAAACGTCTCTCCACTACACACCTACATCTTGCAGGGCAATCAGGGTTGACAACGTGCGGGGAGAAAAGATTGGCCACATTTCCCGCGAGCAAGCAGCGGTGGTGAGTCTCTCTCGCTCCTTGTGACCTGCCTTGCTTTGACCTGGTTAGCTGCTGCCGGGGCTCGCGCCGCTGAAGCAGGTAGCTGAGCATCTACGTACACCACTGCAACAACCTCCCGACACTTGCCTGCGACTGTGTGATGCGCATGCTTTGTTAGAAGTCAAATCGTTATTATCATTATTATTATTATTATTATTATTATTATTATTATCATTATATTATTATTATGCTATATTATTATTAACATTATTATTCTTATTATTATTTTACAGTTATTATTTCTTGCTTATCATTTCTTATGTTCACCTTCATGTCTTTGACCTCAGCACGCCCCGCTGCATGCCGCAGATGTCACCCTTAATCGACCGGGGCCAGCTCCGCATTGAAGGTACGGCAGTCTTGTCCCCCGCAGAGTTATAAACTTCCCTAATCCCGATCTCCGCTCAACCATAACGCCTATGACAGCATATCCAACACAGTGTCCGACCTAAACTCTTCACTTCCTTGTAAGGGGTGGTAATTCCCCTTACAAGGAATTACATGGCCACCGGAAGAAATCCACCCGCCCAGTTACACCAAACCTGCGTAACCAGGGAGCGACAACGTATGCCCAGCACTCCCATCTGTACATCATCTGTACTTAACGACTTCGCCAGCCCTCGCCTCGCCTATTTGAATCCGGCGGCCTTGATTCATGGACGTATGCAGCCTTTTTTATCCTTTTTTGTGTCCCCTTTTCATGTTTTTTCCGTGTTGTTCCGGTGCGCGATCATGCCGGGCAGGTCTCGTGCAAGGCGCCAAAGGTGCCTTCACGATGCCCATCGACTTATTTTGTTTCACCTCGCCCGCTGACGGGGAGGCGGTCGCCAAGCGTCTGCGCGGCGGCGGCATCTTGCTGGTCAGGAGTCAAGGCGGCCGCGGCGGACCGAGCGGTGCCGGACAGGCACAAGGCAGCGCGGCAGGCACAAGGCCCATGACGCAGTCGGAGCTGGACACGTCCCTGGAGCGTATGTTCGACGGTGGGATTGGCAAAGGGTTTTGTTTTAGGAGGAGGGGTTTCGTGCTACAGGGTTGCCTGTGCGCTGTGGCCATCTCTTCAGAACCACGCAACTCCCCACAGCCAACGGAATGGTTCCACATATTGGACATTTGCAGAGTCCGTATCCCGCGCGGCATGGGTAGCTTGGTTTTAGCCTGGTTGCTTTTTTGCGGCTGACAGAGTAGAGACATTTTAGGTGATTCAGCTTCCCACACTCGCCGGTTGTTGTATCACGTCTTATCGCAGTAAAAGAACCGATCGGCGGATGTCAATCCCGTGATACCCAGGATACTACACCGGTTATCCCTGGACTGGGTACCCATGTCCTATGTCCCGTGCGTATGATTGCAGAGGTGCACACCACCGGCGCCCTCCAGCCCGCCATGGAACCTGACGGGGAGGTAGGAAAGGAGCGCGCGCCGATCTGAGTCCATTCCGCCCCGCAGTGTACAAAACAGCTTCAAAGCACCCAAACCCAACACTCAGTCCGCTTCTGGTGTGACCCGTGGGTCAGTCAAGATTGCGTTGCCCGCCGGTGTGTCGGCAGGTGCTGTCGCGTCTGTATCCTCACCAACGTGTGGCGCTGGCTTGGATGGTGACCCGCGAGAACGACTGCGGTTTGCCGCCGTTTTGGGAGGAGCAGCGGCCGCGCGGCGGCGGCGGTGTGCGCTATCTCAACACGCTGACAAACTTCTCGGTTTCGGAGAAGCCACAGCCGCTTCGGTGAGTCCTGTCCTGTCCTGTTCTGTTCCTCTGTTCCTCTGATCTGCATCCTGTGCATCCTTCCGTTCGTCCCTCAGAAAGTGTCCGCCTTAGCCAACCTTCGCTTTCATTTTATGATTCGCAACGCACATCCTCATGGCTGGGCATGTTGACAGTTTTATCAATTTTGAACTTCCGCGCGCAAGTGTCTCTCAAGTAAGACCTTCGCATCCACCGCGCTTCCTGTTCGTTCGTGTGCTCTTTTTCTTTCTCATCAAATCGTCCTTCCGACGGCTGTACGGCAACACGACAGAGGAGGCATTCTTGCGGATGACATGGGCCTGGGTATGTGGCTTGGACGGGGCCGGGTAAATATTGACGAGACCGACCGATGCCGACCTGCTGGCATGCGTGCGATTTCTGAAATTTGTGGTCCGCACGGCATTTGTATAAAATAGTGTTATGATCGTAATGTAATACCGCGATCGATATCATAGCAAGGAAAAGGACCTGGGCCTTTGCCTGGATTTTAGGGTTGTTCGGATGGTAGGATGCATGCATGTCGTCCTCACACTGTGTCGGGTGGTGTGGAAATCTCGGTCGCAGGAAAAACCCTGACCCTGATTTCGCTCATCGCGACCAATCGGCCGGGCGTGCAGCTGCCCCCTTTCCAGATGATCAGTCTTGGTGGGGAAGACAACGACGGCAGCAGCGGCGGCGGCGGCGCTGCAGCAGCCACTGCAATGGCGGTCGCGGCGGCAGCAGTGCCGCCGCCGCTGCAACAGCAGCCAGTGGCGGCGGTTGTGGCAGTAGCAGGGAAGCGGGGCAGGAACCGCAAGGCCCGCGAGGCTGCCGCAGCCGATGCTGACGAGGACGACATGCCGCAGCCGAAGCGCCGAAAGGTCAGATGACCGACGGAAGGAACGCTAACGGGCTAACGGCTAACGGTAGATGCCGTAGCTGTCCTGAACTGCAGCACTTCCAGAACTATCCACTTTCAGACTAGCGGCGTTTTGACTTTTGTCCTTTTATATCCGATCTTTCAGCCTTCCGCACTAATCCTGTCGCATCTTATTGGGATCGATTTCGCTTTGGCCAGGCTGTAGCTGGAGCGTCAACGCCAGGCGCCGCTGCTGCCGCCGCCGCGGGTCCCTCCACCCCTGGAGCTGCCGGCGGCCACACGTTATTCGCAGCGCCACAGCAGCCGCCGCGCCCCGACGGGCCGCGCTGCACCTTGATTGTGTGTCCCGTATCGGTGATGTCTAACTGGGTCTTGCAGATTCAGGAGCACACCGCGGGGAACCTGAAGGTGCGCCTTGCGTTGTGTGCGCTGTTTCGCGTCTTGCGTGGTTGTTACGGAGGGCTCCAAACTCGTGAAGAGTAGAGCCAGCGGGCCAGCTGGCCGTGTGCGCTGCACTGCACTGCACGGCACTGTCTTGTGATGTGACACACAAAAAAGCTGTCGCGTGATGGGTGGGGCGTTACTTCTTACGATTGTTCAGGCAGCATCCGTTCCTCCCTGCGCTGTTGGTGGGGTGTGTGTGCGTGTGTGTGCACACGCGCGAGTTTGTGAGTATGAGAGTACATATGACGCATGCCGGGAGCCTGTCTACATCACATCTCCTCCTCCTATTCCCTGCTTTGGCGCGGCCCGGCCCCATTCCTATCTCTCATCAAGCCTCCTGCTCCCGCACCTCTGTACATTAGAAGGGACCATCCCATGACTTACTTCAAAACACCACCACAAATGCGGTTGTCTGTCGCACTCCAGTCACCATGCCGCCCATTTCCTTGTTCCGCATGCGTTTGAGGCACGGTGTATATGTATCGTATATCGCATCCCGCAGGTTTATCAGTACCACGGTCCCGACCGCTCCCGCTCTCCCAGCTTCCTGGCCAGTCACGACGTGGTGCTGACCACGTACTCCGTGTTGGGAGGGGACCTGGCGGATGGCCGGGGGCTGCTCAGTGTCAAGTGGCTGCGAGTGGTGCTGGACGAGGTGCGTGACATGGCCGATGGTAGCTGGCAGCTGGCTGGCTCGGGAAGGGAGGGAGGGGATGGTAGGGAAGGGGAGGGAGGGAAGGGGAGGGAGGGAAGGGGAGGGAGGGAAGGGGAGGGAGGGGAGGGGAGGGAGGGAAGGGGAGGGAGGGAAGGGAGGGAAGGGGAGGGAGGGAACGGAGGGGAGGGGAGGGGAGAGTCCTTTCCTGAAGAGACGGACGAGCTGAAGGAACCCTAAGCCAACCTAGATCGACGCTCGCTAACTCCAAGGACAGCCCGAGCGAGAGTATTTTGAATCCCAGGAAATGGCTCCATTTAACTTCCATGACATGGAGACAATTGCACTACATCAATGGCATGGATGCCAACAACCCGGTTCTCCTCCACATAACCCGTCGACAGGCACACGCCGTCAAGAACCCGCGGGCTAAGTGGAGCCAGGCCGCTGCCAAGCTAAAGGCGGAGCGCAAGTGCGTCGCTGGCTCTTACAGTAGACGTTGTACACCCTCGTTGGACCACTGGGAGCGCATTGCAACGGTTGCTCCAGGCCGTTGGGGTGAACCTAAGCCGTTGGGTCGTTAGGGTGGTTGGGTCCCTCTTTTAAGACCTGTGGGGGGCCCCCTAGCACCCGCGGGAATGGGTCCCTATGACCTCGCCTAAGTTTCTTCCCTGGCGTGCCCTAGCTGCAACGATTTCGTATTTCCTTCACTTGATTGGAAGTGATTGGAAGTGTGGGAGGGGGCGACTTTGCCGTAGCCTCTCTGTATACGAGTGGGATTGGAGGATTTACAGATCCTCGGCCTTCGCTAAGACGCTCGTGAGCGGCCGACGACGGACGGCACAGACGGGCATATTCATGTACACAGCGAACGTGTGGGTCCGACAGAAGAAAACACCCGTTCATATGGAAAGGCAGCAGGACGATGGGGTGGCGAGCGCGAGCGTGAACGCGAACGCAAGCGCCGCGGCCGCTTGCACGTGAACTGACCACATCGTTTCATTTTGCGAGCGCAACGAATGAAACAAAACAAAACAAAACACAGCCAACCACCTGCCTGTGACCCGCACCCCTACGCTATACCCCTCCTCGTCAGGTGGGCCGTTACCGGCACCCCCATACAGAACCGCCTGCGCGACCTGCACGGGCTGGTGTGCTACCTGGGCCTGGAGCCGCTGCAGGAGCGCTCCATCTTCACTCGCGTGTTGGAGCGGCCGCTCAAGGACTGCGACCCACGGGCCGTCAAGAAGCTTCAAGTGTTGATGCGCACCATCGCCATGAGGCGGACCAAGGATCTGCAGGTGGGGGCTGCGTGCGCATGTGCATGTGTGTGGTGGTGTGTGTGTATGTATGTGCGTGTATGTGGTGGTGGGGGGGGAAATGGGAAGAAGCGGCAATACATTGGGGATGAGGGAAGATAGCGGAGACGATCGGAAGGGGATGATAAGAAAGGGGAGTGGGAGGGGAAGGAGGCAAAACGTCGACGAATAGGAGGGGATCGGAAGGAGGGAGGTCGTCAGCTAGCTCCACCTCTACGGTTGGTTCATGTCCAGTGCTACTACGGTGATGGCAGGATTCGCTACCGCACCGTTATTGCTGTTTACGACGTAGACTATGTGCCCTTGCGCCTCGCCTCACCTCACCTCACCTCACCTCACCTCACCTCACCTCACCTCACCTCACCTCACCTCACCTCACCTCACCTCACCTCACCTCACCTCACCTCAGATTAACGGCAGGCCGCTGGTGGTGCTGCCCCGCAAGACCATCAACATCGTCACGGTACACTTGACGAGAGAGGACCGTGTCAAGTACGACGCGTGAGTCCACGAATCGTCGTGCAGTTATCCTTTGGCATGCCATGTACTTCGCATGTATTTCCGTGCACCCGTGCACGAGCTGCGCCACGGCATAGGTAGGCACACACGCGTGTGTATGTGTGTGTGCGTGTGCGTGTGAAACTCAGCGCGTCGCATCGAAACGTAACGGGGTACGGCACATGTTACCCCGAGCTGGGGAGTTAGGGAGCTAGGGGTACGACTGAGGAAAGTACCGGCGTGCCTATGTGGGCCACCTGGTCTATGCGGAATCCAACACAGGCGGGGGTCGCCGCCCGGTACTGTGGCGCTGTTCACTTTTCCCGGCCGCCTTTTCCTAGCCCTCCCATCCTTGGCGCCTTTTCCGTGTCCGGCCGCTGCATGTCTCGGGCTGCAGTCTCGAGCTGCAGGGCCGTCAGGTCATTGCACACGCGCTGCAGTCCCAGACGTTGTTGGAGAACTACATGAGCGTGCTGGAGATCATCCTGCGCCTGCGCCAGGTGTGCGCCAAGTGTGCGTGTGGGTGTGCGTGTGGGTGCAAGAGTAATCACGCCATGTGCGGCGGAGGGGTGGGTGGCTGGGGGGTTGGGTGGGCAGAGGGGGGTATGTGTGAGGAATGGTAGGACTTGGAAGTATTGCCGGCATAAGCACTGCACTCCTGATTGGTGGCCCGGGAAGTATTTTGCTTTTGGACTATAATAGCTTCAATATGTTTAGTAAAATACATCCAGAATATTAATAAAATATTCAGAAATATATCCTGGGGTAAAACATCGCCAGCCAAATAAAAATGGAGGATTTGACGGTGGGCCTACGTATTACTGACGTGATGCTAAAAAAAATATTATTTTGACCATATTTTGACCATATTTTGGCCATGTATCATGTATAGCGGCGTTTTTTCTTCTTTAGGTGGCGGTCTGTCGGTCCCTGGCCCAGCCGCTGGGGCCGCTATCCCCCCATCCTAGACATCAGGAGACTCTGAAATTGCTTCTTGGAGCTACCGACCTCAAGAGACCCCAGCATGCAGTTGTATGTAACTAAACTTCCTATCCTTGTCTGGGCCCTTTTTCACGGGGACCGCAGGTGGCGGATGCGGGCTGCCTGTGCACCCGTGATCCGCTGCCCCTTACGGAGGCAGCCGCAGCCGCAGCCGCACCAGCAGCAGCCGGGGCCCGGCAGCAGGTTGGCCCAGCCCTGACGGATGCGGAGCGGCACAGCCTGGTGGAGCTCCTCACCGCGGGCCTGCAGGTTGGGACCGAGTGGGGGAGGACAAGTGCAGGGGGAGGATTGGGAGCAAGCGGGTTGGGAGCCCTTGGCTGGATGGGCAGGCAAACAAAAGTTGGAATAATAGCTTGCACCCGGGTCTGGCTTGGGCTTGGGCTTGGGTCTGGCTTGGGCCATTCTCGAATTTAAGGGCCTGGGCATAGCTGCCGGCGCTGCGGGCAATGGGGCGCCACGATTAGTCCCCCTTTCGCATGTTGGAGGGTTAGCGAGCAGGCTACTCTTATGTTTCCATGTTCACCAGCTTAATCCGAAGTTGACCCGCGAGCCGCGACGCTTGCTTCCTTCTTCGCCATCTTCGTCGGCTGGCTTCTTCTTGCTGGGGTGGCCAGTTAAGAGGAAAGGGCTGATCAGTGGCCCTAACGGGGCCTATAGTGGGTATTTGGGCTGATTGAGGAGGCCGAATAGCTAACCCTAAGCCTACCATCTAACCCCTTGGGAGGCCTTCAGGCCTTAGTGGTCCTGTTCCCATTCCTTGGAACAACCCCCCCGCTAGGGCCGTGTCCGTTTGGGTTCTTCTTATGTCGGGCCATGCCATGATTATAGTCCTTTGTCGGGCTAGCTTTATTTTTTTTCCTTGCCCCATCCCTCGTCCCCGTCCCTGCCCCGCTCTCCTCTCAGGACGATTGCCCCATCTGCATGGAGTCGTTGAATCAGACGGCCTGCATCACCCGCTGCCGCCACATCTTCTGCAAGGCGTGAGTAGCGTTAGCACACGCACCTTCACTTTTACTATCTTGAGCTTCTCTTCAGGGCGGTTAGCTGCTCGGCTGGCTGGCTGGCTGGCTGGCTGGCTGGCTGGCTGGCTAGCTGGCTGGCTGGGTGGCTGGCTGGCTGGCCGGCTGGCTAGCTAACACTACTCACTGTATTTGCGGCACCATGGGTTGCCTTTGGGACCGACTGGTAAAGCGCCGCGACGGAGGCCTTCCGCTTCAGTTCAAGGGCCTAGGGCCTAGGATCATATGAACTCCAGTTAGCACGGGGAGTTGTTGCTTGCCCAGCCTGAGCCTGTTACCTATCGACCGATGGTAGTTGCAAGTGATGGAGATTTGCGCTTCGTTTCGGTGTGTCCTCGGAGTTGTTTCGGAAGACCTTACGCTGGGACTCTGCTGCCGTCCCAATTATCACACGTCATCGGGTGGATGCTATGCCGGGTGCTGCTATGCACAAGTAACATGAACGCTTGTCTGTTTTTTCAAGAAGTAGCTTTGGCTACTATTTACCCTTGACCGGTAATTTATCTTACTTTCGAAGGGAAACCGTACATAAATTGAAAAGCAGCCACTTTCACCGCCAGCGCGAATCATAGTCTGTCCTGGCCCCCTCCGCCTCCCCCCTCTCGCGGTGCTGCAGGTGCATCGAGAACGTGATCGCACGCGCTGCCGGCCCCGGCTGCCCCATGTGTCGAACAAAGGTAAACAAAAACGTTGTTCTGTTGTCCAAAAACGTCTACCCCTCCATTCCATCGGATCCACCACACCCGGAGCTCTCATGTCGATTTCCCTTTCCTTGACTCCTTGCGCATCCCCCCTGCTTCCCCCTGCATTTACCTTGCCTACCGCCGCTGCGTTAACTTTGTTGCCAGATAACGATGCTAGATATTGTGGAGCTGCCGCCGGATGCAGCCACGGAGCAGCTGACGCAGGTGCGTACCGGCGAGGATTCTGGGGGGGGTGTTTGTCGGGTTGCGGATTGCGCAGGCTGCGCGGTTTCGGATGTCCTAGGTATAGGCTTTTAGAGGTCTCGTTGCTACAACGTGGGTCAAGGGACCAATGGGTGGTTTCGGAGCAGCATCCGAGGTGATGGATGAAGGTCTTTGACGTTTGGAAGTGGCAGCGTGTGCCGCTGGTGTCGAGTGCGCTTACTTTTTGCGTAATCCGTGCACCGTACGTTATATCATCCACTCACCACTCCGCGGCTCGCTCGTGTTTCTCGCTTCGCCCTCCCCCCCAACACCCCTATGTAGGCCGGCAGTGACGTGGCTGACCCGGAGGGTGCCTCCGCCAAGGTGGCGGCGCTCATGGCGGCACTGCGCTCAGCGGCGGCGCAGCAGCCCATGTACGGCAGCGGCGGCCCCATCAAGTCCGTGGTGTTCTCCCAGTTCACAGGTGGGGTCCAGGTGACTGACTGGGTATTGAGATTTCTAATTGCGGTAGTGCGGTATTGCGCTACTGCGGTGATGTCTAGAAGTAAATTTTCCAGGGCTGAGGCGCCTTTGCGTCCGTCTTGCTTGGCTCCTCCGAATCCCTCGTCCACGTCCTTAACTTCCCTTCTGAGCCCTTCTCGTCACTAGCAACTGCGTTTTAGCGCATTGCTCCCACGTGTATGCTGTCCGTGTTATCCGTGTTTCCCCTGTCCTCCGCCTTAACCCCATATCCCAATGTCCCACGTCCTCCACGTGCTCGCACTCACAGGCATGTTGAACCTCGTGGGTCGTGCGCTGGAGGCCGCCGGAATGCGGTACGTGCGACTGGACGGCTGCACCCCAGCCAAGGCGCGAGCGGACATGGTCCGGGACTTTGCACGCCGAGAGCCGGACAGCCCCGTTGTGTTTCTGGTAGGTGTTTTGGTGCACCACATATGTCATGTGCCTATTTTAAGTTTAAAACAGCGGCCTGCAGAAGCCCTGAGCGGAGCATCCGCAAGCATTGGTAAACCTGTAATGTGCTGTGCCGTATTATGTTTCTTGGGCTTGGTAGGCGGAAAGAGCGGGTGACAGGATGGGCGGGTTGGCTGTGGGTGAATACTAAGACAGGTGGGTGAGGCGGAAGGAAGGTGGAAGGTGGAAAGGAGCTGGCATCACCGCTGCAGGTGATGGCGCATGTCCTCGTCGTGGACATGACGCTTGCATGTCCGCCCCAATGGGGACGCCCCTCTGCTGCATCCTGGCTGTATCCGCAAGTATAGCACGGAAGACACGCATACGTTGTCTACACGTTTAGGCACGTGCGCCAACCGCCAACCGCCGCATGCAGGTGAGCCTCAAGGCCGGCGGTGTTGGAATGAACCTGACTGCAGCCAGGTACGGTCTTAAGGCTTGCTTGTGTGCAGGTGTGCAGGAGCGGCAGCGTGAAGGGGGGTTCTTAGGTATGCTGATCGCCAGGTTGGTCGTCTTCTGTGCTCTGTTCGTCATGATACAGGCACACCGTTACCACGAACACCGCAGCCAACGCAGCAAATTTCCGGAGCAAGTCGCGCTTCCCGCGCTTTGCGTATTGCTTTGTTTCCTAGTATAAATCCTTTACCCTCCTTGCCAGGGAGGGTTTTTTAGTAAACATCTGATCTAACCCTTATGTACGGCATCGTACATATTCCTGTGTACTGCAGTCACGTGCACCTGCTGGACCCCTGGTGGAATCCTTCCGTGGAGGAGCAGGCCATGGTGCGCGGGTTGTGGGGTTGGATGGGATTCGGGTGCGGGAGGGGCCCTTGCGCCGCAGTCGAGACTGCATCTTTGGCATCTTGATTAGTATTTGTAGAGGGTAGTTGTTGACTAACGATACATCACGTTGTTGTGATAACGACGCCGTGTGAACATCTGACCTGTGTGCACACACCTGCCTACTTAGTGCTGCATACGCCTTAGTGGACGGTTCTTTGTTTAGTTTTGTTGACGCACGGTTTATCTCCCTCCTCCTTTTCTCTTCCTTCGTGTAGGATCGAGTCCATCGGCTGGGCCAGACCCGTGACGTGGAGGTGAGGATTCAGGATGAAGCGGTGTGCTTTAATAAATGATCATTTGCTGCTGTCAGCCTGCAGGCCGACGCAGCCGCCTTGTAGCTCTCCGCAGTGGCTGCTGTCATTTGGCGTGAAGGCAACTTCCTTGTCAGCCCATGGTGCCCTTCCCTCCGCTCTTCCCTGCACCTCGGCCCGCAACTCCAATCGCCATCCTCGCTTCCTTGCTGCGCACCTCGCACAGGTGTTTCGCTATGTGGCGGCGGACACCATCGAGGAGCGCATGCTGCTGTTGCAGGTGCGAGCAGTCGTAACCAGCTGTGATGCGACATCTGCGCCCTATCCGGGGGAATCTGAAGATAAGCCACGCGGTGTTGTACGGAGTACATCGTGAAGTGACGCACCTAACGTAGCCTAACCTTACGTGAAGGCAATCTAGGTCCGACACGCGAGAGCAATTGACGGAAGGTACAACAGGAGAGCGGCGCAAGCCCGTTGACCCATGGGTCTATTGGTTTCCCCCTTGCAGGAACGTAAGCGCGAGCTGGCCAACGCAGCGTTCGATCGCCGGTCCGCGGAGCAGAACCGCCAGATGCGGATCGATGACGTCAAGCTGCTGATGGACCTCTGACAATTTGCACCTTGCTTCTTGGATTTTGGTTTTCGCAAGATTGTGCGAAGCCCGCGTGCCCTGTGGTGGTGTTATCTGCTTGCCCAGCACCATCCGTGCTGGTCAGTAATGCGTGGTGACCGGTGACCGCGGGCTTTGTTGGAACCGCAAATGGTTGATCCCTTAACGACCCCATGACCTGTTCGCTTGGGTTTTTGTGGGGACGTTGGCTGCAAGGAAGCCCGATGGGAGCCTTGCATTGCATGGGGGGATGGGGTACAAAAATATCGAACCCATTCGTTGCGGTATTGGAGCGGCGGATTGGGGTTGCAAGAGCAGCTTTTTGTTTCTACAAAATGGCACTGTGATGTATGCGAGTAGGGGGGTTATGAATGAGCAATACTCCATCTGCAATGCTTAGGTTTGTGACTTACCTGGATTGTGTTTTGACGCTGGCAACGTGGGAGTGTTGGACCGCACTGGACCACACTTGGTTTCTTAAAGTACAGTAAAGTGTATTGCAGTTGTCCGTTAGTCGAGGCGTGAAGAGGACGATCCTGCTTCGCGGTGGGCGAGTGTTCGTGGGGACATTGGCGATGCTAGTTTTGGCGGGCTTCGGGGGCTGGTTAGCATTGTGTTTCCTTGTTGAAGTCATGCGCTGTCACCAATATGGGAAAGGATAGTGAATCCGACCAGCAATGGAATGACGTCTTTCTTGTAAACGTAATGATATGCTTGTTAAGGTGTTTAGCAAAATCCCGAAGTAAGCTAGGTGAGGTAAGCAAGCCCGTGAACCACGTAAATACCGGCACTCTGCCGTGTAAACTGCACCCTGTCGACAAGTACCTCAAAAAACGGCATCCTGTCCTCGTGAGCGACATCCCCCCCCTTCGCCGTGCACAACACTCCCCTAAACTCTTCCTCACGCCCTGTGTCTTCATTCCCCAATCCTCACGTGCTACCCCAGTGTACGGTATCCCTAGAGGATTACTTCACTACCCACACATCCTACACTTACACCCATAAGGCATTTACAATACTACATTTCCTAGTGTCATGCCCCTGATGCCTTCGCCGCAAGCGCTGGCCCCTGCAGTTGCTGCACACCTTCCTGAGGCTCTTTCCGCTGCCCTGTAGGCGCTGGCAGGTTTACCACCCGCAGCAACCATTCTAGGAAAAAATGCTGGAAGCCCGCATGCGACTCAGACGCGTACACGGGAAACGTCACGTGGGAGGTATCCGAATGGCCATTCAGCAGCGACACCGTCGGGATCTTGCGCTCCGTCGCCTCACGTACGGCATCTCCGCCGTACGACAAATCCAGCGCCACAACCAACGCTAGACGCTCCGAATGGCCCCCGCGTCCCACCGCAGGCTGCACACCTGCTGGAAGCAGCTTTGCCTCCCTAGCCCTTGCTGCTGTCAATGCCTCCACAACCTGCTTGTGATCCCGCGCCCTCTCCCGGTCACGGCGTTGCCGCGACAGCGCCTTGCGCCCCGCCTCCAACTGCTTCATATCCGCGTCACTGAGCCTGGGCGCCGGGTGCCGCGTGTTGTACTCCAGGGAACCTGGAGGGCAGAGCGGGTTGCGTAGCGCTAACCCACGTGTGGCCATCAGCCGGCGGTTGGGCTGGCAGTAATGGGGATCCAGGACTGTTGCCATGCTCCGGTTCGTGTCGGCGAGAGCTCCAGGCTGCCAGTCTCGATACCAGAACCAGACATTGCGGTTGAGGCACAGGTGCGCGGCCTCGCGCATCAGCGGCCGCATGGCGGGATTGGGATTGACCACTAGGACGTGACCGTCGTCACGCAGAATGCGCTGGATGACGTGGAATGCGCGCATGGTGGAAGACAGAGTGTAGCTGGGGTCGAAGAACAGGGCCTCACGACCAAGCTGCACGACGGGTGCGGCTGCACCAGAAAAGAGTGCCGGGTTCAGCTTGCGACCCAGTGGCAGAGGATGCAGCAGCACGCGCAGCAGGGAGTCCATGTCTAGGCCCCTTAGTGTGGGGTCATCGTCGCCGGCGTCAGCTGAAACGATCTCGGTCTTATCGTGAGCAGTGAAAGCTTTTGGCACAGAGGCCATGGCCAAGTCCTCTGCATCCCTAGGTTGATTCATGGCTGCGGTGGGTTCAACTTGAGGGGTATCAGAAGCAGCCGGGGAACTGCTGCGCGTGGCGTAGGGCCTACGCTGCACTGCTGAATGTCGGCTTCCGGGCTGAGCGGCCTGCGGTGGATCCGGGGGATGGTCCGATGACGGCGTAACGGAAACAGCAGTTAGGGACCGATGTCAACCAGGGAGGCAGGTGAACTTGCTAAGACTTACATGCCCGCAACCCCCGTAGCTTGTGCTGGCCTCAAAACCCCCATCCCTAGAGGTCAGTAATGCGGTTGCAGAGCCTGCATTGCTTATGACGAACGAGGCGTCAAGTCCTGCGACAGCCGTTGTCCGCAACGCCACTTCCGCTGCAGCCGATACTGCAGGTGCAAGTCCAAGAAGCAATAATGTGGGGAAAGTGCTCCGCCAATCTTTGTCCAACATAGCCCATTTTGTACCTGGACGGCTGAGTGCAAGCAACCGGATCAACATTTTAACTACTGTCTCGTAACAGTTAAGCGGCGTATTGAACGCTTTCGTTGCTCAACTAGCTTATCAATATCTGGTCAGCCTTGATTCGGTCGGCCTCGATTGGACTCGTCACATTTCAGCAGGCGCGGCACAAAATATTGAATGGATTTCACCTTTGCATCTGTTTCTTCTGCGCAAAGTCATAACTTTACATGTACAACCTTTGTGTGATTACTCGGTACGGCTTCCATGCTGTACGTACATAGGTTATGCGACACCCTAGGCGCCAGGGCGCCACGAAACGGTTTCACATGGAAGATCGCGTGACATCCATCCCGTCTTGACAGTTCTTAGTGATGTTGGGATGCTTCAATTGAGGCCGCGACAGCTCACGTGCCCGTGGCACCATAGCAGCAATCTTCCCCAGCAAGGCGGAATTCCCAATAAGAGCATACTCGCTGTCCGAGCAACACTGAACGTTCTTTTAAAAAAAATGATTTCCTCCCTCTGTGATTGCCGCCATGGTCATCCTTGCAGCTAAGCGTACCCCATCATCAGGGATATATGGTGGGAGGGAAGGATGGATGGAGGGATGGATGGAGGGATGGATGGAGGGAGGGAAGGTGGGAGGGAAGGACGGATGGAGGGGGGGATGGAAGGGTAGAGGAAAGGAAGTATGGAGGGGGGAAGGGAGGGAGGGGTGGTTGATGGAGGGAAGGATGTATGAAGGGAAGTACGGAGGGAGGGATGTATGAAGAAATGAAGGGAGTGATGTATGTATGGATGGCGCCAACAAAACGTGTACGCAGATCTGGGAACCTTTCGCCGCTGTGACAAGATGCACGGCAGCGGGTGCACAGGGAACCAGCAGCGGTATCAGCTCAGCTTACAGATACGTGAAATACAGCAGACAGCTTTCAGGCTTATTGAAACATCTCAGCAGCACTGTCAACCCCGCATAGATGTGGCTTGATCTTCCACGTTAAACCTTGGGTGTTGCTGACATACCTAGAGATATAAGCATGTGATGAGGTCACATCATGGAAGGGCGCATGGAATGCCTATGATGACCTTTTGTGCGCAGGTATTCAATTCCCCGGTAGAACACCACATCCCAATAGTAGCATCGGCGTATCCAGGTATTTTGGTTGGGGAGGTTTAGGTGGGCACCTGGACGCTAGGAGAGGCACTGACACTTTTTGCCTTTACAGGACCCGACAACCATGCAATGTGATTGCCACAATAGCCAGTGGACCTGCCGGGGACCATTTTCGAATTTCGAACACTGTAACTGGCGCGATTGTGATGTACATAACTCCACATAGAGCAAACTTGTAAAGTAGCCATTCGGTTTGTACCTTGCTCGTACCGCAATTCCGAGACAAGGACAAGAGTCCCGCGACAACAACATGGCGTGTCGTCTTTTGCTTTTTCTGAGATATAGTTTCCAGTGTGACCACTGTTTTTGCTGCACTGTACCAAAGACCCGAAACCCTTATTGACGCTCGAAAGACGTGAAGCACGCAAGATGGCTAGCAAAGAGGAAATGGAGGCAGCGTGTATGTCATTATTCATGGGAATTGGTTTGGAGGAGACTGTCGCAAAGTAAGGCGTTGCGCGAATGCATCGGCCGGGAGATGTCGTCAGCGCCGACTCGCAGCTTTAGTGTTTTCCTCGGTCGCGCTTGATTTACTTTATGAATTCACGCAGAAATGCGACACGAAATGCCAAGTTTTCAAAGACCCTTGAGGAGGTGATCCATGAAGCGGGCGCAGCATCAGGCTGTCCAAAGGCGAAAGGCAATCTGCTTTACACAGTTGCCAGCAAGGTGCGCTCATAACCTCAGAGTCGTGCTCTTCACGCATATTTTGCGTTGTGCATCGGCGGCTGTCACGGCGAGACCATCGGTGGCAGGGCGCTCCCCTTAATATCCGCCTTGCTGAAAGGTCTTAGCATCGCATCATGGCTACTCATCTTGTAATGGAAACTGTCTACTTACTGGTGGCGCATGAGCGTGTGCGGACTAGCAGGACTATGGCCTGGTCTTAAACCAAGCTCTTCAGGAATAGGATTAGGACCCCCTGCTTGCTCGGGTTGACCGATCATCTTATGGGGAAAGGGTCATAGTAGGGAGTCACATGCAAAATGCAGAGGATTAGGGGAGTCCTGGGTTGCATTGCATACCTTCGGTCCCCCACCGTCGCGGTTGTTTTGGTGTTGGGTGCTCGGTCAGGAGACCCCGAACTTCCAGCCTTGTATACTGCTATTAACTTGGGTCAGTACCCTCTTTTTGCCCCCGGCTTTTTGCAGTTCCCCGCAAATGCGCTCTGTCACCGACCCATGCTTCTGGGCTACATCATGTGTGAGCACATGAAGGTGTGTCAGTCAGGGGCACACACTCAACATGCCGTCTCTTGATTGCGTCCTTTCCAACGGTCCCAACAGCCGTGCATGCCTGATCCTGATCAATGGAGGGGATAAGAGGTTCCCAGTGGGGGTTGCGGACGATGCCTCCTTTATTTTACGCATAGATTTGATCTGGGTCATGCATGTGACCAACCCAGGACCACCAATGCTGCCGCCTGAGAGGGCGCTGGAGGAACAGGATCCAAACAGGATCCATTCTCGCTGGGTTATGCCAAACCCATGCCCTATCGGCTTCCTGCCCTCCTCTTCTTTCTTCCCAACGCAGTCTAATGCCCAGCTGGATGGTGCCTTTGAGTACCTGCGAAAGGTGGGAACTACGGAGGTTGACAAGAAGGCGCTGGAGGAGGCCAGCGGGGTGGGCGTCGTGGTGAGTAATAACATGTCCGCAGGTGATGACGTACAGTTGCATTTCCTTCTTGCTTTTACCCGCCTGGGAAACGGCTATGGGCTCGGGGAATAAGGAGCCGCCCACGGCGCCCATGGATCTCCCATGTCTTGTCTTCTCCTCTGGGAGTCGAGAGGAGAGGAGAGGAGAGGCACGGATGGATGTCTTATGGGGGGGGCACCAGTGCCATACTGGTGGCAATGGAGCACGAGGCAGCTTTGTGCGGCTTTAGCTTTGCCAAGAACACTGAATTTTCAGGATGAGGTTTGCTGAATGTTTTGGAATCCTTGACCCAGTCAAGGATGTTAGGATCCAGGGGTGGCAGTGTGTGGGTAGGGTGCGGGTGCGGTAAGATTTAGGAAAGGTGGCCGCAGACCGGGCTCTCAAGACGCATGGCATAACACGGCATAACATGGCATGGCATAATGTGTGTCAGAAATTCTCTTTCATAGGATCCAAGATATATGGCAGCGAGAATTCCTTACCAGGCATCTCCACGGGGTGTTCGTTTAGGACCGGCTGGTGCCTAGTGTACACGCCTCCGTCCATATGCTCTTTCTCGGCAAAGGATCCCATGGATTTGGGGGCCCTGTTTTGCGACAGGAAGGGTAGGTCACTTAGGAACGGGATTCCGCCTGACAGGGAAGGTCGAGTTTTTCTTAGTACACCCATTTCAGATCTTTGGCGTCCTGCACAATACGCCATATGCAGGTGACGCCGGAGGAGATTAAGGCAGCTGTGGCTGAGGAGGTGGAGGCGAACAAAGAGAAGCTGCTTGCCGAGCGGTATGTATGCGGGTGGTTGTGAGGGCTTGCTGGGGCGCCAACCCCTGGATAGTGCTGCCATGCGTATCGGGGAGGTGCTGGGTGTGCAAATGAGAGCTATTTTTTCTGCGGACCTCCTCGACGAGGCCCCATGTGAACCCAAATGAGTAAGGCCTCCAGGGAGCGAGTGGCGCATCCACACACGCACACAGCTCCCAAGCAGTACACCGTTAAGAGTGTGCGTCCGGCAGGTCCTTCGTGCTGCCAATCCGGCCATTCATGTTCGGCCAGGTGCATCGTGCTGCCAATTCCTCTATTCATGTTCATGGGCTTCAAGCCGATTTCTGACTGCTATCCTATGGGATCGTTCAAACGCCGAGGGTATAGGCAAGATGTTTCCATTTCTGGGGTTTGGGTTCCGGAGCACCGCCTCGCCTTGTGAACCACCACGTTTCCTGGTTTGGTATTTCAGGTACCGGGTGAACATGAACATGCTACTGGGCGGCGTAACGCGGAAGCTGAAGTGGGCGGATGGAGCGGCGGTGCGCGCAGCCCTGGAGGTGGGGTCAGGAACGCAACTGCAGGCGTGGGCTGCAATTTGGCCGTATTGTCGTCCCTGGTCGCGGTTGATATCATGTCGTCCTTTAGCCGTACCGCCTTGTTGGGAAAGCTTATTCGGGGGTTCAGTGGAGCGTTGAACCGCAGCGAACTACATCTTACTTCCTATCAGCGAATCCTTTGGTCAACAATTGCGGGAACGAATGCGCCGCGCGCGCGCGCGCCGACGTTTAGCTAGGCCTTTTCTTCGCAGTAGCTCAGCATTTGATAAGACGAACGGCATAATTTGGTCGCTTGCAGCATAAAAACACACTTCACGTCCTCGAGTTTGTTTCCACGTGCTCTTCGCTAGAAGAGAGACATGCTTCACTCTCTTGTTAGCTTGTGTCCCCACACGCAAAGAGTATGAAGTTACCGTCATATGGGTCATTCTCATTTTGAGCCTTTAAGCAGGTTAGCAGGTTAGACCCTGTTCCTTAATTCTTCATCCCCAAACCAGAAAACCAGGATAGCCTCTGTCTTTCTACCTCTGATGTTGACCATGGGGCCTCTCTGTGGGACTAGCTGGTGGGCGCGTTGGCGATGTAATATAAGGCGGAGGTAAATTTGGTTGTTTCGGTCTTGAGGGCTGTAAATGGATCTGGGTTTTTCCTTCCTTCCCGCCTTCAGGCCGCCGTAGAAGCGCTTCTGGGCCCCAAAACGGAGGCTGACCTGGCGCCGCCGGAGCCTAAGAAGAAAGCCAAGGCGCCCGCTGCCAAGGTAGGGCCTAGGGTGTGGTCCTGGGGGGGTAGTGCACGCACCATGACCACCATGACCACCATGACGTGAAAGATAAAGGAGAGGGGCTGGCCAAGGGCGCGTGTGCCGTGGCTGTCGTACTTAATCAGGGTCTCGCAAGGTCTTACAGAGGTGGCAGTTTACATCTTTTTGGACGTGTCAACTGATATACCCATGTCTTGGTGTGTTAGCTGGATGCCGTTGTTGTTGTTGCTGCTGCTGCTGCTCTCTTAACAGAATGACGTTGCGAATCATGTATACAAGCCGCGCAGGGAGGCCTTCCTCTGTGGCACGGACCGAGAAGGAGAGCAGCCGTTGAACATTAACACGGAAATGGCGCTCGATTAACCTTCTACACGGGATTTCTGATCCCGTTGAGCTCATCTTAGGACATTTTTACCTGCGTTACCTTTTAGCAGCGCTTGAGCTGTTTCCATAACCCTACAAATTATGGGGGCCGTGGTGGTTTGCGGTGTTGTGGTTTCTTGTGGTGTGCCCTGCAGGAGGAGAAGCCGGCGGAGGTAGCCCAGGTCGCAGAGGTGGGTGTGGTGTTGCCCACCAAGCCGCACCCACTAGGGAGATGGCGTTCGGGTCCCTTGGTTGGGTTTCTGATCTGGGTCTGATCTGGGTCAACTTTGCTTACCAAGCTTAAATGCTTCGCGCCAAGCTTACTTGCCTCGTAGCTTACCAAGCTTCAAACGTTTAGCCATGCTGGTGACGTCGGCTTTAAATTAGCTCGGGGTTAGGGGGGTGGGTCGCAGGCAGTGGCTGGCACGGGAACGGGGCTTAGGTACACTTGGACGCCCGGGATTTGCGTGTGGTTGCAAGAATAAGTCTTATCCGCAGCTGCTGCATTGGTGTCGCCATCGGACTACATTGCCCCCGTGCGCGGGTTCCTTCTTGGTGTGCTTTAACCTCACCCGCGCGACCTCAATGCTGTCGCGAACACTAAACACCTCACGCGAGTAAACGACAACACAGAATTACGCAGATTCATACTGATATTAACTAAGACGAGTAGGAAATGCGGTAAAATGAACGTGGCGCTAAAATGTCGTGACACTGTCGTGGAGAAGCTACGTTTCGTCGGAGTTTTGCGTGGCCCGCGCACGTTCTTGTCTGCTTTATACCCCTTTCTTGTTTCCTTACGTCCATGTCCTTGCCTGGCTGCGTGACCTTCCTTGCTGCAGGCCACCCCTGCCGCCCCAGCCCCGTCCGACGACCCGTACTCGTTCCTTCCCGTCCCCGAAGTCAACAACGGCGTGCACACAACCGTCAACTTTTCAGACGGGCGCATCATGCGGATCGCCAACACGCCTGAGGTACGCTACCTGGTATGCGTCGGCCTTTGTTCATGCACTTGCGTGCGGGCTCCAGGAACAGGAAGGGGGGAAGAGAAAGGGACAGAGGGAAGTCGGATATGAAGTGAAGAGTTTCTTTTTGGAGGATAGAACTCATGGTAGGATTGTTAGGGATGCGCTGTCTTGTGGTCAACTGAGGATCACACCAAGATATATGACCAAGATTAGTTTTCATGGCCATATAAGTCGGTTAGCTCGCACTTACTCCTTACGATATCTTGTTCACGTACGTACGTCCTCCTTAGTCATGTGCAATAGCTGTGCATTACATTCCTCTTTCACCCCTCTCCCTCCCTCCGTCCTTCCCTATTTCATTCGCCCCTGCAGGCCCTCGCAGCCCACTTGTCTCGCACGTCTGGCAAGGTGGTCACTCGCTTCCCACCAGAGCCCAACGGCTACCTGCACATCGGACATGCCAAGGTAGGGTAGTGTAGTAGCTGGCCGCTGAAAAGGCCTCTCGAGATGCTGCTGGTCGCGCTTCGCGCGTATTTGTAGAGCCGTTCTGTGTACCAGCTACTACAGGTAGGGAGTAGGCGAGATTACAAAAATATTCAATCTCACCATTTCCCCGTGTTTGTTTGATTGGTTGGTTGGTTGGTTTCTTATTTCTTTCCTGTTTTCTTCATATAATCCCCTCCTTTGTGGATTACCCCCTTTTGTGGTTCGTCTTTCTCCCCATAATGTGGGATGAGAGGAGGAACGCGCATGTTGGGTTTGCACCGCGCAGTACGGGAGCCTTGTACGGGACCTGGAGAGTCGCGCGGGCGCTCCTCATTTGGTGGCAGTGCCTCACAGTGACGCGGATGTCCTATTGTCCTTCGCGGTGCGTGCAGGCGATGTTTGTGGACTTTGGCATGGCGAAGCAGTACGGCGGCGTGTGCTACCTGCGGTACGACGACACCAACCCGGAAGCGGAGAAGCTCGAGTACATCCAGCACATCGAGGAGATTGCTGGGTGCGTTTATGAGGGGGGGGACTTAACCTTGAGGAGAAGGGGTGCTACCCGCACTGGAGTCCTTTGGGAGGCCGCGTCTGCAGACCATCGGCGTGGCGCCTTCCTAGGTGCAAAGGTCTAGATGCGTACGGGCCAATGCGTGCCTGTAGCCACGGGTTTTACGAAGCCGAGAACACTAGGATGAAGATGGGCTTATCCATGGTGACGACGGAGGCGTGTTTGGCCTGTGACGACTTCTTGAATGGTACCCGCATCGCCCTCTCTGCCGCTCCATTACACCCGTCGTGCCGCTTTGTCCCCCTGACCGCGCTGCGTTCAGCTGGATGGGCTGGGAGCCATGGAAGATCACGTACAGCTCCGACTACTTCCAGCAGTTGTACGATTTTGCCGTACAGCTGATTAAATCGGGCCACGCTTATGTTTGTCATCAGGTTGGTGTCCCGGATTGGCGCTGCTGGTGCTGATGTGCCGACGGGGGTCGAGGGGCACTTCTTGTACGTGGGTGCCTGCCTGTCTTTTGGGGCCAGTGTTTCGCCGACCGCATTCTGGTGCTTTCGAGTGATATCAGGTGCCGCCAGCCCGCCATTACCATTACCGCACACCACTACTAACGCTTCAACAACTACCTAAGCAACCCCTGCAACTGCCACCACCACTGCACACTACTACGATCACATTGCCATGCGGCATTTGTGGACCCCAGATTCGAGATTTGTCTGTCAACCTGATCCGAGTAACATTGGTTTTACCTCTGACCTCGTGTCTGCCGATTCCTGCCAACACGTCACCCACCTACCCATCTTGCCGAATGCCTCCCTGCTGCGTCCCCTTAGCAAAACCCGGCGATAGTGCGCCCACGCCTGCTCACGCACTGATCACCGTCGTGCTTATGCAGACCAAGGAGGAGATTGAGGCCTCCCGTGAGAAGCGCGAGCCCAGCCCCTGGCGGGACCGGCCCATTGAGGAGAACCTGCGCCTGTTTGAGGACATGCGGAGGGGTCTGGTAGACGAGGGCAAGGCCACGTTGCGTATGAAGATGGACTACAAGTGGGTGCGGCGGAGGGGAGGGCGAAGGGGACGGAGTGTTGCGCTTGGGGCTCAGTGTCGGACGCCGTGCGTATCGGGCGTGTACGGCAGCTGTGGTGGTGGCGGCGTAGCGCCGCTGCCAGAGCGTGGTGATTGGGTTGGTGTGTGTGAAGGGCCTCAGGTGAGATGTTGTTCGGGTCGCTCTTGACGGTGCCTTTCCAATCTCCTCCTCCTCCGCTGGATGCCGCCCGGTGTCCGGTGCTCTTCTGTCCCCTCCCGGCCGGCTCAAGATCTGGGCCCGTCCGTCAGGACCCAACTTTGGCCTTGGGTTGAAGTCCTCACGGTTCTTATCCGGCAGAAGTCAGCTTCCTTTGGTGGTTCCGTCCTCCTCACGCTAGCAACGCTTTCCCAACCTCGAGTAATCACGCTCCCCGTCACGCGCTTCTTTTTCCTCCTCTGCTTTTAATCCACAGGAACGAGAACTTCAACATGTTTGACCTGATCGCCTACCGCATCAAGTTCGTGCCGCACCCTCACGCCGGCGACAAGTGGTAAGTCGGGGCTATATGCAAGTGTATGGGTAGATGTGCAACCCTGTGCGCCATCCCCAAATGCAACGCGCCTTCACAGAGCCTTCCATCTTCCGCAATTTCACCAGATCCCCCCCCTGCTGTGATGCTGTAGGCCAAGGCCAGCTGATGGCATCGCAGTTTGTCTTCAACAACATGCATTGTTTTCCTTAGCTGCCAACTGCCCATTTGGTCTGGGATGCCGTAATTTCCGATCTGTCTTCTCTCATCTCATCCCTCCCGGCTTGGTCGGGATGCATGTTGCTTGCCTAGCCAACTCCTTTCCTGCTCAAATGTCGTACCTTTTTCTATCCCTACCATTTACCCAAAGTTCTTCCCGCCCATATAAAACACTTGCGAAGGTGCATTTACCCGTCGTACGACTACACGCACTGTCTGGTGGACTCCCTGGAGGATATCACCCACTCGCTCTGCACGCTCGAGTTTGAGACGCGGCGGGCATCGTACTACTGGTACGGCATCTGCTGTTGTACGCCTCGGCCTTGTACACATTGAGCTTATGTGTTAGAAGGGAGGTCCATAGCAAGCAGTCTGTTCTGGTCAGCTCCATGCTCCCACTAAGTCTGTACATTTATTTGCTCAAATTTTTTGTATTCTTTTGATTTTTGTTTTCCGTTGGGGTCCTTGGCCTCGCTCCAGGTTGCTCGAGGTGCTGGATTTGTACAAGCCGGTGGTTTGGGAGTACTCGCGCCTCAACATCACCAACAACGTCATGTCGAAACGCAAGCTCAACAAGCTTGTCATGGGCGGATTCGTTAACGGCTGGGATGACCCGCGGCTGCTCACACTTGCAGGTGGGTGTCGTACGGGACACGGAACGCCGCTGCTGTACATGCTCTTGGTCCCTGTCCAATTTTGACCGTCATTCTTGTCCAAGCCAGCGACGGGCTTTCCTTCCTATGTTCTATCATCCTACAACCTGCAACGGCAGCGCGAGTCGCAACCTTGTGGGAAAACTTCGGTCACGACGCAACAGGAAAGTGTCGATTGATTAACCCAGACTCGGGCGTAGCGTCGTAGAAGCCGAGACGTGAACACGCGACATTAAAGCATTTGTGGATAATTAAGCAGATGCGCAGTGGTGGAGGTCTTGACGTATTCTTGCATATATATGTATATCGTGTGTTCTGCTGCAGGCCTGCGGCGTCGTGGCGTGAACCCCACCGCAATCAACGCCTTCTGCCGTGATATCGGCATCACCCGCAATGAGAACATCATCCACATGCACCGCTTGGAGCACTTCATCCGGGCGGACTTAGACGCCAACTCGCCGCGGGCGCTGGCTGTGCTGCGGCCGCTGAAGGTGGGAGTGCAATAGGCCGGGGGGCCTTGCTGAAGGCTGGAAGGTGATCGACCATTTGTATTACACATTTTACCAGACTACTTGCTTGGCCTCTGTCTTAGAGAGGCAATTTGTTTTATTGTCCAAGCTATAATACAGTAATTTTTATGTTGTGTTTGTATGATTATTTTAATAATTTTAACAACTGAGCTTTCTCCTTAGTCACAGAACCGTGTTCCTTCTTATCACAACTGAGTTGTTCTTCCGCCGTTTTGTTCTTCGTGACGCAAGTCTATTTCTGTACTGCTGAAACTCTCATGTAGGTGGTTATCACCAACATGCCCGAGGGACACTTCGAGGAGGTGGAGGCCAAGACCTTCCCTGGTCGCGACAACAGCGAGTCGTACAAAGTGCCGCTCACGCGTGTGGTGTACATTGAGGCCACTGACTTTAGGCTCAAGGTACCGCGGAAAGTACTAAGTTATGCGTGGGATGTGTGTGAGCTGAGAGTGGTGGGGACGTATACACCTGCTACTTGGTAGTGGTGGTGGTGGTGGTGGTGGTCGTAGTGATTATCATGGCTATCAACCTATCTTCGTGATTGAGTATGCAGTATCTTTACACTTGCTGCCTTTTTTTCCTGCGTAGCAAAGTTAAATGAGTGAGTAGCATGAGCAAGAGGAATGATCAGGATTGTTTACCTACCTTTCCCTCCCGTTTTTGCGTGTCGTACAGGACGAGAAGGATTACTACGGGCTGGCGCCCGGCAAATCGGTGATGCTGAGGTGAGCTGGGTGAAGACCAACTCTCTGTGCGTCAGACAGGGGCGGGTGGGATCCTAATCCTACAGGACCACATCCTCCAACGTCATATGCGGATACGTGGCAGAAGAGAACCATGCGACAGCTATACGACATGACAACCAAGTGGCCGCTGATGCTGTTGTGGAGACGGTATGTGTTGCATAAGACGCCACCGCCATCAAAGGACATACAGCACCCCATCGTCCACCCAGCCAACAAACACGGCGTCATGTGCGTATGAACTAACTTTACTCACCCTCCCACGCCAAACCCGGCATCTTTTGTACTCCTGTACGGCACCCTCCAGGTACGCATACCCCATCACGTGCACGTCGTACACCCAGGACCCCTCTACGGGCGAGGTTTCGGAGCTGGCGGCTACGTACGATCCGGAGCATTACACGGCTGGCCGCAAGCCTCCCAAGGTGCGCTGCTACTTCGCTCCCATGTGACGGGTACATTCGTAATTACCGTGTATCGTCTCTCACGCGGCTTTTCTCCGCCCCCAATCCTTCAGGGAGTGCTCAACTGGGTGTCGCAGCCCGCGCCAGGCCAGGAGCCACACAAGTTCGAGGCCAGGTGGGGGATGTTTCTTGCGCTTATGCTGATTTGTTGAAAGATCCGTGATGTTGCCCGAGGCGGGCGCAAAAATGACGGAAGCGGGCTTCAGAGGACTTGCAGGGCCGGGGGAAAGTAGTCTTTGGCATTTGGCGCGTTGGAAGCGGGGGCGGTTTTACGAGTGCAACCGAACCGTTGCCAGGGCGGCAGTTTCCTGGAAGCTTTCTCAAGCTCCTCTGCCTCCGCAGCGAAGCTACGCTCAGGGAACTTGGGATTCAACGGGGCCATATGGGATGGGAGTTTAGGTAATTTGGGTCGCATGCATGTTTCACAGCAACGGGTGTGTATGGCGTGGTGCTCGGCACTGGCCTCCAGGACCCACTGCTCCGGCGCCTTTGGGGTTTTTGTTCGGAACCGCTGCCAATCACCAGCGCCGCCAGCAGCCGCTTGGCTGGCTATTGACCACCTAGCCTTGCGGATGTACGGCAGGTTGTACGAGACGCTGTTCAAGAGCGAGGATCCAGGGTCCATGGAGAACTGGCTCGAGGATCTTAACCCGCAAAGCCTGGTCAAGCTGAGCGGCTGTGTGATGACGCCACGGCTGGCGGGTGCCAAGGTAGGTGGGATGGTGGGTGGTGTGGGTGCGCGGATCAAGCGGGACCTGGCGAAACGCAGCTGTGGAAGCGGAGACACGGATCAGCCTTGTAGTTCTCCCAAATGGCCTGTAGGTGGCGGCACTGGCATTTCTAGCTGCCATCCGCAGCATTGTATACACGTTCAATCTTGCTGCTTTTTCGTTTGACTACGGGCGTCTGCTTGAATCCGCGCATTCCCCTGGGGTGCTCACTTTGCCTGGCCTGCCTGGACCTCCCCCATCATCCTGGTGTTTTCCCCTGGACTTGATCATCGACACAACCTGCATGTCTGCTACACACATTCCCCTGCTTGGCGTGGTATCTGAGGGGCAATTATACAGTGCCCTCCGCGTGTATGTTCCTTACCTTAGTAACACTCCCTTCTTTTTCCTATGTATGCAGGTTGGCGACCGCTTCCAGTTTGAGCGGTTGGGCTACTTCGCAGTGGACCCAGACTCTACAGCGGAGACCCTCGTGTTCAACCGCACGGTGACGCTCAAGGAGTCCAAGCCCGTGTCACTCAAGAAATGAGCCGGTTGCAACGTAGCGGGCGCCATGCCCTTCCTTCCGCAACCACTCCACCCGTCCATCTTGCTTTCAGAAGACTTCCTCCCTGGTATTATAACTCTAGTGGTCAGCCCGCAGGTGGGCGGAGAACACAGCAGCTCCTAAGCGGCACGGGTGCTGCTGTCCTTCCGCCTTTCGCTCTTTCAGCCCTAGAGCGCTAAACTCTAGGACGGATGGAGTGTGCCACCGAGATGTACCAGAAGGGCACCTGTGAACACGAGCCCCTGCGACGGCCGTTTCCGCTGTGTTCCGAAACCAAATCGACGATGGTCATGGCTGCTCTGATGTTCTTGGTTGGTTGGCTGGCTGGCTGGCTTGCCGGCTGGCTTGGCTGCCCGGGGTGGGGTGGTGTCGAGTAGGGACCGGTCGGTTGATTTTTCAGCTTTCTAGCTTGCGGCTCCCGGCTGTGTGAGCTCTACGAAGCTGCGGGGGGATGGCCAGCTGGGTGGGAGGCGATGCGTCAGGTGGAGGAGGATGCCTCTAGAGCAGGCGAGGGACAGCAGGGGCGCATTACCTTGCTCGGGTGCAAGCCGTGATGGCCGCTGCATCTTGTAGGAAAACCGGGCGCACGTGTGACCACCTAGTCAATATTAGCTGTTAAGGTAGTGCGGCTCTGCGTCTGGTGAGAGGAAGGCTGCTTCTCACGGCTGCTCTTTAGCGGACTATAAGGAGCCTGCCGGTTCTGTTCAGGGGACGCAGTCGCAACTGAAGCATTTCGGCATTGCGTTTGGTGCTTCTTGGAACTGCTTGTACACATCAGCTTGTATATCAGCTCCATATGTTATTACGATATCGTTTTTGTTTTGGTGATGGAAATGTCGGTAATGCTAGGGGCGGGCACTCGATGGGGACGGATGCGGGGCGAGGGGATGCTCATGGGGACAGCTGGAGGTAGCTGGACGTGCATCTGTGATTCGTAGGAGCGGGACTTTGTGCTGCGTGACTCCCTCCAGGAATCTTGCAGGCCCACTTGTGTACGTGAAGTCAAAGGATGTATGAAGTCAGAGGACGTGAGCGCGGCTTAGCTGCAGGAATGGGCAGTTGGTGCTGCACTCCATTCCGTGTGTAAATATGCGGGCTTTGAGAGATAAGGAGGTCCTCCTCCGCTGCGGCTGCAATCACTAGAGTTGTGGTGCCTCTGGTGGAAGCATGAAGTAGGTTGGTGTGCCAACCACCACGATGAGGCCCTGCTGTCCCAACTGTCTGAGAACACCATTACTCCCAGTTGCCATCCAGTCCCATTCTGACTGGTGACGGCTCTGAATGGGCGCAGCGCTTCATGTTGCCTGCTGATCTTCCGCAATTAGGCACGGCGTAATTGCGGTGCGTAACGAGCACCGCACGGAATTAAAGGCAAGTGGGGGGTCCGTACTGCTTTGTGCTACTCCTCGGTCGGCAGGCTCATGCGGACAGGGTAAGGAGTATTGCAATGGCGCTGTTATGGTGGAGATCTTGTAACTTGTGACCAGCTGTAGAAGTTTGGCAGAGAACTTTGGGAAGCTTTCCCGGATTATTGCCCAGAGTGACAGAATTCCGGGATAGCAGGGACATGGATTGTTGTGGGCACAGCACCGCCGCTGTGTGTTTGGCAGTGGCTTTACTGCGGGCAGAACTTAACAGGGGAGCACCATGCTCTTAGACCTTAGGGCTGTTATATAATCACCAACGTTGTACAGTTGGTAGGACAGACGCAGTGCGACACAGTGCCTCGGTTTGCATATGTGCTCTGTACTCGCTTTTTGCTAATTACAAATTTTCCCCGCCTCGGATATGTTGAATTACAAAGACTAGCACTGACATGCTCCAGTCACAAATTCGCACTGCGGACCAGACATCGGCAGCTCTTAGGCGCACCCTCGGATCGTACCAATATTCCCAAGACCGTAAAAAAGCTCCCAAATCTCGCAGCCAGCCAGCCAGCAAAACTGCCGACGTCTGCTTGATGCGCCAACTCCGCGCTTCCGTTACAGGCCATAACCGAATTGAGCAACCACCCAGCGACCGTTGAGTTTTGCGTGGTCATTTTGAACTCGTTATCACAAAATTTGTGCTCGACCAATAAAAAACATGTTAATTAGACGGATCAAGAAGGTTAGCTACGGCATAGCACTCTCAGATTTTTGCACGATTCCACATAAGGTCCCTTTTTCCTTTCTGCACTTCTACTTCATACGTAACAAGAAAGCGTGAAGCCTTGAGGCATTGCTACTATACATTAATCCATAGTTTCTTGTTTCCTTGCAATTTGCTTACACGGTTAAGGCGCGCTGACCTTGTGGGCTGGACGATTCTAGAAGATGTCCCAACTAAAGGAGATTCAGGAGTTCTTGGCTGGGCCTCAAGGGCCCATGGCGGTTGCAGCTCTGGTGTTTGCACTGGGTCTCATTGTGATTGCAAAGTATCTGCTCCGGGCAGGCGGTGTTGGCACGTCCAAGCGTGCCGCAGCCAAACGGAAACAACCACAGCCAGTATCGGTGTCGTCGGGTGTACCAGCAAAGGCGGTACCTTCGGCTGCAAAGGGTACAGCGCCGGCGGAGGACGACGAGGATGGATCTGACAACAAAGTCACGCGACGGACACGGCGTTATGCTTAACAGCAATGACTAGTACAATTTGAATGTTTAGTCTGCTTCTCGCACAGTTTGATGATTGCATGATTTATGCTGCTGAGCCCCGCCGTTAGAGATATCGTGCGGTGATTTGTTTGGCGACGACCTCTGAACTTTTTCCGGCTGTTGAGTGTCATGCTTAAGAATGATGAAATTTTACTTAAGAGGGCTGTACGTAGGAGATTATGGTAAGTCAACGCACTTGTGTGGGCAGTCGCCTGCACATCCCTGCACAGTCAACGATCGAGGTACGGGTGCACCCAGTAGTCAACATGGGGTACAAGCCAACCCTTGGGAGCCAGCTTGGGCCGACGGAACACAGGGGAGGTTTACACGTGTTGCGCTGTGCGTCCTGCGCCTTGCTTCAAGCGGCCGCACTTTCTGTAGGACTTGGTAACCAGATACGTCGTGGCCCATAATCTCGCCGATGGACGGTTCGATAATGTGTTTGCGCGTATGCATGTCTTGTGTGCTCGTGCTCCAGATTATACCTATTTCCTCGTACGTAACTCCTCGATTATGGTGGAGTGGCGGCTGGTCACCGCCTAGGAGGGCCATTTCGTAAGGCAATAATGGTCTGGTTTGCCGGCTTGTTTAGACCTTCGCCGCATGGTCTGGTTTGTGCTCTCGCCTGGTAGCCACACCACGTGGTAACCATCATTGTCAATCATTCTATCATTACCACACGCGGTTACAATGGAGGGCTGCGACCGGCAATGGAATAGGTGCGTGGAGTGCGGAGTGCGCTTTGAGAGGGGCATAGTCAGACCAAGGCAGATGCAGTGAGAGGCCTTTTTCCGCGACTGTGGGTCATGACCTTGACCATCGCTCACGGGTAGTCCCAGGATGATATACCCACATCTTGAACTCAGCTGTTATCGGGGCTGCGGTTGTAGTAACAACCTGCTGCCGGCAGGAGCAGTGGAAGGCAGGCAGGCCCCTGCAGGCGCCCAGCCTTTGTGCAACGCAAGAGATAAGCTAATGGTGGTTTTCATGGTAGGTTGGATAGATGTGGATGGATGGACGGTCGTTTCCAACGATGTGGCGGAGGGGTGCAGGGATGCAGGGGTGCAGTGCAACGTATGAGATGTCAGGGGCCCCATTTAACAAGCTTAACGGCGTATGTAACGTCGTGTCATTTAGTCCTCCAGCACCTGACGTACAAAGGAGCCACACAATCTGCTTATCTTGGCAAGGGTCAGTAAATTCCTGAAAACGAAAAGCTGCAGATATGGCGTTAAGTACTATTTGAGTTGTCGCAACTGTTCAGCTGTGGGTTATTGGGGGGGTAAGCTTTTAGAGCCGCGCTCTTTAATGGGTTTGTGAAAGACAGTGGGTGGAAGGGTCCTGTCTGGTCCTGCCGGGCAGTCTGGGTTTGCTTAGGCGCATCTGCCGGTGCAAGCAGGTAGAGCCCAAATCGTGACAACTCGTTGCTGCAGACCTCCCTGGCGGTTATAGTGCATATGTGAACCAGTAATTGTGCTTCTGCACCTGAACACTTACAGGGTCCGACCAACGGGTCAGATAGCTGGCAAGGTGAAACGAGCTGAATGCTGACACGCAGCTGGATAAATAATGTGCTGTCAAGCTCAATCACATTGAATGTTTATGCGGGTTCAAAAACGGGTTGAACCGTACTTGTGTTCTTACCCTTTTCATACATCATGCCTGCGGCCCAGTTTGCGCAGACATGCTTGGTTCTTAAAGCTGTGTGATTAGGATTATTCCAAAAAAATTTACATTGAACCATTGAACCCAAGTTTGAACACGTGAATCGTGGATAGTCCAACTCGCCGGAGCCAAGCCGCAGAGAATGCTGCTTAGCACATCCTAAGCTTTGACGAGAGGTAGACGTATGAACTAGTGTGGAGTAGATTTACAGCGATGCAACAGGTGGGCAGGATACGGCCTGGTCGTCCACGACCGTTTCTCCTTCCGCTTGACGATGTGCTTGCTCCTCCTGTTGTGCCCCTGGCCAGGGAATGGGTAGCATCGTTGGCGGATGTTCTACGGACCTTAAATGCCGGCCATCGTCACGCTCTAGCTCCCATGCAACACCATGGCCGGTCCGTGCGACAACATACGCGCTTGACTCACAGGCGCATCAGCGCAATACTTCCGAAATCCCTGTACGCCAAGCCTATGGCCGAACGTCGCCGAGCACTGCCTCAAGGCCAACGGCATGGTGCTCGGCCACTGTGCCAAGCCAGGCCTGCTGGTTCAACCCACCTCTGGACACTGCCTGCTGCCGGCATGACGCTGTCTCCATAGCGCCCACGTCCGCGTCCTCGCAGCCTCGCTGGGGTGGGGTGATAACGGCAGCGGCGAAGGCAGCCAGGCGCGACGGACGCCACAGGGCTAGGAGAATCCTGCCGCTACCAGCGGCAGCACCAGCATCGGCGGCGGCAGCCGCGGCGGATCCTAATGCAGAAGTATCGTACACCTCAAACAACGGCTTGGTACTCATGGTACGGAAAATACGCACGCTGGACGAGCTCCGCCAAGTTGCCACGTTGCGCGCGGATGCTTACTACGCGGTAAGAATGACTGGCGGACTCTTTGGGGGTCTAGATTCCACGTCCGTGCTTGGTCAGCGCACAGCACAGAAGCAAGTTTTTGATCCGAACATTTATTTCCCTGTCGCATTCCTGTTGGGCTCATCCTTGTTTGGTTCATCCCCCCCCCTTTCCGTCGCATTTTATCTCTCACATATTGTTTCCTTCGTCAGGAAAATCAGTCACGTTTCGTGGGATCCCTTAAGAAAAAGTTCGTGGAGCAAGAGGTGGAGTCCTTGCAGCAGCGCACCACCATCCTGTCGCGGCAGGGAAAGCCCTACTCGGAGTGCCTGGTGGGTGAAGAATCTGCGGGGAGGGCGCACTGGGATTGGATGGGTGGAAAGAGGCGGGCGTGTGCGACTCTAATCGACCTAGCGTGTGGGGATGTGACCTGTGGGTATGTGTGGCCAGATGTACATAAACAGATGGATGGATGACTTGATGGGTGAATGAATGGATGGATAGATGGATGGGTTAATGGTTTCGCGTAATCGTACGTAATCGTTCGCGTAATCGTTCGCGTAATCGTTCGCGTAATCGTTCGCGTAATCGTTCGCGTAACCGTGCGGCGGGGCGGGTGGGCTCAAAGTCTGGGCACTTCAAGGGTTCTACCTTTCTAACTGCTTTTTCGGTCTTTTCTTAACAAATCCTCCGTTTCCCTCCGTTTCCACTTACCTCGTCCAACTCCCGTGGTCCCTCATGCTGCGGTACCTGGCGTCGTGCGCTTCTCCTTGGAGGAGTTCTACCATCCGTAGGTTGCCATAGACTCCGCCTCGGGTGCCGTACTAGCCTGCATCGACATGCGCCTTCCGGCGGCTCTCAATGGCACACATCCCCACGGTGTACCGCAGGTACGACAAAGGGGACTCTCCTGCCCTTAGTCCCCGCGCTCTCCTCTTCGCAACGATTTCACCAGATGCCTTCCCAACTCCCCCCCTCCCCTCTTTCCCTATTCAACCCTGTTCTCTCCTAGCCATCCCAGTTTCCTCGGTTTTGTCAAAATTGTTTATTGGAATGTATGTTTTTTTAATCTTGTTCTTTTCCCTCTATCGCGCTACAACACCCCGAGCCCGTCCTCGCACCATCACCCCACGCAGGACGACCCCTCCGGCTGCTACCTTCTCAACGTGGTGGTGCGAGAGGACGTGCGGGGCCAGGGATTGGGCCGCGGCATCATGCAAGCTGCTATGGTGCGCGCCGTGCAGCTCTGGGGCGCAGGGGCGCTGTACACACACGTGGAGGCAGATAACGAGGTCAGCAGGGCGGGAGAAGGGGCCCGGGGCTGGGGCTAGGAGGAGAGGAATTTTAGCACCGCCCAATTGCACAAGTACACCTAGCTACATGGAAAAACGCCCTGAGGAAAAACTACATCTTACAGTGCTGTCAGTAAGTATTTAGGCTTTAGGTCCGCAGCGTAGCATCCATGTTCAAGGTTGAGGTTATCGCCGTCGTTATTGTCGACGTCGTTCTGAACGTTTCTGGGATTGTTTTTGCTGCCGTACAGGTGGCGTACAAGTTGTACCATAGCTGCGGGTTCGAGCGGCACAGCGCGGACTCCAAGTACGAGGCCGCGTCGAAGTTGGGCCAGACGGTGTTGTTGCGGGCACCGGCATCAGCAGCAGCGGAGGCAGCAGGACCGTAGCGTGTAAGGGGAGGTCTGCCGGCATCGGCAACAGCAGCACGAGGAGCAGGCGCTGACGCCGGTGGCCCGGTGGGTCCGCTACCTCCATGAGCACTGCTGCTGTGATCCTTATGGGGGGAGAAAGGGGGAAAGGAATGGACCGCGTGGTCATGGACCGCAAACAGTAGTCCACTGCAGGTTTTAGAAGCCAAGACGTTATTATAGCGGTAGATGCTAGTGGCGACGCTGGAAAGAGTCGAGTAGACCTTTGTTGGGTGATGATATTTGTTGTTGTTGATATTGTTGTTGAATGCGAGATATTTTTTACTGCAGAGGAGCTCGAAGGCTTTTTAGGAGTCTTTCTTGGTCGCACGATGCGTATCGGGAGTTGGGAGCCGCCCCTTAAAAATGGTCGTCATGTGGTGTGATAGTTGTGATTGATCATTAATTGATCATGGTAAATGATAAAGCAACCGGACGGATGTTGTGCTTAGGGGCCGAATAACGGGGTGGGACGGTAGGAATGCGGGACAGCAGGGAAGGGGGAGATTGAAAGCATCCAGGGTGCAGGGAGGGAGGGGCGATGAAACTGGACTGGCCCTTCACAGGAAGAGAATTCATCACGCACCAGTCTGGTGGTTCGAGGATCGGGACAAAAAAGACATCTGTCATTGACCGATTTTGACGGTTTCGGAGGGTGAGGTGCCGCATTCGGAAGAGAAGATTGTTATCATGGAATGGAACAGCCGCGTGTTCTCAGGGGACGTGCGACCCGGGACCAAGGGCTGCCAGTGGCTGGTCGTTACACCGCGCGATGTCGTACGGTTAATTGTGTCACTGTTTGAGCCAAAGAATACGACTACCAATCGAAAATCGAAATCTGTATTTCCTATTTTTTGCAGATCTATGATGCCCCTTAGTTGGCTGTTTACTGCACCCGCATCCCTGTATGCGCTCGTCTTTAAGACGCCGTAACTTCATTTTTCACCAACACCATCTGACACGCGAAAACAATGACCCGTGGGTCCATGTCCACGACACAGGTTTCCTTCACTTTCGAGCACCATATGGCTTTGACGAACGAAACAAATGCTATCGCGGATACCACAGTTCTGCAACTTAATTGCAGGGGATCTTAACTCTTAATAAAGAGGAGTTCATATCTCACAATAACACCACGAACTTAAAAACACCGCAAAGAAAATATTCAAATTATAATCGCCACGGCATAGGCGCGTGTATTTGCTTAGTGTCATACCCACCCTCCCACTGTGAAATCTCTTCACGCCAAAGCTTATATGTCAAGGGACCTAATCTGCTCAAGGACCCTGTACGACAAGCATCTAACCATGCGCACGCGCGTAAGGCTCAGGTCCGGTGCCACCTGGCCCCCAGTTGAAAGCAGTCTCACGCAGCAGCACCGCAAACGAAAACAAGTACATAACAGAAAACAAGACACATGAACATACCATTACACAAAAAGGAAAGCAACAGCACAAAGTATTGGGCACCATAAGGCGTCTTAACGTGTACGACACTTGCGTCAGTGCGGCTGTAAAGAGCTATACGCTGCGAGAAAAAAAACACCAGTAAGGCACAATCTGCAAAAACTGAAAACACGACTCCAAAACGTATTTATATCCCTCTGCAAAAGATGCCCTAGGCATCAGCAAACAGTGAATCAATAGCTGAGATGGAAGCGACACCCGGCGCGACACGCGGGCAACACGCCGGCCGGCTGCAGACAAAAGCAGCACCGCACACGGCAAAGCACCGTACAGCACAATTCGAGGTCATGAGCGCAAAAGTAACCCGAAGCAAATGACTAACAGACTCCGCTCATGGCAACGAGAAGCCGCCCATACAGAGCCCCATCGCCAGCGCCCCCTCCTCCTCCGCCCGCTCCTTCTCCTTCGTCAGCAGCGCCCTGAGCTTCCGTTCCACCTCCAACTGCAAAGGTTCACATTGTGGAGGAACACCAATCAGCAGGCCCCAGTGGGGACGCGATGCGGCCGGCATGAAAAGATCAGGTGAAGGTAAAACACCACAACGCCGCAAAGAGAAACTTCAGTTAGAGGTAGGACAGCGGACAAAAGCCCGCGGGGGCGGGAGGAGAGAGACGGAAGAAGGAGAAGACGGACGGCGATAAATCGCAGGAGGTAGCTACCTGATTGAAGTGAAAGGTTTGCAATCCGAAAGGGCCTGGGCAAAGGTTGGGGCGTTTACGGGGCAAGGCCTGCTGCCCGGCGGGAGGGTTCTTTGGTCCGTGTCCGGATGTGGGTCGAATATAAATCAGTTCCGGGTTCGGTCCTGCTGCTGCTGCTGCTCCGGCTGTGCTGCTGCTGCTTCTGGGCCCCAGTACCACGTATGTGTTGAACACACCCACCCACCCATCCACACGCTATTGGAGCGGCTTTACGCGACAAGTGAGTGAACATCTTCTGGCGCGAAGACCATTGACCAATTCCTAACCTACCTACCAACCGATCTAGCAGAGAACCAGATGGGCTTTGGTACCAGCCGTGCTTCAGCCTCACACGGCACAACCCAAATGGGCGCTGACGTCAGCAAGCAAAGCTCCCTCCTCCAAAGCTTCCCTTTCCGGACAGCATCGGGTCCCCAACCGGCCCCCTCACCCCATGCACTGCGAAGTGGGATGTTAGACTAATCGGTCTTCCAGGTTTCCGATAAACCCATGACCAGACGCGTCAGAAGACCCCCGTAGCATCCATCACACGAGCCTCTTCGTCTCCACTTGCCCTGTCGCCCGCCACCAGTACACCAGGGCACCCGCCTCCCGTCACCCGGCTGGTTGGCATCTAAACCGAATCCAGCTCGGGTCCGATCGCCAGCTCATGATACTGTGCCGGTCTCCCTCGAGGGTGATCCAAAAAATCTGGTCATCTCCGCACCCTCAGAACCAACTTCCGTGCCGCACCTCTTCCGTCAGGACAGCCAGAGTCTGCTCCTTAGCCAGCAGCGCCTTCTCCTTCTCCAGTAGAGCCAGCTCCTTTTCCGCAAGCTCCATGCGGATCTGCATGTAATTCCGTCGGATGTCCCGGCAGGCTTTCGGCAGGGATCCGGAAGATGCTCAGCAATGATAGCGACGTCAACAAGTCTTCAGCAACAGTTTGCAGTTATGATGGGTGTTCAGGTCCGCACCTCCTCAAGCTCCTTGAGTCGCCCCTGTGACTTTTTCCGACGTCGTCGCCGCTCCTCCTCTTCCAACAATAACCGCCTGGCTGCTTCGTCTGTTAGTGAGGCGTCGTCTAGCGTTGTAATCCGGTTAGTTGTCGTCGTTGTGGTTGTCGTTATGGAGGTTGATGTGCTAGAAGAGGAGGAAGCCGAGCCGCCGTTGGGAAAAGCAGATCCGTTTCCGTTACCTCCGTTGCCGTTGGCGCTTGGCGTGCCTGGCGATGTGCTGGGCGGCCCAGCCGCGTCGGGTGGCGATGATGCCGGAGAAGCTCCTAGTGGCGTGCTGGGCTGTGCGGATGCTTCGGAGTTGGTACTCGTTGTTGAAGTTTCCGCAAAAGCTGGTTGCGAGAGTAGAGGCCCAAAGGTTGCCAGGGAGCCTGCGGAGTGGGTGGGTAGAGGCTGATTCGGGTTGTAACGGTAAGCCAAGAAACGTCCATGGCCTGGTCAGCTGCAAATGTTGCAGCTGCGTTTTGACGGATCTGCTTCGCATAAAACATGTGCACGATTGTTAAAAGCCTACACACGGAAGACAGCGCTGGTAAATACAGTCAGGTTCCTGCCTTACCAAGCAAGCTGAGAAGCATCTCACGTCGGCCGATCCTTGCATTATGCTTAATATGGTCGAAGGGTGCTGCGCGTAGGGCCACAGAGGATCTCTGCGTCTGCTGTGACGGACGACAGCGTGACGACGGCCCAAACACAAGCCTCCCTGCTAAAAGCACCATATCTAAATGAGGAATCAGATGAGATGTACTAGACTTTAGCCGATATGATAGATACCATGCCAAAGCAGTAAGCTTCAAGCGAAGAGTAATAAGCTGTCTACTGTTCACAAAGGCAATCTGTTAAGGACTGAGCACACGGAAAAAGAAATTTAAAGCAGCATACCTCTATGCCTAGTAAACCATTTCGTTATAGCAATAAACGATAAGTACGACCCAACATGGCTGGACTCTTTCCAGGGCATTTGGGTAAATGCCGAATTGCAGATTAACTCCAAGAAGTTGTTGTTGAACGATCAAGCATACGAATACAACTTATGATAACGAAGCTTACCTCAATTGCGGCGGAAGCCTTGTATCACGGTCAGAACAGGTACCACCAGACATTGTGCCAAGTCTCCAGCGAATACTAGGATAGCTTTGGTAGGCTGTGAAGCTGGGGACGAGGGGCGGTCATGAGCTCCTGGGTCCCCTTGCGCACGGCGCCTTCAGAACCGCTATGCTTGCCGTCAACAAGCTACGCGGCCGCCAGCAAGTCGACATGCGTTGCTTGGTAAGAGGATAGGCTCTGGGAGGCTTTGGGAAGCTGAAGTGTTGGACGACAGGATAGGGTCTATTCCAACGCCTGCTGGCGCAGGTCGAGGGTGCGGCGCAACGGAGGCCAATTATGCCGCGGAAAATCGCTGCAACGAATCTGTTGCCGCGCATTAGAGGTGAATTGGCTGAGTCGTAAGGCGAGCAATTCCGTTCGCCGGCTGCTATTACGCTGGACAGTGCTTCCAAAGTTTTCGCACTGTTGTTTTACCACTTCGTCCACATTGAATTTCGGGGCAGGCCGATCAGCGCCCAACCCCTCGCCCGTCAACTTGCATGCACGTCGACAACTGTGTACACACAACCCTTTCACTGCACATGCCTCCGCAGGCCCTGCAAAGCTATCATAATACGTATAAACTGATCCACCAACCTGGCCGGACGCTAGAGAGATCGCCGCCCCCCGATGCCGCCTCCTCCCAGCAGCGACATAAAGCCCGGTCTCGAGCGCAGCCAAAGACCTCAGGGCCCCGCACGCCTTCGCCTTCACCGTCCCCCCTTCCGGGTCCCCAGGACGCGCCACTGCACACGCTCCTTCCAGCGAACTCAGCCGCTGCGCCCTCGCTTCCCAACCCCTCGAACCCCTCCACCACCACTTCCCCTAGCTCCTACCCCTCCCTCAACCGCGCCAGCAGTAGCAGCAGCACCAGTAGCAGTAGCAGCAGTCCAACATTGGAGATTTCCGACCCGGAGGCTGAAGATCTTCGGCCGTACACACCTCACACCGTCCACTTACCGCACTGGCAGCCTCCGCCCACTAGCCTCCAGCACCGCACCGCCTTGACGCGAGCCATCACCAGCTGCCCCACCTACACTCGCCTGCACCAGCTCATCTTGGAAAACGCAGCCGACTTCAACTGCTACCACACCTGTGCCGCGCTGAGCCGAGTTTTGGCGCTCCATGGCGCTGGGTTGACTCCCCGGGAGTCGCGGCTATTCAAAGAGGGTTGCTCGATGTTGCAGGTGCGTGTGGAGGCAGCCTAGGCGGGTGCTAAGGTGGTGGCGCCAGCAACGGCCTGAAAGGAGAGGAGGAGGAAGGAAGGACGCGACTTACCCGTGAAGGGAGAGAGGAGGGGATGAACCGTGTATGGGTGGAGATGGGGAAAGGGCGCTTTTCGCCCCTCGGTAACTGATCTTTGATCCGCGTCCTCGGCCCCGGCCCCGGCCCCGCTGGTGGATGGGTCCCCTTTCCCCACCCTCTGTCTCACGAATTGTTTCCCTTCACGCCTGCCCTTGCGCCTCTCTCCACAGACCATTCTTCGGCGGCAGGTTTCGGAGCTGCAGCCCCGGGCTCTGGTGGTGGCGGCCTACAGCCTAGCACGGCTGGAGTTGCCTGATCGGGAGCTGCTGGGGGGCCTGGCGGCAGCGGTGGAACCACACCTGAGCGCGCTGCAGGTAAGGTTGCGATACGCCTCTGGCCTTGGAGGGAGGGATGTGCCTGTTAGTTAGAAAACACGCGGCAGGGAGGCTTAACGGGAAAGCACGAAGGAAGGCATCGCATTAGAGTAGCAAGGGGAGACTTCTATGTAGCAAAGTCAAGAAGGGGGAAAACAATCGCAGCCGACACGTCCAAAGCCGCGAAGTGCCGTTGGGGGGTGTCCAGAGCAGCGGTGTGTCCCGCAGCTGTCTAGCAGGGGACCGGAGGCCCAGGCGGCCCGCACGGCTGCCCAACAGCAGGCCATGATAGGCCACTACAGGGACTGTTGCACCGTGTGATGTACGGGTGATGTACCGTGTGACGTATGGGTGATGCACCGGGTGACGTACGGGTGATGTACCGGGTGACGTACGGGTGATGACCCGATGACGTACGGGTGATGGGGCCCAGCTGAGCTCTGTCTGGGCCGTTGTTATTGTGACACATCTTCTGTGTGAGCCGATAGGACATGGACGTGGGCCGATAGGAAACGTCCCCAGGGCAAGGCGAGAGATGAAGAGAGGGATGGGTGTTCGTGGGAACCCCCCGTCCCCCTTTGGTTGGCTCTTTCTCCGGGGCCTCCCGGGCCGTTGCTTGGACTCCTGCTGTGGCCTCGTCGCTGACTCTCGGCTTGAGTCCGCCTGGCTCTATTTCCTTCCCTCCCTCCCTCCCTCCCTCCCTCCCGTCCCCTCGCGTCATTGCCTTGTACTCCAGTAGTTAGTTTTTTGTTTTCTGAACGTCGTGCGGACTCCTGTGCTTTCTCAACGTGACTCCGCACACTCCCTCCCTTCCTCAACCTTACGTCTTCCTGCCGCACCTCCTGCTTCCCTTCCCATTCCCTTCCCTGCCCCCCCCCTCCGTGTGTGGTTCGTCTTGCCCCCCCCCCTCCCCACACAGCCCCAAGGTCTGTCCTCCCTGCTGTGGGCCTTTGCCCGCCAGAGCCACCAGCCCTCCCCCAAGTGGATGGATGCGCTGCTGTCCGCGGCCGCCGCCGACCTGGCGACCTTCAGCCCCCGCGACATGGCCACCCTGCTGTGGGCCCTGGCGAGACTGCATTACAAGGTGGCACCTGCGCGGCTGAAGCAGCTGCTGGAGCACGCCCAGAACACCATGGGGTCCTACAGCGGCCGCAGCCTCTCCAACGTGGTGTACTCTCTAGCGCTGAGTCAGCAGCACCCCGGGGAGCCCTGGCTGGAGGCGGCGCAGCGCAGGGCGGTGGAGCTGGGGCCGGAGGCCTTCACACCGCAGGTGGCGCTGCGGACTGGCTGGGTCTAGGGAGGGTACTGGGAGGGTACTGGGAGGACCGCAGGCCCGTGGCCCCGCGTGGGGGTGGGGGTGTGGGGGGGGGTGGGGATTAAAAAACTGGGGCTTGACTGGGAGTGGCGGAGTCGCAGCGGTTAACACCACGTTTCGGAAACCTTCCCAAACTTTTCCCCTCCGCCCTGAGGTTGCAGTGGAGTGCAATCGCAGCACGTACACGGGGCTTCTTCGCACAGTTCTCTGCCATTGCCCATTGCATGGATCTGATTCGTTTGGGTTGTGACATATCTTATTTGCCTTTGGCTCTGGACTAGCCCAACCGTATCGCTCCCAACCTTTACCTCTTCCTTGCACTCACAGGGCATCACACAGATGGCCTGGGGCATTGCCAAATTAGGCTCCCCGCCCAGCCCCGCCTTCCTGGAGCTTGTGTTGGAGCACGCCTCGCAGCGGCTGCCGCTGTCGCCGCAAGAGCGGCAAGAGAAGGAGATACTGCAGCAGCAGGAGGGGCGAGAAGGGGCAGATGATGGCGGCAGTAGCGACGTGGGGGCAGCCCGTAGCAGTAGCGGTGGCTCACATCTCCAGCAACGGCGACGGCGGGAGCGATATAGCGGTCTGGACCTGGCCACGCTGCTGTACTCGTTGGCTAGTCTGGGGGCTCAGCCGCGGGCGGACCTGGGCAGGCGGCTGCTGGCAGCGGTGCAGGTGGGTACCGGGTAAAGGGGGGAAAGGGTAGTGGTAGCGCAGCAGCGGCAGCAGTACAAACAGTGACGGCGGCAGCAGCAACAGGAGAAGGATGAGCAGGGGCTGTAGCAGCAACAAGAGTAGAAACAGCAGCGGGAGGGGTAAGGAGCCAGCTTGGGGTCGTGGTAACGGGAGATTTAGTGGGGGAGGGGATTCGCCACAGGGGCCGGAATTCAGACGGCGTTTTGTCTGGCAAGGACGGAAAGAGAGCCCCTGTGTGTGGGGGGGGAGGGGAAGAGAGATGAGGGGTTGAGAGGAAAGTGGGGGTTTGGGGGGATTTGGTTTCGGAGTTTTGAGGGTCCTCGAGGATGGGGTTGAGGGCGGAGGTGTGGAGGGAGATGGAGGAGGTGGCCTGTCTAGGCCCCCGGACATGGAAAGATCAGGTGCAGATTCAGGCGGTGGCGACTACTGGTGGTTCTACTCCCCCGTTGCTTTGCGGATTACCGTTTGTTTGTATGTATGTCGTGGAAATTGTATGTATGCTTGGAAAACGGCCTGGCAACTTCGACCGACTAGGCCTGTGTGTAATACGCTGGCAACCCAGACCTCCCTGAAGCTTTATTTATAAGTGGCGAAGTAACCGAAGTAATTAACTGGCCAAAGAACTGATAGCGTCTACCAACGGTCGTAGCTTCTCCCTTTCTGCGTTGTTGTAGTGGGAGCTACCCACCCTGGAGGCGAACGGAATGTGCAACTGCCTCTGGGCGTGTGCTCGCCTGCGGATCTTCCCAACCAAGATGTGGCTGTCCGCATTCTTCGATGCGTCGTACAGACAGCTGCCGTACTTCAAGCCTGTGGACCTCTCCCAGGTGGGTCCCCCTCTGTACGGCAGAAGAATGTCCCCCTCATCCCCCTCATCCCGCGGCTCCCACTTCTGCCGCTGTATGTGGAGCCCCTGAAGCACTTCTCCTCCCTCTTTCCCTGTACGGACGACAGGGGTTGGGCCGGGGGGCCCCCACGGCCTGGATATCCCGCTGAAGTTAAACCAGCTTAGACCAAACTCCGCAGTGCCTTTGGTGACCTCGCCTCCACCTCACCTCATTTCACAAGGGACGTTACTTAGCTTACCGGCGTGCCGAGCAGCAGCCGTCACGCCATGTGTCAGCGGGCCCATGGCCAATTTCCCTCCTCCTTCCCTCCGCACCGCACTTCCCTTACCCTTCTCTTCCTTTCCACCCTCCTTAACACTTCCCCCGGCCCCTCTCCCTTTCCCCCTTCCCTCACCCCACCCCACCCCGCACCCCCTCAGACGCTGTGGGCCCTGGCCCGGCTCCAGGCCGCCCCTCCCCCCGCCTGGGTCGCCTCCGTGATGGTCCGGCTGCAGCACTCCGCCACCATGTTCAGCCCGGTGGAGGTGGCCACCACCATGTGGGCCCTGGCCAAGCTGGGGGTGAGGGGGAGGCAGATGCCGGGGGAGGTGCTGGCGCTGTTCTTCATCGCGACGGACCGCCGACTCAGCAGCTTCAAACCGCAGGTCGGTGCTGCGCGGCGCGTCGCGTTGCGTTGCGTGGGGGTGCATTGCATGCGGGTGTGCACAGCTCTGGTATTGCGAAAGCAAGAGAAATGAGAGATGTGGGAAGAAGAACTCAAGGGGATTGGGAACCGAAGGTTATCGTCCCCTTTAGTTCTTGTGCATGTGCGTTTGCATATATGTGTGTGTACGTATACGTGTGCGTGTAGATGCACGGAGTAGGCGGGGTCATCGAGGTCCCTGACCACCTTCCCCCCTCTTTCTCTTTCGCAGCTTCACGCGTTCGTAGTTCCTCTTTCCTCCTCTTCCTCTCTCTTTCTCTACCCTATTTCAGTGAAACCCGGGTTTGCATTGCGTCACGGTGGTAGAAGAGCTGAACCGTATCGCAATCCTCCAGACATCCAATTCCAGTACCTTCCGACCTTTTCCAATACCTTTTCCGACCTTTTCCGACCAATACCGGTACTGTCCTTCCTTCCTTTGCTCACTACCCCCCAACCCCCCCTCAGGAGCTGTGTTCCATGATCTTGGCCCTGGCGCACATGCGGCGGCGACCCGACAAGGAGTGGGCTGCGGAGTTCCTCAAGGTCACGTACCACCGACTGGCCTCCATGAGCGGCTGGTGCCTGGCCACTGTGGCCTGGTCCCTGGCGGAGCTGTCCCTCATGCCGCCGCCGGCGTGGATCTACAGCTACGTAAATGCGGCGCGCGCGTTGCTGAACGTGCCTGCACCGCCGCCGCCGGTGGAGGCGGGGGCGGCGCCGCAGGGCGAAGATACGGAGTCCGTGGCGGGGACGGCCGTGGCGAGTTTGTCTGCGATGGATCTGGGACAGATCATCACCGCGTTGCGGCGGCTCAATGGTGGCGGCGGGGGCGGTGGGCTGGCGAAGGTGGACGAGTTCCTGCGTGAGGCTGAGGAGCGGTTGGCTGCGATGGAGGCGGGCAGTGGGGCTTATGCGCGGCAGCAGCTCGGGGCCTTCCTGGCCATGTCGCCCGAGCAGGCGAGTCAGTCGGGAACAGCGGGAGCGAGGGTGTTGGTCCCGCCTATGGTTTCAGAGCTGGGCGATGGTAGTGGTGGCGGCGGTGTTGGCAGCGACCTCGGGGGCCGCGAGCCGGCGACGGCGGCGGGAGTTTCCGACGGCGGTGGTGGTGGTGGTAGTGGTGGCGGTGGAAGAGCGGGGTTGAAGGGTCCGCGGGTGAAGCGCCGGAGGCAGCGGCTGGCGGCCGCTCTGGATCCGGATCAATCGCAGCTGTTGCATCACGGGGAGCGGAGACGGCGGGGAGGGCTGAGTGGCCCGAGGGGGAAGAAGCGCGTGGCGGCAGCAGCCGCAACGGTGGGGAGAGCCGGCGGCGAGGTCGCAGGTGGTGACGACGCGAGTGGTCGGGAAGCGGTCCTGCTAACAGCTGGGGCGTCATCTGATCTCCGGTCCGAGTTTGGTATCGGTGTTGCGGCCGCCGAGGGTGCTGTTGCATCCGCCATGGCAGCACCACCCTCGGCGGCGGCGGCGGCGGCTCTATCCGCGCATGGCCGATCGTCGTCATCATCACCGCGTCAGGCGACACGAGTGCGGAGTGGGGGCCCCGCGGCCCGTGTGACGTTGGCGGCGCCGCCGCCCGATGTTCACGTGGACTTGGGGGGTGAACTGAACGTTGAGCTGTCCGTGTCTCCGTCGGGGCCGGCGTTGTGGCGTTCCTCCTCCGCCGCCACTGCAGCACCGAGGATGGCGGGCCTTGTAGGTGCTGCGGGGGGCCCGAACGGGGATGGAAACGGCCCTGGAAATGGAAGTGGAAATGGCGTCAGCGGCAGCCGAAGCAGCAGCAGCAGTGACGAATGTGAAATAGCGGACGGGGGCGGCATGAGCATGGCGGAGATTAAGCGGCGGCTTTTGGCTGTCTGAAGGCTTTTAAAATAGGAAAGATAAACGTCGGGGTGGCGATGGGCGGTTAACAATGAGTCCCAAACTATGTGCAACGCGCTTTATAAGGTCCGGTCAGGTGTTTGAGTGAACGGTTCAGGGGGATGGCATGAACCATGACCTGCATAGGGATAGGCAGAGGGGACTCACAATGGGAGGGCTCATTATCGCACCTAACATCCGTTGTTAACATGGCGCAGCGCACCCGAAAGGATGGTCGGTGGGGGGAAAGACGAACCACGAACGAGTGAAGCTGCTGCCAAGGAAAGAGTGAGTCGGTGGGGGGACGGGGGAAAAGGGAAGAAGGGAGCTCACTGTGGGGGTGAGGGTTGGAGGTTGTTGGCCATGACGATGGACATGATGCCGGTCTGGTGGTGGTGGTGGTGGTGGTGATGGTGTGGAGTCTAGGGCTTTAGGTTCAGGCAGGCTGGGCAGGGGACGGGGAGAGAGGCTTTCTGTGAGGGGCTACCACATGAATTGAATTAAATTGAGTGAACGTGAGCAGGCTATGGACCGTCTTATGGTGCCGTACAGTGTGGTGCAATGTACCATATGGTTGAGCTGATTGGACTGATGGGCGTGCAGGGTCCTAAAGGCCCTATGCGCTTAGGGTTCTTGAAACCTCGCGTGCATGTGTGTGGGGGGGAGCGGGCGGGGGGGGTGAGGAAGGTGAGGGGAAGGCATGTTTAGGCGGTGCATGCATGCAGCAGGACGCTCTCCTTGTTGACAGTATCCGAACTGTGCTCGCTGTCACGTCCCATGATGGTGGGTGCATCCCAGCGGCCGAGAGGACCAGACAGCCAGAGGAGAAGAAGAACGGGATTACAGAAAAGTAGGACGGTGAGCGGCGGCAGTGTGTAGGTCCCGCCTAGGCGGAATCGTTGAAGCGGGTGAGAGTGAGAGTGTGAGCGGACTGAGGCTTATGTGTTGTTCATGTTACAGCGGCAAGGTACCAAGCTTCTATGCCTGAAAGCAAAAAAGCTTGACAAGACAGAGGGCACATCACCAGACACTCCTTATGTGATGATGTGTTTTTGCGAGGCGTTGCGATGTTAGAATCGGTGAGCTTTTCCTTTTTCCTTTCTCAATTCCAGGAGGGACAGTTTTCCAGAAGGGCGTTTTGCACCCTCGGGTAGTTTTGGTGGTTGCAGCAGCAGTTTTGGTGGTTGCAGTGTGTTAGTTAGGCACAGTAAGTTGGTTGCAAGGGGCCGCAAGGAGGTGGAGGGGGTGGAGGGGGCCATGGTTAGGAGGACCTCCAGGTGGCCAAACGTAGAAAAGAGAGAAGAAACTGATAACTCCCCCAAATGGTGCTGCAATGGCCCTCTGTTACTTTGTTGTTGTTACAGAGTGGAAGGCTTCTGGGGCACTTGAAGAAAGTGTCCTTTATTTCTACGATTAATCACCCTACAGCGCCATCCACCATTAACACACGGTACTACGCCATACAAACTGCAAGTGCAAGGCAGTTGATCCTGCCTTCTAGAATCACAAATCCAGCATGCGAATCCGCATCAGTCAACTGTGAATATGAACTCCACATCACTAACAGCTAGCCACAATCTCACGCTCCCGACAATGTCGGGGTCTCTCCAGGAATCGAACCCACAAACGTAAACTGCATCAGGCAGTAGAGTCACCAGACCAGACCCTCTGTTACAGCACCCTCATCGTACATTCCTCTCTAAACACATATGTATACATACGTACAGACTTACACAGCAGGAGAAGGAACACATTCTCGTGGAGAACTATGAGGCAGCGGCGGCGGCAGCGGAATAGTGAACGAAACAGACATATGTGCACATACACAACTCAGACAAAGAATGGCCCAGGGTAAAGGGTGAAGAGCGGGACCCCCATGTGGTGGTGGTGGTGGTGATGATGGTGGGGAAATACCCTTTTCAAGGGGAAACCCTCTCTTACAGGATTGACGGAATAATTTGAAATACGTTATTCATGGATACTCGTTATGGGCGGTGCCTCAAAGATTTGCTGTACTTTTGAGAGCTGTGAGTGGGAAGGGGTGTCTCGCTGCCCGCTGCTTAAAGGATGCAGGCACGGCTGGGAAAAGTGCTAATCCAACCTCCGGGGCCTCCTCAAGGGCTGCCTCACATCTCAAGTGTGGCTAGGCTTAGTCGAGGCCGAAGATAAGCTTCTGGCCTAAGTGAAAAGGCTTCACACAAACCTCTAACAAGACCGTGGTGTGAGCCCTGCGGTAAGGTCCCTTGGACCCTCAAGCATGGGCTGTACTATTATTGACCTGACTGCCAAGTTGAGGATGACTTGCCATCGCACGCTATGTGCATACCCACTTCTGCTCCTGCTGCTCCTGCTGCTGCTGTTTTCCGGCCATGAGTACGCCACTACTACTCTTCCTTCTGGGCCCTGTGGGATACCCCTACATTTAAAGGTAGCTGTTTCTGTTTGGGGAATCCCGTCTGGGGATTTCTTTTTTTTCTCGTGCGAGGGCTTTCTCACTCTTACTTTGCGTGCTAATCCTGTTAAAATGGTATGAAATTGAGAAAGAAATCAACACCAACTCGCGGGGTTCATCGAGGTCAGCACTCTGTAGCACCATCCTATACCCAAGACCGTGTAGGATTCACAGGGCCAAACCGTGCCAGGTCATATGAGCAGTATGGAGTCCTCACCACACGCGCCGTGCGAGGGTACTGGGTTCGATCCCATGACTCTTCTCTTAATGACGGTTCAGCTGGAGTGGAATAGTAGGTGGACTGGGAGGTATCCGAAGGTAACCTAAGGTTTAGCAAGGCCCCTATCACAAAACTCAGTTGGCAGGATGGTCTTCGGAAGCTAGCTTCGTCTGTAACAGAGGAAGCGGCTAGCGCCGTGGCACTGTGATTAGGGGACCAGCAGCATGGCCGGGTTGTGCCTTCGGCCAGGTTTGTAGAGTGCTGAGTACCTCTTGACTAGAGGTATGGCTGCATCCTCAAGCCGTGGGGGCCTCTGCCGTTGGTGAGGTCCGGTGTCTGGCATTCCAGCCACTTGGTGTGGCACAAACACAAAGCCCTGTGGTCGACCTCCGGGTATCAGGGCAACCGGCGTAATTAGCGTCGGCAAAGCCCTGCAGGCCACCGTTCCCTTCGAACACCAAACCTAGATCGCGCGTACCAGCCAGATACCGCAAAACACCCTTAGCGTCAAAAGGTGGCCTTTGGTGGGTTTCGACATATGACGTGCGAGCGCTCCCACGGCCTGAGAAATGTCCGGCCTAGTGCAGGACGAAAGGTACATAAGTCCGCCCACTAGCTCGCGATACTCGTTGCCCACAGACTCATCCTCCTCTTCAGCAGCACGAAGCTGAACTCCAGGCGAAAGCGGTGTAGCGCGACCGTTGGCATCAGCAAGGCCAAATTTCGTCAACAGGCCTTCTGTGTACTTCCGCTGCGACAGCTTCAGCCACTTTTTGGGCGGGGCCCCAGCGCGAAGCGCCCAGGGGGGCCCCCGACCTGTAGGATTGCCCATGTCCGTGTGTGTGTGTGTGTGTGTGTGCGTGTGCGTGTGCGTGTGCGTGTGCGTGTGCGTGTGCGTGTGCGTGTGCGTGTGCGTGTGCGTGTGCGTGTGCGTGTGCGTGTGCGTGTGTCTTCACCTTTCGTTTTTGTGGTGTTCTCTACGAGATGAACGCCCTGCCTATGGGGTGGCTAAATAGCCTGTATTGGTTTACCAAAATCATGCGCAATGTGGTGCGTTTTTGGCGGGAATCCTTTGGCTGCGGTGGGTAAAGGTCGCAAGCGTCTCTCTCCCCCGCTCCCGCCCCACCAGTTTTTTCCCGTTTCCCGGACAGGGCGTCCTTCTCGTCCGGGTGCGCGAGTGATGCCGTAATTGGATGACTTCCTCTTCGTGTTTACTTCTGAGGAGCAAGCGCATCTTGGTGTGCGCTGGGTGCGTGAGAGTATAGAGTTCTTGGGGTTGTCGTGTCACCCAACCAAGTGCCAGTGGGAGCCGTCGCAGTCAGTGTACCATTTAGGCATTACGATCAATACGGCAGCTGGTGTGTTTGAGGTGCCTAAGCAGAAGCTCGCCAAATTGCGGCGGCTGGCGATTGGGTTGCGGATCACGGCGGAGAAAAATCGGCGTCTGGTCCAGAAGCGTGAGCTGGCTAAGTTTTGTGGTTTTGCGCAGAGTGTCAAGTTGGCCCTTACCCCAGCTCCTTTGTTTCTCCGCAATTTTTACGACGGCATTAAAGCAACCGGTTGGCTGGTCCGGTCGCGTTCGCTTGTCCCGTGGGTCATTATGTGACTTAGATTGGTGGGCAGACTACCCACCACTGCTCGGCGACTATTCACTAGGGTCCTGCTGCAGTTGACCTTTGCAGTATGCTAGGTTTCATGGGATTTCGATCTGCTGATCGGTTCTTATCTGCAAAATGATGTGATACAACACTTTGGTAGTAATTAGATAGCCCAATACCAACCCGGGTTCGATTCTTCTATCGACCTGCTGCCGCTGGTAATCTGGGGATGCTGACATTTCACAGGTGTCCTGAGATAGACGAACAGTCGAGATCGACTTCCATGCTGGAGGGTTGATAAATGTAGTTGGCGGTTGACCTTGTGTTCCTGCCGTCCAATACGGAGCTGTTTGCACCGGGCGAGCACCTATCTACCACCCCCTTCCTGACAGGTCGTGGCAGTGCGGGTGCAGTCGTAGTGTGGGCGCTTTGCATAGCACTCGGTCGTTCAGTGAGGCGCTGCAAAGTCGGTTTGTGTGCCCCGCTAGGAGCACTTTCCTAGCATTTCACCCTCACCCTGGGGCGCGTTATATGTTGTAGGGGCAGTGGGACCGCCTTTGAGGTAACGCCGTAGTTGCTTATAGCGCAGGGGAGCAGTTATGCAGTTCTGTGGAGCGAATAGGAAGGGATTTGTTGTTTTAAGTTGTGTCCGCTGTCCTTGATGCTGGGGTACCGTTTGGAGGTTTTGAGGCGTATGGCTTGAGGAGCTCCATTTCGTGTCGGTGTGTGTGCCTGTCTGGCAGCTCTCGCGTCCTGTGTCCCTCTAGCGGCCAGTCGCGTTGCGCCGTTTTGGTGCTCAGTTTTTTCAACCGCTAGAGGGGGTATCTTCTCCTTTGGCATTTACCTATGGAACAACAACTAATGCGAGCTTGCGTTAAGCAAGCTGGGTTAGTTGGGCGTAAGGCCCAATGCGTAACTGTTAGACTAACTGTTTCGCAATGGCACGTGTCCTCAGGGCCGTCATTTATTGCGCGCATTAAGCTGGTTAGCTTATCTTGTTTTTGTTGTTCAGCGCGCGCCCGCCCGCCCGCCCGCCCGCCCGTTCATGGCGCAGCCCGCGTTAGTTCAGTTGCGGTGTCTCTTTCTCCGTTCGTAAGGCCCGTTTCCTTCGGGCCTCTCAGTCCTTTTCTCTCTTTGATTATATGTAACAGAAAAATGGCATTTACCTATGGAGCAACAACTAATTCACTTTTATCACCATGGACACCTTCTCGTACGCTTTTCTCAGAGCGTCTAGCGTCTAGCAGGTACCCTATCAAAGGCCTTCTCAAAGTCAATTTGTACTAGCATCAACGGCGGCTGCCCCGCGCTCTGATGTCGCCTGACCAGGTGTTGCTTTATAAAGAGGTGATGAGCGGTACCGAAACCCCCGCCTGAAACCCACTTGGCTAAATAAGCAATGGGCCTTCCGCAATCGCGCAAGGAACATCACCAAGCTTTGTCATTTCACATTGTAAGGCTTCCAGGAGTAATCTGTAACTCAAGTGGCGAACGTTGAGCGGCGACGACCGAAAGAACAGGACTTGAAGCTCTTCGATGCGACATTCTGAAACGGAGGCTAGTTGCGGGATTTACACTAAAATTCAGCTGGACATATTCACTATAATAATGTAAATGTGCCTAAATACCTTCACAATGTGCAGGCCAGTAGGTGCCAATGAGCGCCGATCAGCTATTTGCATTTTCTGGAATTAGCATGGGAATAATCAACCCACAACAAGCTCGACCGGAACCTTTTTTTTGATAACTGAATGTTTGCCATAGTGCCGGGAATGGACCAATGGGTCGCCTCCTTACGATTTCATTGGCAGAAGAATATATAGGCAGAAGAATATATGACATTACATTTTTTGTAACATGATATTGTACGCTGGCGCATTACGAACCGTACGCGCCAGCCAAAGCCAGGAAGATGTGATGAAGTGGAAAAAGCCAACTACCTCGCTCGGCGGGCTATCTCGAGTAGGTCACTTGCGCAATTACTGAGTATAAACCTTACGATTGATTATATCATAAGAAACCTAGCCGTATATACACAGTTCATCCAAATACACTCGCGCCATGGAGTTCACCTTACCTTCTTATCGCTCGACGCCGCAATGGCTGCTCTATACAATTCCTGTGGCTTGCGTGTCGACAACCTACTTAATTTATTCGCATCGGAGGTAGGATGAGGACCGGCTGACCTCAGCTATTAGCTCAAGAATGGGTGCCTTGTTGGCTGGTAACACTTAAAATTTATAGGAGGGAAACTTTGACGATAAAGTAACATAATATATTTGACGTGCTTAATACGCGTTTGGGCCACTCAATCGTAACTGCAGCCCTAACGCGTTCGGCAGCAGCGCTGCTTGTTCCAACTTGGCAATGCAAACATAATTTTACGCTCATATATCATTTTCAGCCGCACATACTACTCAGCGAGTGTTGGGGTTACACTCGCTGCACATCTTTTGGCATCCACTGAGATGCTTTTAACATGTCTGTTTCCAGGACCCTCTTCAGCTGGGCTTACGGTCTCATAGCGAAAGTACCGCGCCCGCCTGGAAAGGCCTACCTCCAGGGCAACTTTGGTCCTGTCGAGGACGAGAAGGAGCTCGAGGAGCTTGAAGTGGTGGAGGGCAAGCTGCCGGACGGCTTGGAAGGCTGCTATGTCCGTAACGGCCCTAACCCCTTCTACAAACCCGTCGCTGGATACCATTGGTAAGCAGTCCTGGTTCCTGGCTCAGCTTGCTGCGGTCCTCAACATTTTTGGAGCTCCCGGGAACCGTCGGCATGCATCCAGGCCTGACAGAATTGCAGCGAAAAGCATATTGAGTAACTCTACATACATATCCGGTGTTTCCCAGCTAGGCCGGGGCTCCCATGTCCATGGGCTTTTCAAAGACTCACTGTAACAGTTTGGCGAAGACCCAATGCCGGCAGCCGCATTTTAGACCGGAGCTGTCGATGTCGGCGTAGCAACTTGCACGTCAGGTATCACCCGGCAGATAGATACCATCACCAGATTCCATCAGGCCTTTGAGTATTAGGCTTATTTCCCGTGCTGGTGCTCACGGTGCTGTGGGCCTCCAGCATTCCCATCTTCTCGCCTCGGGGACTGTGGGATTCATGTGCGAATCTCCTCAAGGCCTCGAGCAACAAAGCCGCATTCACATGCACGCGGTCATGCACGTGGTCCCCCGCTGCATGGAGGAAAATCGCGGCGGAGGCACGCCGCCTTGCAAGTTACCCCCACCTGGTGTGGGATCCACCGCGCGCATGTGTGATGCTGGTTTAAGCGGCGGGTCATGCCTTGCATTGCCATGCCTGGCCCCAAACGCTTGCATGCAGGTTTGACGGGGATGGTATGCTGCACTTGGTACGGCTGAAGGACGGCAAGGCCTCGTACTGCAACCGTTACGTGGCTACGGAGCGCCTAAAGCAGGTAGGTGTACGGATGAACCGCAAGCGTTATCCGCTTACTTAGGGTTCGTGGAATGATTAAATCAGTCCAGTACGAACGTATGGTCTTGGTAAGTCTGTTATTGCCTTACTTATGCCCTTGCTTTTGCTGCTACCGAAACTGCCACTGCTGTTGTTGCTGCTGTTGCTGCTGTTGCTGCTGTTGCTGCTGTTGCTACTGCTGCTTCTGCAGGAGCGCGAAGCAGGTCGCCCGTTGTTACTTCGTTATGGTGACTTGGCTGGCGTTCGGGGCCTGGCGCTCTCGCTCCTTTGCATGTAAACGCAGCGCAGCGTTACCTAGAAGCAACGATCCACAAACTAACCGACCATGCCCATGCCTAGCTAGGTTGAAGAGCATGAATGCCCTGGGATCACGGGCTTCTTCTAGAACAGGAAGGAGGAAAGCATTGCGCACGCCTACAAAGCTGGAGGCCTCGTTCTATGCCCGCTTATTTTAATTGTTATTAAGCACAAGATAGCGGATATATAGGCAACATACGCCTTCTACACATCGCCCGTTCTTAGCTTCCCAGCCCCCCCGCTACCGCCCACTAGGCGTTTCAGGTCAGTTAGCTCTTCTTTTACCTTGTCAAATCGTAGCGCTCTGCACGCTTGTGGCTTTTGCTCTGCCTGCAGGCTTGCCCGGATTTTTGGGCCGTTGGATAATTCCAAGGGCTCGGGTAACGCGAACACAGCCCTCACATACCACGCCGGACGCCTGCTAGCTCTAAATGAGGCCGATTTGCCGTACGCGGTACGTAGGGCAATACGGCAGGCATAGATACCTTACTAGGCCGGTCAGTTTCGGGATAGATTGTTGTACGCCTAACTACCCGAACTAAGGGGTGTGTGCATGAGGTGGCCGGTGGCGGGCTTACAAGTTTCCCCCTTGTGACCTTTACACCTCCCGCCACCCCATTGGGGGATAGTTACAATGGTTGTGCTCATTGGTGTATATCCAAAAGTGCATCTATATGCAGTGATTTGCCCTTGCCACTACCTGCGCGCATCCTTGATGGCTTGCGCATGGTTGCGGGTTCCCTTCCCTTGGCAGACTGCTGCATGAACGTGTTTTTCATGTCGCACTCTCCACGTAGTCTCAACCAGTTAGGTGCTGCAAAGAGACAGGGCAGGGTTAACGAGGAGGAGTTACCGGCCTTTAACCTACCGAAGGGTTACCCTGCCGACGGGTCACCCTACCAATTGGCTACCATACCAATCAGTTACCGGGCGGGACAAAACCCGGTTGACTGTAATGGAATGTAATGGAAAGTGGCTAACCGTGCAATCTTGTCGTCCTTAGTCGCGATGTGGCGGCAGGATCGGATCTGCGGTTCTATGTTGTATCCTAAATAGGCTCACACGCGCCCATCAAGTGGTAATTAGGCAACGCAAGGCAGGCCGCCCCCTTATTACTTAACGAGATTTTTTCAGCACTTATGATCCTTATAGAACAGAGGCACCGCCTGGTTCCACTGCCCCCCTACACCCCTTTCCTACACCCCCTTCCCAAACCCCCTTCCCAAACCCCTCACCACAGGTGCGGATTCTATGCAGTGGCCTTGTCGAGACCATGGGCCGGCTGCAGCTGGGGAAGTCCTGGCGTAACAACTTCACAGCCCACCCCAAGAGAGACCCCCAGAACGGTGCGTGACTGCGTGCCAACGTACCGTTGCCGTGACGTTCAGTTAAGGTGCGCCAGTGAGGCTACCTGCGGTCGACTGTGTCCCTGGGACTTCCCCGACCCTTTACCGCCAACACTAGTACTCCACCTTCCTCGCATCACTTCCCAGGTCGATCGCATACCTCCTCCTGCAATACCTCCTCCTGTTTATTGCCCCCTGCGCCACCAACGTACAGGTGAGCTGATGTTCATCGGCTACCAGATGGACGCCAAGCCGTACGTCTCGGCCGGCATTCTGGATAAGCACGGCAATCTTACACGGCAGTGGGTTGTACAGATACCGCGGCCGGTGATGATGCACGACATGGCCGCCACGGAGAGGTTCATCGTGATCCTGGACCTCCCGCTGTGCTTCGACCTTAAGGTGGGTTGGGATGTGTGTATTTTGGTGTGTGTTTGGGGGTGGGTTACCCATACTGTGTTTGCGCTGCCACCCGCTTATTACGTACGGAAAAGCTTGCAACTTTCCTGTGTTGTGATATGTTGCGTTGCGTTGCTTAGCGTTGTAAGGCTCTGCTTGAGTTTGGGTCTCTTTTTTGGGGCACCTTGCAGGTCATGATTAAGGACAAGGCAATGCCAATCGTGCTGCGCAAAGAGATTCCTTCGCGCATCGGTAAGCTTGGCCTACTTTAACGCTCACAACGCGGGACTAGTACGGTCGGTCAGCCGTTTCATCCCTTTAGTATTTCCGTACCACTTTCCGTACCTCTTTCTTTAAAGTTACAGTCGCTCACGGGGCTTCTGGCGCGCGACATCCGCACGTCTACTTCCCAGAGTGAAACCCTTCGTCGCATCATTTGCCATTTCGACGCCGATCGACATGGAAAGCGCGCCGCAAGGGGGGGGGTGGCTGTGTAAATTACGGTGAAATGCACCCGGCATGGGGTTGTGTGGAGGCGGCTCGCGAGGGGCCCTTGGCCTGAGGCTCGTCGTACCAGATCAATCAAGTCTCTACTTCATTATACATCATCAATTATACCCGCGGGATGGCTTCAGTCGTGACCTTATATGCCGCTCCTTCCCACGTCGACGTCCGGCACCCACATCCCAACTCAGGCCTGCTCCGCCGCGACCAGCCCAGCCGTCCGGAGGGTTATGCCGAGGTGCAGTGGTTCGAGCTGCCAGGTCCTGGCTTTATGGCTTTCCACGTCGTCAACTCCTGGGACGATGACAACGGCGATGTCAAGGTGGGTCTCGGGAAAAAACATACTTTGATCGGTTTCGATCTGGTAACCTAAATGAGACGATGTTTCTGCAAGGAATGGAGGAGTAATTATATTATAAATTTTAAATTATATTATATTATAAATTTTAAATTATAATTCAAACGGATGTAATCGATATAAATTTCTAAGGAATCTATACGCTGCGCCGTACACGATGTCCGTACACAATATAAATCGGTTAGTACGGAAGACACCTCGACAAATTGACGAGCACTAGTGCCTCCTGATGCTGGTGTAAAGGAAGATGACGGTGTGTCCCGCATGGTATCTACCTCCGCTTACAGATATTCGCCTGCCAGATGGACAATGTAGACCTATCTTTGGACTCCATGAAGAGTGAGGTGAGAGGCGTACAAGGGGACCGTGCACCCTTCGCACATACACAACGAGCACATGCTCTGGGCTTTTCATCTTCCACCCCAAATTTACAGCACCCCCCTCTATCGCCCGTGTTGAGGATTGTGGCGTGCGAGCACCGTGCTACAGTGCCGCCGTACTTCCGTACCTGACGAGCGTGTTTAACTGTTCGGCTGCGAGCTGTTGGTGCTGTAACCGTACAGTCTTGGATCGGCATCATGGCTACAGATTCCTCTTTTTTCTCGCCAATGACTTCGCCATTGTGTGCCTTCGGCCGTGTTGCCTATTCTGGACTGTCCGGCGTGCTTCGGTTCAGCAACTAGCCCACTTGACGGAGTACACCTTGAGTCCATCAACTGGAACTGCGTCGATTCGGCGGTTGTCGGAGCTGCTGTGCGATTTCCCAGTGGTACATCCGAACATGGTACGTGGTCTCGGCGTACGGGCTCGCGTGTGCGGCTGTACGACATGTGTGGGTGTGAACTTGGACATGACGTAAAGGAAAGCCAAATAAGATGGCGCGCGGCTGAGTCAGCTGTTACCTTCACGACGCTGAGAATATCACACGATGTCTACCGGGGCTTCGGTATCTTGTGCAGTCGAAGTTCGAAGTACGACAAGATCATCATGGTGCCTAACAGGATTGGGAGAAGGCCAGTTTGGATAGACTTGAGTTAGGCTTCATTTTGAGGCTTAAGGAAAGTTACTTTACTGCTGCCGTGCTGGCGGTTGCTTATGTTGGCGTGCATGTGTGTCTCTTGTTTCTCTGTGGGACATGAATGGCGTTGATACGCACACTTAGGTAGGTAGTCGTAGGTAGGTACTATTTAGTTAGTAAAGAGAGATGTTTAGATGCGTAGGTAGTTAGGTCGTTAGGTAGGTGCTGCAGCTGCAGCTGCTGTAAGTACCGTTAACAGAGGGCCAAAATTGGAGATCCTAGTAGACAGGTAGCGCACTTAGGGCTTTTTTCCGACGAGGCTACCCCCGAATGTTTTTTCACTTGAAATGAATTGGTATTTCCCTTGAATGCTTTTCCACTTGGTTGTACGGATGCTGCTGTGCGCTCCAAAACGGATCCTTTCCAGGTCACCCACCCGTGCCAATGGTCCTGGGTTGCCGTACATGATGCATCTTCCAGGTGGGGCATAATACGACGTTTAATGAGGATGTTGATGGGGGTGTTACACTGTGGGGGGCTCGTCCCCGAGAAAGGACCGAGAGCACCGGGGGCCCTGACCGGGGGCCGAAACACAGCGCAGGGGCAGGCGCGCGGCTCTACGTCCGTCTGTTCCTCCGCGCGCGCCTCACTCGCTTACTCACGCCAACCGGGACGCTCTCCCAGCCCCTGGCTAGGCAACACAGCGCCGCAGAAGACTGCGAATGGATGTTGATGTTGATGATAATGATAATGATGATGGTGGTGGGTTCGAGGAACCCTAAGTAAAGCATGATGTCTGTTTGCAACTGAACAGCTCGCCTTCCCGTCCCCGGACCTCAACTCCTGATGGAGGCAACTGCTACGGGTCCCTTTATGTTACGAGTGTTTTTTTTCCCAAGTGCCCAACAAAAATCAAAGCACTCTTATCAATGGCGGATTTGGGTCCAAAATAATCCCCATAATTATAATCCCCAAAGTTATCCCCATACTGCCTTTCTGTTGCGCCTTAATACTTGCTGGAAGTCCATCCTCATAATACTGATTATTTTTCACATTTTTTTGCTGCAACAGCTTGCCTGCGTTCAACGGGATTGCCAAGATGAACTTGGCGGCTCCCCCAGGTTCCGACGCTTGCGTGGCCAAGGTCAATTACCCCCCGGGTGTCCTGGGCGGTGAAGCCGTCTTCGTGCCTCGCAATGGAGCGGTCACCGAGGACGACGGCTTTCTGGTCGCGTACGTGCACGACACCAAGACTGACACGTCGTACATGAACATCTACGATGCGCGGACAATGGCGTCTAAGCCCATGGCGTCCTTGCTCATGCCGCGTCGCGTTCCGTATGGTTTCCACGGCACCTGGGTTTCGGAGGAGAAGCTGAAGAAGCAAGTGCACTGGTTCTGAAAGTCCCAGCGCGATACGAAGTAAGTTCCATTTCGTACTCTCACGGATTTGTGACAGCGCTCCTCTTGTGAACTTTATTTTAAAGCTGCCAGCTCTTTATTTCCGGAGTACTGTTAGGCTGCACATGAGGGTAGCCAGGCAGGCGTTACAAAGGTCTGGCACCTCTGATGGTAAATCTCCTGCCTCAATTCTAGCATGGCCAGAGGATTCATGCATTCGCAAAATTGTGGCCTTAAGGATAAGAGTTTTGATGTGATAAAGTGTTACTGTAATGAAGTATCCAGACACTATTGTTATTTTGGCTTCATTCTGTTGGCAGCGATTTGGGGTAAATCCCCGAAGTGGGCTACGAGCGTTGTGTCGCGCGTGCGGCGAACTGCGATGGGCTTGTTGCAGCAATTCATGTGGGAGGCATGGATTTGCCGGAGGGAAGTGTCGGAAGAAATGTTGTCAGCCATTGTCCTGGGTCAGTCAGAAGGTTTGGGAAGAAGTTAACGTCATCAAGTTTCTGTATTATTCGGCTTTGTATGTTGGTCGGCGGATTGGCATGTTGCTGTGAGCAAGACTCCATGAGCTGTCTGATGGTAGACATCTAGAAGACTTCCTAAGCTGTCTAGCTGTGTTGCTATGTTAAAAGCAAAGCTTTTTTAGTTTTTTTTGCGCCTGGCAGAAGGCGATGTGGAGGTGCAATAATTTATGGTGAATCCGGTGACCTCTTCCATTACTTATATGGCCCCAATTTTTTAATTGGGAACGTAATGGGTCACCTGACTTGTTATGTTAACACTGCTTGTATAGTAGCTGATGGCGTGTGTCCCGTTTGTGGGTGTAATGTTTTGAAGTTAGTTAAAACGCGCGCGTTTGAGACCATGTCCTAACTTCGGAGCTAGTGGAGCTTGAGCTTGTGTGTACGACGTGAGAGGTTATGGCGCGCTAGCATGACTTTTTAAGCGGACCAAATTGTGAACATTGTAAGTCTAAGTTGAGATTGAAAGCCCGATCCTTTCTGTATACGCAATTATATCGGCAAGTAAAGTCAGCTTAAGCTTCCCAGTTGCACCAAGTTGAGCGGTTTCATGCATCCGGATGCAAAGCATAAGGCAATGTGTGGGCCTAAGTAAGCCAAATTATGTCTCATGGCAGTAACTTTTTCCCTGTACGGAGCCACATAGTGACTTGAAATGCGGAGAAATACATAAAGGGGCAGAAAGCAGCCGCCGGCAATCCACATGGAGGAGTCAAATGGTGGACTTCTCCTGCTATCCAGTCTTTTCCCTTTATTTGATCTGTGTGCAGTTGCTTTTCAATCAAACGTAGCTGCCACTCTGCATCAGAAGTTGGACATCTAGCCATGTCATAATTGTCTCTAGTTGTACACCGGTCGTACCGTATACGAGTGCACGTTACAGGGTCGGATTAGCCTTAGTTAAGCGGGAACGAAGGCGTGAGCTATCAGGCAGAATCGTGCCGCGTTGTGGCTTTGTAATGGAATTTGTGGCTCCATTTTTTGATTTGAATCTGGTCTCTGATCAGGAGTGTATTAACTCGCAGTGTGGCGTTTCAGACCTCCGAGGGTCTTGGCGGACTACATGTACGGCATCTGGAGCCGTTCTGAGTAGAAAGTTATGAGATCAAGACGCAATCCCGGGGGAAGCATTTCATCAGCAGGTGTGAAGGGAGAGAAAGAGGAGAGGGAGGGTAGCAGTGTGCTTCACAGACTGGGGCCGGCATGTATGGCTATAGTCAAAACTCTCGAGCTGGAAAACTTTAGATGTCACGTAATGGGATGAAATCGCTGCTCCCAAGCCCCCTGCTGAGGCGCTTAGGCTAGTTCTGAACCTCGTCGCGTTAGCTATATCTCTATAAGCGATTTGCGGAGTAAAAAGAATAGCATGTTTTCTTTACATAAAAGCGAAAATGCAAACACGAAAGGCGCCCCCTCCCCCTCAACCACAATCTCTCAATCCCTCTCAACCAGCTATCTCCGCGGACACCTCCTCCTCTACCACCACTACCACCACTACCTCAACCCGCAAGATATTCTTCAACGATCCAGATCCATATGACGCATATCTGTCTGGAAAGCAAACAACAGTAACTCTTCTGCCCGCAACCGGCCTCTCCCTTCCCTAGAGACGAGCGGCATTCCCTTCCACCTACCTGCAACTCAGGACAAAATGCCCTTCCTTTCGCTTCCCATCCTATATACACGATACACAACGAGTCTTTTAAAAAAAACTCGTGCGTATAGAATTAAACTGGAATGGAACTATTTTATAGCGGTATGCTGGGGGAAAATTTATCGTACTCCACTTAATGCTTTAAATCCTTTGAAACTGGTAATGCAACATCGCACCGCCCCCTCTTGAAAGCAAACGCACCCACTCACTCGAAAGCGAGGAAAAAAAAGAAAGAGCTGCAAACCGCGAGCACAACACATACCTCCATGCATCCCGCGCTCTGATATCGGCAGCAGCACCTGGCAACACCAAAAACAAAAACTCTGCCGCATGTTGCTCCTTCCTCCTCATATCTCTGTGCAGTACATCAAAAGGCAACAGATACCGCTTGATGAACCTCCTATACGTTCAGCAACCGGCGTTGGCGACGATGCGTTGTTGCCTCGCCCACCATAAACCTCAAGGCTTCCCCCAATCCGGCCGCTCGTTAAAACGGGACATGTTACGTGCGCCGTACATGCTCGTACAATCTGCCCCATGGGTTCCCTAACGAGGTGGTTCTGCCCGAGCGCCAGGGCCGTCACCAGGTATTGCACCGCGCACCCCAAACCCCGTATTGGGGACTTAAAACGACGTCCTTGATGCATATTGCTGGGGCAGCAAATCCCACGGGCACCAAACACCATGTATACCAGCCCACAACGGAACCGGCAGAGACCATCCGGTCATCGACCTTCACATTGATTCGAACAGAAGGACATCTGATGTAGTGTACATGACATACGAGAAAATAAACTGTGGGTGTTGTTTTGTGTTCTGATTAGAGGCGGCGTATGAGCAGCACCACCGCCTCGGACGATGAACCGCAGCTTTAGGCGAAACGTGTGGTGCAAGGGTTTTTTCAAAGCTCCTCCGTAGTTGCGGAAAAAGCTCCCAAACAAGGACGAGACGCCAAAACCGGTTGTCCCAGACCGAATCCATGCCAGCCGTACAACTCGCCGTAGGGTTATTTCGGCTGGCGGGGGGTCATCGGCGGCACCGGCGGCCGCATCGGGCTGCGCGCCTCCGTCCGCATGCCGCCATCGCGGCCGCTGCCGACGGTAGCGGCGTCATCGCCGTTACCGCCGGCGCCGCCAGCACCGTTCTGACCACTACTGACGCCAAGCATGCTGCTGTACGACAGCGACATCAGCGTACCCAGCGGCAGCATCGACGCCCATGTCTGCGGCGGCACAAGTACTTGCATCTTCGGCACCGCTGGCGTGGTGAGAGATGACGGCGGCGGGGGTGGGAGCGGCGGTTTCACCGCCGGTGGTACGGCGAACTCGGGGAGTAGCAGCGGCGGCGGCGGCGGCGGCGTGGCGGACGAGTCCCGGAGCGTCGGCAGCGGAGCCGGTGCGGCGGCCCCCACAACTGGCGGCGGTGGCGGCTCGAGTGCGTCGCTCCTTGCCGCCGCTGCAGCTTCGGCGGCGACGGCAGCGACGTCCCGTGGGTCGGCCGCGGCCACCGCCGCTGGAAGTCGTTCCACGCGAATGCGGCGCTGGAAAGACAACGACGACGCAGCCGCACCACCATCACCACCGCTGCCGCTGCCGGCCGTCCGCAATTTCGCTATTCTCACAATAAGTACCCCGTCTTGCAGGGATGCCGTGACCGCGGAAGGGTCCACGTCGTGAGGAAGGCGAAAGGTCCGTTTGAAGTGACGGCGCCGCCGACGCTCCGTCCTGAAACGATGTTCATGCGCACATGCACACAGGCCACAAACCACGTGGAAGTTGCATAGCACAAAGCAGCACGCGGCACAGCACGACAGGGTTTCGTCTGTACGGCATGGCATACGCACACGACGTTCCTCACCGTACGCCGTACGTATGGTGAGCTCAGCTCACAGCTCACATCTCACAGCTCACAGCTCAACCCACCAAGCAGCGAGGCACGCTTACCGGAGTGCGCGCGGCCTCCGTCCCGGCGGCAGCAGCGCCTCCGCCACCGCCACCTCCGCCACCGTCAGCGGTCGTACACGCTCCGTCGCCGCCACCACCGCACTGCCCTCCAGTACCAGACGATGCCGGTCCAGAATCTCCACCGCCAGGTCTCCTTCTCGCATCCCGGGCACATCAGCCTGCGCGCATATATCGCACAATGTATATCGCCCAACTGACGCCAGCACAAGTGCGAGCGGAAGTGAGTACAGATGACCCATGTTGTGTACTGTGTGTCGTGTCGTGTCGTGAGATGGTCCAAGAAGAGATGTGCAGACGAGGGCGCAGAGGGTCGTTAGGTCAGCGCAAGCCAAGGCTAGTAAAAAAAACATATGTTGCAGAGATATTATGAATAAAATCATTGCGTAGAGAACAAAAAGATGAACCTAAAAATCATTCCACCGTCAAAGAGTGAAGTGAAGTTACAGGCAGCAGAAGCAGCAGAAGCAGCAGAAGCAGCAGAAGCAGCAGCGACGAAACTCAAACTTTGAATCAAAGCCCCGGCTGTATACGGCGCCAGAGACGCAACCTCGTGAACCTCGAAACCCTACAGTACGACAAAAACCTCACCAACCTGGATCCAAACCCACATCCCGTACTGACACGATCTAGCTAGACACCGCACTCCCGCGAACCCCCTGGCCCCTCCCCCCCCCCCAAAACCCCAATCCCCCCACCAAAACCCCGTGACACGCACCTACCTGCAGCTCGTACGAGTCCTCATCTTCGTAGATGTCCACCGGGTAGGCAGTCGCCGGAGGGCGGCTCTTGTAGACGTGGCGACCGCCGCCCAGAGGCGTGTGTTTCCCCAGCACCGGCGTCGCTGCTTCGTGCCGCCGCGCCGCTGCGGCCCCGTTGCCGCCAGCACTGCAGCCACCGCTGCCCCCCTCGTCGCTTACTCCCCCATGCTCGGCCGCAGCGGTGCCGCGGTCATGCGAGCTCTCCCCCTCCCCCTCCTCCCCCTCCTCGTCCGCCACCTCGCCCATCGCAACGTCGTTAGCGAGATCCTCGGACAGGGCGGCAGCAGCGGTAGCTTCAGCGGTTTCAGCCGCGGTAACGGCCTCGTCGTCCTCCTCAGCCGCTGCCGCCACTAGGTCACGCCGCCACTCCGCAGCATGAAATGCCGCCGGTGTGTCCGCGGCTTCAGCAGTGGCAGCAGCAGAGGTGTCGGCAGCGGGCAGGGCGGCCGTTGCGGCCGCAGCACCCGCGTCGCCACTACGGTTGCTGCGCTGGGTGGCACTACGAGGAAAGCCGCGGGAGAAGATGCCGAGAGGATCAACCACGCGCTTGGCGAGCGAAGCGACCGCAGATGCCCAGGATCGGCGTTGAGGTGGTTGTTTGCGTTGCTCTTGTTGTTGCTGCAGCTTTTGGGGATCCTTTGGCGCCATATCGCACAGCAGGTGATAGTTGAGCTCTCAAAAAAATCTTGCTTGCCCTGCCAATAAAGAAATTTGAAATACTCTGCGAAGGAAGGGCTGTGATGATGAAACCTCGGGAGTTTTTGCCTTTGGGCTTCCTTGCTTTTGACTTACCTGGCTGAGGCTGACAGCTGATGGGAGGGAATGCAAACTTGCCTGCAAAAGTATTAGCGTTGCTTTCCAAGCTTCAAGCGGGGCAAGATCACCGCCTGCTACTCCTACAGTGTGACAAAGACAAGGACTGCACAAAGCAGCTTCAGCCAAGCAAGAACGGAGTGGCTGCAACTGGGAAGACGCTCGTTGGGGTTTCCCTTTCCGGACTTGGAAGTGATGGCGACGATGGGCTTGGCGCTTGACCTTGTCCTGAGGTTTCGGACCAGGCAGATGGAAAGCGCGCGCCAAACTGCAGACAAGAAGGCTCTTCAGGTGCTCGCCGCGGACATGTTTTAGAGGCTTTATGCTCAGGAATCAGGGCAGACAAAGTCCAGAAACACGCGGCGTCAGCGTCTTGGGAAACGCAAATTAGTTCAGTTTCAATAATACCACGCTCAGGGACGATCTCACTCAAGCCCCCACCTTGGCTCGAATTCTCTATCCAAATTCTCTACAGCTCGATACGCTTCATACAACTCTTCACACAATTAGGTAATCTTTGAGTAACTAGGGAACCGAAATTTAGTGGCAGAATATTAGCTTGATGAGTCAGAGGGGGCCAGATGACCCATGGGGCCCACGTCAAACAATTTTCAGCTCCTGATGGGACTGCTCCCGACCGCGTGCCGCGTTGCCGCTTATAGTAAATGTGTTGTGCCGGTGCTTGAAATCCCGTTCCAAAGTCTACTTCTGTCCCTCCCATCTGGGTTCTTGAACCTCCTGCGACAAACCGCAGTCAGTATTTTCATGTCCGCAAGCGATTCAGCTCAACCAATCATAATGAGCAATTTACCTTGGGAGAAAGCTGTGTGACACTAGCTCCCACACACACGCAAAACGCGGACAACAACAACTTTTCAGAAGGCGTTGCTGCTGGAGTTTTCGTGTCTTGGTGTGCTTTTGCTGTTGGATCTTGCCAAGCGACAAACGAATATTAGCTGAGGGTCAGGAAAAATCCACAAGGTTTTGGGCTGCTTGTTGTGACGCCTGCAAGCTGGACGCACCAAGAAGGTTCATATAAACATATAGATTATCCACTTAGGTGGTGGTGGTGGTGGTGGTGGTAGTAGAACAACCGTGTTCAGGTTGGAAATAAACGTCCCAGGCATACCCGCAATCGCATGCCCCACATTCAGCGGAAGCTAATAGTACCCCCCTCCTTCATCAAGGTTTTCGCCTGCAGAGATGTGACAATGTACATGCCCAGAATGAAAAGATCTAAACACTTATTTCGGGCTTTTCAGTTCTGCTATGCTTTGCTGTTGGAGCTTGGAGTACTGAGTACCGGGTAATGGTTCAAAAAGAACCCTTCAAGCGGGAAAATTGACAGCCTGTTGTAACGTTCGTGTAGGAACATTTAGGCAGTGCCTGCCGACCCATGGGTCGTCTGTGCGCTTCAATACAGTTAGCCATGAGCAACCCCTCCTGTCCTGGCTGCCCACACCTTCAATATTAAAATCACTGATAAACATGCGCCCAGGGGAAGCTCCTTGTTGCGGTGTACCATCACCCGTACAGAGTGCATAACCTCCCGGAAAAAAAACCTAAAATCCTAAGCAGTAGTTGAGGCGTCCCAAATGCGGGGGGCAGACCACCCGTCATATCCGTACCCAGCTTGTAACTCCTGAGCATATCCACAACTGCACGTTCCGCAGAAAACGGATAAGGACCCGCTCTTCCATCAAAATTCTCGTGCCAGCTGTGACCTGAGAAAAAACCAGCTGTGCTTTGAATCACTCTTTTTCTAACGGCATTTTTTTCACTCGCTCGTATCGCCGCGTCTCAATCTATACTCTCTCTCTACGCCTGCAAAATCCGTTCCGAGCTTTATCCTGCCATACTCTTAAGATTCCGCCGCAGCAGCTTGAACATTGCTTCCGGAACTGTATTGTATCGCACTCCCCGCCGTTCCAAAAAACACTGCGTAACGGCGTGACTGCCAAAACAATTGCCCTGCAGCTTCCAACGTTGAGAAACTCGAGCCCTGTCCACCAACAACCACAACTGCAACCAGAAACCAGTCGACCTGTTCCCATACTCATAATTGCGTACCGTACGCTTGCACCTCTTAAAACCTCTATATCACCACACACACGCCCTTCCCCCTGTAAAACCAAAGAAGCATGCTATTCACTCCTATGCCCAGGTAATGCACGCCGCATCCACATCGATCGCCACAAAAAAAACATGACGATGACCATGACCATGACAACGACAGCGACGACAAGTGCTAAGTCCTGCAAATTCTTTTCCTGTATCAAGTAAAAATCCCCGTCATATAACCAACCACCGCCCGGCTCACGCGTTAGGCAGCACTTGGGACGTCGCCCTCATCTGCTACAACCCCCATCCCGGTATCCATCGCCCAAACTGTGATGTAGCCCAATTAGGCAACATAATCCGTCGAGGAACAAATCGCCCAACTGGCAACGGACAGCTGTGATGGCTGGAATGCATTTCGAGGTACTCATTCCCGAAGTGATGGTTATCATTTAGATGCTGCGGCTCCTGCACCAGCGGCGGTACACGGGGGCCTCCAGCGCATACAACAGCAGTCCAGCGTATACGGTGAACAGCTACCATAGGGCGTCCTCTCTTCACTCTTCAAAGGTTTGGCAAAACGTGGTGTTTTTTCACTCGAGGTTTGCGACACGGCGCTGGAGATCCTGCACGACGTGCGGAGCACAGAGGGGGCGGGCGGGGTACAGCACACAGGCCGAAATAGCACCCGAGGTGAGTTGCGCAGGTTGCTGGGCTCAGACACCTAACCTACCAGCATGCTTCCCTCTATAAATAAACTGGTCTTGCTCTTCTTCCAAACATCAAATCCTTTTAGCAGCTCTTTTTTTATGCCCCAGCATGTATGCCCCTTTTTGCCCTCAGCCGCAAATCCAAGCCGTACATCCCGAGGAGGACGACGGCACGTTACCTGATTCTGTCAGTAAGAAGAAAGGAGAGAGAATTTGCCCTCCTCCCCAGCCCTGGGGGGCCCCTACATAAAACTGTAATTACCTTACGTATCTGCCCTCCTACTGAGCCTTTCGCAGTCAAAACTGCCCGCCCCGGGGCAGAACGCACCTTGAGCCCGTCTGCAAGCCTCGCCAGGTCCGCCTGACGCGCCTCCAACCTCGCCACCTCGGTGCCGTACGCCTGCTCCAGGGGTTCCATGAGCTTGGCCACCGCCCGCATGACACCCGCTACCTCATCCGCCACCTCCACCTCCATCTTTGATTGCACGTCGCTCACAAAGTTGCTTGCCACTCGGGAGATCTGCGGATGAGTGTGCGAGTTAGGAGGAAACAAAACCGGAAAATGTAAACAGATGTAAAAAACTCGTTCGCAACTCATTCGCAAAGTGCTGCAACATGATGCAAAGGTGCAGACATGGATGAGTACATGTGTGTGCGCAGGCATGGGCCACCTTTTGGTTGTATGATTTGATAAGGTCAAGACAAGAAAAAGAAAGGTGGCGATGCGGGGGGCGATTGCTCAGGCTGGCTTTTGCCTCCCCATTGCGCCCAGCACCAAACAGCAAAGGTAACCGACCGGCAGGCAGTCAAGCCCATACAACGAGTCTTGTCTTTCAGGGAAAGGAAAGGCAGGCCCCCAGCATCCATCCAGTCAGTGCACCTAGTGCTTGGCCATCCAGCGCCGCTTCCAACGCCTGGTGCTGGCCACCCAGCCCCACCCAGCCCCACCCAGCCCACCCACCCAGCCCCACCTTGCCCTTCAAATCCGCCCTTCTAAGCGGAAGGTTGAGCAGGGAGACGTAGCTGACGGCCCCAGACAGCCCCGCCAGAAGAATGTCCTCCAAGGTGTTGGGGATGAGCTGAGGGCGAAAGCGAGGGCAAGGTAAAGGAGAAATGGAGGAGGAAGGCAATCTTTGTGAGACAAGTCGTGCGTAGCCATTCACGGTGGGCTGCGAGGGAGGTTGAAATGGAAGAGGAAAAAGCCAGCAGTTATGTAAGAGATCATGGCCTTTTAGGTATGAATTTATAGGCATCCAAAAAGCTCAAGCAGCTCTCAGACAACAGACCCCGGGGGTGGGGGGGACTACAGGCCCGGGGACGAAGACCGGATTCGCGGTAACCACGGAAAGCGAAAGGGATGGAAAGAGGGCAGGGCAGGGTAGGGCAGGGCACGTGAGGAAATTACACCCCACAACCATCTTCCTATATATATATATATATAATATATAAACCCTAAACCCTAAACCCTATATATATGTATGTAACATTACAAAATTACAATATATATATATACCTGCATCGCGAACAACCCGAACAGCGGTGCTCCCGCCGCCGTGCCGACGGTGGTCGCCATCGCCTGCTGTAACTCGGTGTCGAGCAACGTGGAAATAGCCCGGACGTTGAATTCCGACACGGCGAGAAGCGCCGGGGAGGACGCCGAGGGGCCAGATGAAGCGGCAGTGATGGCGGTAGCTGAGACAGCTAAAGGGGTCGAGGTAAAAGTAGAGGCTTCTGCATTGCTGTGCGTGCGGTCGGCAGCAACACCAGCAGCGGCGGCGGCGGCGGTGCCGTTGCTGCTGGCGGCGGAGGGCGCGATGGTCACGACACCCGCTGCCTCGCCACGGGCTGCCGCGAAGCTGGCATAGTACTCGCGCTGAGCGTCGCAGTTGGCGCGGAGCCAGGAGCTGTGCTCCGAAACCGCGGCGCGCAGTGAATCGAAGCCGTTGCCGATCACCTCTTTTTCAAACGCAGCCCTGAGCAGGCATCACAGAGAGCATACAGCACCAGGTAAATACTTCCCATGGCAGTGACGGCGGTAATTGTAGTGATGATGGTGGGTGCTACGGTCAGATGCGGCCGGTTCGAGTCGGTATGATCAAAGGCACATTGCAAGCGGCAGTGGGTGACCATTTCGGGTGGGTCCGTACCCACCTCACTGCCAGAGGGTACAAGTGAAAACAGCGCAAAGACGCGCGCGTGTGTGCGTGTGTGTGTATGTGTTTATTTCTCCCTTCGCTACCTCCACCGTACATGTTGTACGCTCTTGCATGTGTTGCGGCCAATTAGGTGGGGAGAGTGGAACGATGTGGCACCGAGACACGGACACGAATACACACACGGTCAGCGGGGGGCCCCCACCCCCGGGGTGGGAGCGGCTCCCCCGGCTCACCTGAACGGGTATTCCTTGTTGCCAGCCGCAATGGACACCAGCAGAGGCGCATTGCTGAGCTGAACCGTCTGGTCCACGAAGCGCTCGGCGCGGGACAAAACCCCGGACAGCACCTGGATGGGAAAGGCGGTCGAACAGATCAGTGGAAGAGTGATTTTACCACTAGGAGCGCAATCGAAAGCAGCTGCTGCATACTGTGCCTGCCTTCTTGTTTTAAGGGCAAGTGCAGGTAGCGCCAGTATCGTTCGAAAATGTGACCCCTCTGCGTGACCCTTGCGCACAAAGACATACAACAAAACACGAGTAGTATAAATCTACTTCATAATCACACACAACTGATACATAAGCATGCATCGCCCCGACAGCAGCACATACATATACGTATACACCACCCTGTAACAACATACATACATATACACAGATATACACCCACACGCGCGCAGTCGCACACATGCACACGCACACACCTGCTGCAGCGCCGCCCGCTGCGCCGTCGCGTCCTTCTCCATCTCACTTCGGAACTTGGTCAGCTGCTTGCTCACCAGCTGCAGCCCCTCCAGCTCCGCACGAGCGGCCGCCAGGTCCACAGCCAGCTGCCGCCCGGCAGCCCCCAGAAGGGCATCCGCCACGAACAAGGGCGTCTGCAGCTTCAGACGCACGCCCTCACCGCCACCAGCCCCTGGTCATGGTTGCGATAGGGGTAGCAGGCAGACCGGCAAGGAGAGGTAGGCAGGAAATATGCAGCAGCAGCAGCAAAAGCAGCAGCAGCAAAAAGCCAGCAGAGCCAGGCCGAGCCAATTTGCGGAGTGCCAGGAAATGAACCCTTTGCGTCTTGAGGACATGACTGTGTTCGGTGCTCGGGTGATTCAAGAAGCGACGGGTGTATGTTCCACGGAGAATCCGGAATCATCACCATGGAGATTTAGCGGCACAGCAGCGGCCTGCCTCCCGGCTCGTCGCAACATACCCCTCCGTGGCGTGGTGCCCCTGTCGCCAAGCCGAGCGAAGCAGACTCTAAAGCCCCACCCGTTCTCCCTTCTCACTCCATAATCTGGCCCCGCACCACACCACACCGCACCACACCACACCGCACCAGGCCCGCTCACCTCGCCCAACGAGGAAATTCGACACCTGCCGCTCCAGCTCAGCAAAGTTGGACGAGCGCCAGTCAGGGGACGAAGGCAGTGCCGCATCCAGACTCTCCGCCTCGAGGGAGGCCGCTTCCCCGGCCGCCGAAGAAAAGGGCCCATCCGCGTCCAGTGAGGACGTGAAGCTGAGTCCCGCAGCGGCCAGCTTGGCACGCAGAGCGGCGCGCGAGCTCACCTACAAGCAGGAATGATAAAAACATGAGTGACAAGGGCAAGGGAAAAAGAGGACTAGTGGGAAACAAGGGGCGTTAGGGGAGCCGGATTAAAAAAACGGGGACGTTTGATCTCCTGGTTGCTTTGGGACAATGCATTGGGAAAGTTGGTCGTGGCTGGCATGGTCTGGGACTCCCAGACTGGGAGCGTAGGGAAATTGTTTTTTAAAAGGTCCCAAAGGTTCCAAAAAGGACTATAGCCGCGTCAGATGCCAAAGGAAGCTCCCACCCACCCCCGCAAGGTAACGTCACAAGCGCCATACGTGCCCTACGGCACGGACGCTATGACCGGGGACCTTGACCCGCAGCCACGGCACCACCTACCACTACGCCACCAGCAAACTACGCCATACATACATCCCAGAAGCGGTACCTATTCGCAGGGCATGGTGGCCCACACATGCCCACATGGCCGTAAACAGTTCTTGTCCCCCGCTCAGATTGTCAAGTACGTGCAGCAGCAGCGGCAGCGACCCCCCAGGGCATAGGACACAGGGCACGTAGCAGTTCACCGCACCCACCGCAATGACGGTAGGTCGGTCCAGTCGCAGGATGCGCTGCGCATTGCGCGCCACGAACTCCTTGACCGCCTCCACCTCATCGACGCTGTCCAGTATGTCGGCCTTGTTCACCACGAACACCACCTTCTTCTGCCACTGCCGGATGTACTCCAGGAACCGAACCTGGCGGGAAGTGAATACCCCCCAAAGACCGGGGAACAGGGGGAAGAAGCCAAGGAAAAACTGATGTGCCAAAAGTAGGGAAGCCATGAGTAAGCCAGAAGTAAGGAAGAAGGGGGTGGGACGCCGAATGGCTGAGAGTAGCCGAGTAACCGGGCGCGGTCTGGAAGAGCACTTGAGACGCTGGCGACTTGGCTTTAATTGTGCACTGGGGCACGGTACCCGCGCTCAGACATTAGGGTTTTAGGGCTTTGGGTTTGGGGTTTGGGTTTAGGGTTTTTAGGGGCGCGGTACCCGCGCTCAGGTAGACATTCAAGGTGATGATAAAAGGGGTGCAGCCGTGTTCCGCTGGCCCTTCTTTTCCCCTCCCGCTTCCTCCGCTACGTTAGCCCTCCCCCAGTACACGCAATACACGCACACGCTCGCGCATTTCTGATCTATCAGACATACGTGTACATAAGAATAAAACGCGCGTGCGTGTGATTATGTTGGCTGTTGGGGGCTTCTTGCTTAGTCGTGCAGCAACCTCGCCAGCTCCTGCCCCTTTCTCCAGGTGGTTAAGACACATGACAAGACTTTTGCGTTGTACTATGTCGCTAACCTAGCTTGTGGCTTCTAGGCTCTTGGGCCTCTACTGGCTCGTATGGGTTCCTTACTCCTCTCTGGGTAACGCAACCGAGGTGTAACACACACAAACACACACACACACACACGCACGGGCATGTTCACATCCCCTTCACACACACTCCCCAAAACACAGACACCGCTTTCACACCTCGCTCTCGCTGAACGGTCGGTCCGCACTCATGACGAACAGCACCAGGTCCGCCCTAGGCACGTACTCCTCCGTGAGCCGCTGCTGGCGCTCCAGGATGACGTTGGTGCCAGGGGTGTCCACAATGCTGAGGTCCTGTTGGGTATGGGTTGCGCAGGAGGAGCAGGTGGAGGGGCAGGAGGATGATGAGGAGGAGGATGAGCAAGAGGAGGGGCAGGAGGAGGGGCAGGAGGAGGACAATGATAACAAGAACACCAACATAAACGTGGGAGTGACGTGATGAGTAGATAGGAAGTAATATTGTTGTCAATGAGGAAATAGGGAAGGGTACACAGCACAGCACAGCACAGCACAGCACAGCACACCACACCACAACGCCACGCCACGCCACACCACACCACACCACACCACACCACACCACACCACACCACACCACACCACACCACACCACACCACACCGCCACGCCACGCCACACCACACCACACCACACCACACCACACCACACCACACCACACCACACCACACCACACCACACCACACCACACCACACCACACCACACCACACCACACCACACCACACCACACCACACCACACCACACCACACCACACCACACCACACCACACCACACCACACCACACCACACCACACCACACCACACCACACCACACCACACCACACCACACCACACCACACCACACATATAAGTGGGTAACTTTAGAGAGGCGTTGCAACGAATTGAGGAGGGAAGAAGAGAGGAGATGGGGGACACCGGGACCATGGCACTTCTTGGGGCATGGGAACCAGGGTTCGACACCCCGTACGGGGCCCGTAAGTTTTTGGCCTTTTTTCGGTATCCCCGTCAGGGCCCGTAGGACTTTGCGGTGGCTCCCGTAAGGATTTTGGGGCGCGAAGCGCCCCGTACGGGGCCGCCCCCGGACCGGCCGAAGGCCGGTTACGGTGGCTCCCGTAAGGATTTTAAGGATTTATAAGAGGCCGTACGGGGCCCTGTAGGGGAGAGGACGGACCATATAATGGATGGAAAGCCTGCAAGCCAACCTGTTCCCACAAAGAAAGTAGATGATAAGCCTTTTTGACGTTAGCAAAATTAATTTGAATCCATACGGAGAGGATGATAATGAGGAGGTTGCGACTGACCCAGAGATTGAATTACTGGTACAAGCCCGCTAGTGGCGATGAGGCTTTTAGTGGCAGTGACTACGAGACCGACGTAGAACGAGATACCGATGAGTCGTGCGCGGATGAGGATTTTGATGATGATGAGGATGAGGAGGACGAGAAAGAGGAGCAGAAGGGATGGGCGGCCGCGGCGGCCAAGGCGCTTGGCTTTCGCTGAGTGTGCCGTGTCCCCGAGTGTAATGGTTCACGAGAAAATAACGAAAATAACGATTTACAGGGCAAAAAAATGCAAAGCGTCACTTTCCACAGCGTTTCAGCCAAGGACAATGCCCCCGTAAAGGTTTTGCGGGGGTTACGGGGGCCCCCGTAAGGTTTTCGGCCGGTACAGGAGCCTGGTACGGGGGCCCCTCCGTAAGGAAAATTTGGGAGGTACGGGGTAGCCCGCAAGTTTCAGAAAGGTCAGTGTCGAACCCTGATGGGAACACAAACGAGCGTTTTGCACAGAAACAACACGCATACATACATACGGACATGCACACACATACATATATGCACATACACATACGCACATACGCACATACGCACATACATACACACACCTGCAGCAGCTTGGCCGGCAGGTACCTCACGTACAGTCCGTCCGCCTGCTGTTCCAACTGGGCTGTAGCGGCTGTAGCTCCCGCAGTGGCCGAGTACTTGAGGATGGAGATCTCGTTGGTGGTGGGCAGGATGCCCTCCGCGAGGTAGCGCCTGGGGGAGGACCGAGGACAACATTTCCCGGGTAGGAAGGTAGGAAGGTAGGAAGGTAAGAAGGTAGGAAGGTGGGTAGGAAGGTAGGAAGGTAAGAAGGTAGGAAGGTAGGTAGGAAGGTAGGAAGGTAGGAAGGTAAGAAGGTAGGTAGGAAGGAAGGAAAGCGAATGTGGCGGGAAATCTAATTATATTGTCAAGGTCCAGATGTTCTACCTGCACCTGCACCTACATCCACATCCAGTGCCAGTACCAGCACCCACATCATCACCCACATCATCACCCTCACCTCCCCAGCAGCGCATTGATGACTGAGGACTTGCCACTGTTGAACTCGCCCACCACAGCCACCAAGAACGGCTCGTCCAGCGCCTGTAGGACCATTCCAACCACACCACCATGCGGACCGTCCAGTCAAGAAAATAAATGAAACCGATCGCGGCAGGTGCATCATTGCGGCAGGTACATCTCGGGCATTTCGGCTAACTCACGTTCTGGGCTTTTTTCATCCCATGGATAGGGCCACCGTGAAACCTAACAGCCTAACACAACGCAACCAGGCAGGTAGACGCAACCCTAGGTCGGCCCCAAGTTGGCGTCCGTGCAGGAAGGACAACGCGGTAATGGACGCATGTATATGTGTATGTATGTATGTGCGTATGCGGGTACGTGCGTACGCCACAGTGCCGTCGCCACAGTGTACCGCCCACCGCATAACAAATAACACAGAGAAGGTGTACGGCACACGGTGCTAGGCACATTAGCCACGAGTACGGGGTAGTGGATGATCCATGCCAGTCCATTTGTGGGCGTCAGACGTATGTATGTATGTATGTAACCGTCATCATAATGATTTCCTGAATTCCGCTGAGGGCCCCCCTCATCTCACCTTGAGTGCGTCTCGGAGTAGGGATAGCTCACTGACTCCTGGCAGGGTCTGAAAGCCCCAAGGGACGGGGGCGCCGGGGGGTGGGGGAGGAGGAAGGGGCGAAATAAGGGAAAAGAGGATAAAACACGGGATGATCAACAATTAACCTTCGTTTTTCAAACACGCTTCGTGATGCTATCGCCGTAGATGCAGGGCGCTTTTTTCTAGGTCGCCGGTTCGACCCAAAACCGTTCTGGGAAAACACATACAATTCCAAACGTAAAGCATTTCATTCGGGAGGGGAGGGAGGGAACTGGAGAGAACTTCGAGAGAACAGTCTCCTAGCCTTGCGAAAAAACACGTCTCTCCTCCACGCGTCTTCCTTCTACCACACGACGTCCCTCCTATCCGAAAGCACTCTCACCCCGTCGTAGCTAGCTATAGCCCAGACACACTGCCAGCACGCTTCCGCCTCACCCCCTTCATCAAAAAACATTCCAGTGACCTCAACGTCTGCCTGCTCCTGCTCCTTTCAAACGCCATACCCGCCGCGCTTCACTCACCGGTTATGCACCTGGGCAGATCGACAACCCAAACCCTAAAGCCCTATCTTTCCCCTAGCCTGGCAGGCCCGTGAGGTTATCGTTCTGCTAGCGTGTGACTGCCCAACCAGCGTGATTCCCCAGGCAGCCCGCCAGAAGAATGTGAAGAAAACCCAAAACGTGATCTTATCATAAGAATCAAGAAATATCGCCAGTTGCGGGAGGTTAGCATGTCCCTCCTTTGGAGCGAGGTAGAGAAACAAGGTAAACCTCGCACCCTAACGCGCTCAGTTCAGTTCAGTTCAGTTCAGTTCAGCTAAGCTCGCACCTCCTCCAGAAACGATAGGGCCTCCGCCAACGTCGCCTTCTCGTCCAACAGCAGCGTCTCACGCTCCGGATCCAGCAGCCGCCGCAACGGTCGACTGGACAGCGGCGCCGGCGACGAAGGCGACCGCGGCGCCGAGGGAGCGGCCGGCGAAATGGCGGGGACGGGCTGGCGCGGCGGCGGCGCCACTACCGCCGGCGCCGCAGCCGCTGCTGCTGCTGTGGACGCGTGTGCCTGGCGGCTTTGGGCCGTCGCGGGCTCCGCTGCCGCTGCCTGATCCTCGGCCTGCTGTTGCTGCTTCTGCTGTTTGGGCCGTTTCGCGGTCCCGGCGGTCGCAGCTTTGACGTTGAGGCGGGTCAGGATTGCCGTGGTGTAGTCAATGATGCTCGAGGTCTGCAGAGGAGGTGAAGGGATGGATCCACACCACGTCATCAATCCTCTATCCTCTGGCCTCTATATTCTCTAGGATAAGAAAGGCCCAGAGGGAAGTCAATCCACGACCAAGTCCATGCATAACGGTGGGTGTGATGCCGTCGGGGCCCCCAGCCGCAACAAAAGCAAAAGCCTGCCAGAGCTAGCCAGGCTAACCGCCCACATGCATGGACTCCTTCCTGTCCGGCCTTGGCTGTTAAGGAAGGTCCCTCGCTCCCGGCAGGTAGGGCTTCCCTAGCCCTGGCCAAAGCCAAAGCCTCTGCCCTATGCTGCTGGTATATACCTGGATACCTGGCCTCGACCCGGGCCTGCCTTGCCTCATCCTACCCACCAGGAAAGCTCCTTTCACCCACAATCCCTCCCATGCCCGCAGCGAGCGACAGGCACACGGTACTGCTTCGCCACTTATGGCTCACCGTCCTCAGCACAATCCTAGCTCAGATGCTACTCTTCCTTCGAAAAACATGGACAATGTGTTTTGCCGCCTCCCTCCCGACCAGAGGCCGCAACTCCCCCCGTCACCTGGGGGACCCCGTGCACACCGCGCCACGCCGTGGATGTAGTAGTAGGTAACAAGCAGCTAGCCTCACGTCCACACACTCAGACGCGCACCTGTTGTGTTGTTCCACGCACGTGCGCCTTCAAAACCCAGCATCTATACACACACACGCGCGCACGCGCGTCAAGCCATCCATTCCCGGGGCCCCCCCGCACCTCCGGCAGGTCGAAGCAACACCGGGCAACCTCCGGCAGCGCCTCCGGCGACACCGCCACACCGTCGATGTCCGCCTCTAGCGCTTCCTCCACGCCGCTGCCCGCACCCGTCGCCCGCACGCTCATCAACAGCGGGATGGCGTTGCCGCTGCGCTGCCCCGATTTGGACGCCTCCAGCACGGCTGCGCTGGGTGGTGCGCCGCCTCCGGGGCCCTGAGGACACGGGGGCACAGGGTCAGGGCAGGGCTTTTGATCCTTGAGCTGCTTGCTGTTGCTGCTGCTGCTGCCAATTTGCATAATTATAATCAAACCTTCTGGCCAAAACGAGCAACAAACTTCGCTGCTGCACAGCAGCTCCTGCACTTCCTGTTACCCTGGAAGCCCAGGGTTGTTCTCCCTCCCTGCCTCCCACCTCCCTCCGCCCGCTGATCAGTTCTGCTTCGTGTACACTCTCTCCTTGGCAGCAGCTTCACTCGTCCACGTGGTTCGTCTTTTCCACCTTCCCTCCCTCCCTCCCTTCCACCCCCGCACGGAGGCCGCGGCGACATGGACTCACGTGGACGTTACTACCTACCGTGACGAGCACCAGGTTGGCGCCGTCAGCCGCTGCGGTGATGGCCGCCCCCTCATCCGACACCACGCGACCCACGAGCGCTGGGCCCGAGCCGGACAGCATCCTCCGGGCGACGACAGTGGGGACACCTAGGTGGTGGTGGTGGTGGTGGTGAAAATCCATCCGCCGCGTGGAGGATGGGATGCCCAAGTCAGGTACAGCAGGCTATTAGACAATGAAAATCGCCCAGACTGTAAAAATCACATGGCGATCACATGCATGTGTGTATGTACTTCTGTTCATGCTTGACTTTTGTCGTGGATGTGTCGTCTGCCGTGGATGTGGGGCGGTGTGCACGTATGCCAAGGTGCTGCTTATAGAAGCGGGGATTTGGGGAAATGCGTCTCGTTGCGAAAGGCTGCTGAGGGGGGAAGGGGAGAAAGCTGTGGAACGCTGTTGTGGTGGGGCGCGGGATGGCGGGGGATGGCGGGACCCAATTCGGCAGCAGCAGCACAGCGCCTTAGCAGTGCTTCCAACGTCCTTTCCCTCATACTATAGCTGAGCTGTGCGGACAATACTAGGTCCAGTTGAGGTTAGGTATAGCATCGCACCTTGATTGGTCAACAGCACCCCCTGCGCTCCCACGGCAAGTGCAATGTCCGTACGATCGACGAGCAGCAGCGCTGCGCGCCCACGCAAGAGGTCCTGTATCCGCAGCGCGGCATCATACATGGACGCTGCGTTGGCGTTGCTATCCCAGAGCACGATCATGTTGCAGCCGCCTTGTAGCGCCTGGCTCATGGCATCCGGGAGCGCAGCGTCCGAAAGCACCTTCGACGCTTCTACCTGCAGCGCGACGGCTGGCAGCTGCACGCGCGCTTGTTGCATGCCTGATGGGAAGAGGCCTAGCCCAGACGACGCAGTTGTCGACGAGATGGGTTGCGCTTGGCAGACGACGGACGGAACAACGTTGTGGAATTGCGACGAAACCCATCGAACGTGACGACGACTAAACTTCAAGTAAACAGGCTCAGACGATAAAGCTGTCGAACTGCTAGGCTGGTGAAGCAGAGGGACAAAAGGTATTTGGGCTGAGGAAAGGCGAGCAGAGGCGCTACCGCGCATCGTAAAATTGGTTAGTTTCATCTTAGCGATATCCTTATGTTGATCACACTTGATCTGCTAGATGAAGGAAACACCCTGTGTCTGAATGAGCTTTATCATAGCGCGGCTGTCAAAAAAGCCCCAACGTTCCTCGATCTAGGTGGCACATGTCGAGAGCGATGATGCAAAAGCAGTAAATTTAGCCAATGGGTAGGTGAGATCTTTTGTTCACACTCGTCTCGTACACACGTCCTCTATTTCCGGTCTAAAATGCTCACCAGTTTTCCAATCTTTACATCTTTATCTACAAGTTTAACAGCACGTACTACGTGCCGGGCTCCGTATGGAAGTACTTATCCAGCTGTCGGAGGCGCAGCGCGTCTTCGTGCAATTCTGTGGTGTGTTGAAGGTGCGGCCCTGTTCCAGAACCCACGTCTTAGAATGTTTAGCATGCTTAATATCTCAGGAAAAAACATGTTATGACACCTCCAAAGCTGCCTTGCACGTCGGTAACGCACATCTTTCGGCGTATTCCCACCCCCAACCTCAGGAACTCATCCTTAATCACCAGGTTGCGCACTCCGTAGTACAAAGCCTTCATAGCGACCTTCCGTTGCTGCAACCTGTGCGCAAGGGCCTTACCCTAAATGCTGCAGCTGCAGTGTCCCACGTGGCAGATGGCGAAGCTCCGAAACCCACCTCTGAGCTGGAACAGCTCAAGCTGCTGGTATGGGGGTTTCCCTTGGGTCACAAATCCGGCGTCACATGTTGAGTTTCTCTGCTTCAAGAGCTAGGATCCGCATCTAGTCGACGGGAGCTTTCTCCCGACCTTTCCGAATTTCTTACACACTGCGCCCATGCATCCAACTCGCAGCTGACACTGTCCCACATCGTATATCAGCAGACATGCAGTACATTGACCGAACCGAAACGGAACTCCCGTTACCACCTTCCAATTTTTCCTACATCGTGCGTGACCGGTGTACTTCATGGTAATGGAGACGGTAAGCTAGCTGTCCCGGTGTTGCGATGCAGGCGCCCCGCCTGACCTCAACGGTGGCAGCAGCAGCAGCAGCAGCATCAACGACTGGAGCCGACGGGGCCCTATCATACCGTGTCGCCTCGGAAAGCCAGGACAACTACATCATCCTCCAGAACGCAACACTGCGGTCTCGGGACCTGTTACGTCGCCTCCAGGAGTTGCAGCAGTCGGCAGTGGCGGCAATACAGGACACGCCGCAGCAGCCGGACGCTTGGCCTTCTGGAGGGCGCTTGGCCCCGATTCAAGATCCGGATCTGGATTCAGGTAGGTTTGATGTGGATCGGAAATGTTTTTCCCTGGGCAAGCTACGGGTGACACCGCATGCAGGAAAAGCGAAGGCAGGTATGGTTTGAAAGCACCCATTACGTATGTTATGATCTTACAATTAACATCATAATATACGTAATGGGTGCTTCGAATGTTAATCGTAAGTCAACGAGACACATTGTAAACCCAAAGGATGCTGTTTTAGATAGTTTTGTTGATGGGCTGTGTGCGATGGAGCCGAGTTGCCGCGTCTTGCTTGCGGCCCTTCCTGATGGCATTTGTCTGCGCTGCTTTGAGGGCTATGTTCGCTATTCAGCGAGTTGTCAACTAGGGCTGCTTGTCCTTCTTAAGCGCTGCGCGCTGCTGGATCCGTACCGAGTACGGTGAGTGTGACCGTGGTGCTGCCGGCAGGGCTCTTGGAGCCTGGATTGCAGCAGCTGGCGGGGGACAACGGCGCGGCCATCACCGGCGTGGACGTCGATGTCGACGTCGTACTCTTTCCATCTGTCAGTGTAGTACAGGACGGCAGCCAAAGCAGCGACGCCGCATGTGCTGATGCTCCACCACTCACCCCGGGGCCAGATCCGCGATATTTCACGCCCCAAAGCTCCAGCAGCGCGGCTGCTACTACGCCAACGCCAGTGGCGGCGGCCCTGACGTCGCCGCCGCCGCCTGCTGCCGTACAGCCGTTGCCTGGGCCCGACCTGGCTATCCTAATGGGAGAGCTATGCAGGGAGTTATCTCTGGAAGTGGAGCTCCTGGTGAGTAGTACGACTGTACGGCAGGGTGGCGGATTTCGTATGTACGGCGGTCCTGGCATGGCGTTGATGATAGGCGGGGAGGGCCAGGGGGTGGCGTTGGAAGAAAGATTCAGTTGGGCACTCGTTTGACTTTCGGAGATGCTTCGTCACCGTGATGCTGTTATAAATTTGAATTCATTTTCTAAAGGAGCAGGCGTAAACCCCAGGTGAAAAACAGTAAAGTTTGATATTTGCGTTATCTGCTGCAGCAGAACCAAGAGGAACTAGATGTCTCGGTGAGATACCCGGTGCATTTTTCGCTGTTTTTCCTTATTGCCTAACAACCCTTGACATGCGATTGATATAGTGGCTGTGTTATGTATGTGATGCTGCGAGCCATTACAGCTGCGTCGTGTGTTCATGCCGGAGACCGCATAATTTTTTCGTTTCTTGTCTGCCCGACAGAGCCGTGTCGCCGGCGCTGTGGAGCTTCAAACCCCTCAAGACGATATGTACGTGTACGAGATGCTGCTTAAGTTGCAGCCGTACACGGACGAGCGTGCGGTGGCGGCGGCGCTCGCGCAGAGGGAGCTGTTAGCGCAGGCAGTTACGGGACGGGTGGAGGGTCCAGGGCAGCTGGGGCCAGATGCCCCGGGTTCTGCACGGGGCAAGCGGTAGAGGGTTTTTATCGCCTGCAACGTGGCTGTTGCGGAACTGCGCGGTAGCAGGTGCGGCCGCTCGGCTCTGTGCCCGTCGTTTCCTTGATCGCACCAACTCCTGCAAACCGGCCTGGTCCGTGGGCACATGCGAGGGAACGGCTATGCAGGTGTACTTGTGTCTGGGTCTAACGCTCTCGCTTATACGACAGCCACATGTGTCCCACGTGTGAAACAGTAACAGCAACAACAACTGGCTTTCTGGCATTTAATGGACCGCGTTTTTATTGACCGCGTCGATCGCAGATTTACTAGGAATACTTCTCTCGTGATATTTGGGTGAAAAGATGGCTGTGTGAAGACGGATTTCCTGCGGACATGCCAAACGAAATGAAGTCCCCGTTGCTTTGGGCTGTTCGCTTTGGGACGTCCGCTCCAGTGGTGGGGTATAAGAACCTCATCAGGCCGTCGTTAGCTGTGGATGATAACCTCTCTCAGCGGGGCGATGAATTGAGGTATCATGTTGATGCCATTGTTTAGGCCAGAGGGGTGCAAAGCGGCGCCCCATCCTGGCGTCCTGGTGTGGGGTGGTTCCGGGCTTAGTCGGGTGTTTAGACGACCACATCCAACCCACACAGTCCCGTCGTCATCACTCCGCGATTTCGCAGTGTTCACAAATCCCTTTAAAACAAATCTTTAGCCATGGAGAGCCTTACGTACACTTTTGAGGATTAATTCTTGTCCTTCGCTCGCCATCAAGCCACGTCTATAACCCATTTTCAACTCGTTAAAAATTTTCTGCGCGCCGCTGGAAATCTAAAGCGTGCTGCTCTTCTGCTCCTTTCTACAATTTCACCTTCTCCCTTCATTCCCACACCACTCTGCCCGCCTTCTTTCACTACGCGCGCTTATGCACGCTCCTTTGCCCCGCTTCTTTATTAATTTACGAGTTCACAGTCGCAGATGTCGGCTGCCCTCCGAAACCACCCACGACTTGGGAATTTCACCCAATCGACACCTACCTACGACATCAGCACCTTATCCATCCCTTATCCATCCCTTCCTACTCCATGCCTACCCGTGTCTATCCGCTGCCCTCGCATTACACACAACCGAGGCGTTTGGAAGCCGAGCCACGTTGACGGGCGAAAAGAGGGAGGGAGGACAGATTCCTCCTTCCCCGTTCGTTTCAATCCCTCTACTTGCGCGACTCAGCCGCTGCCGCCTGCTCGACCTTCTCCTTAATAAACAGCGTGCCGAGCGCGAGCACGCTGAGCAGTACCGCAGCGGCAAACGCCGCCTCCGTGTTGTATTCCTTGTAGGCGCTCTCGACAAACAGCGTCAGCGTCTGGGTCTTGCCAATAATGTTGCCTGTCCGGAAAAGTGGAAATTGACAGATTTTACAAGCAAAAGGGACGGTAACCAAGGAAAATAAAAGGGAAATTTCATGTGAAAGAAGAGAAAACGTAAGGGCGACGCAGGAAAGTTTGCAAAGAACGTGCGCAACGCCTGACATGCAGGAAAATGACCTGGAACTACACAATCGACGACTTGTCAACAGCACACGTGGAAAAGAACCGTAGCTGCCATACACGCAGCCGCAGCAACTTCGTCCCAGGAACTATTTTTCGGTTATCCCAACAAACCCTCACTTACACATAACGACCCAAAACTGTCAACCAACCACTCACCGGATATAACGGATACAGCGCCAAACTCGCCCATGGCACGTGCATTACACAAGATGACGCCGTAAAGCAGACCCCAGCGGATGTTGGGCAGGGTGACATTCCAAAACACCTGCCAACACACGACGCGCGGGGTCACCAGTGCGAGTATGCTTCATCATGTGGGATGAGGATTATCCAGGAAGACCTCTACAACCCATGACCCGGTAGCGCCCTGAATGACCCAGCCCTATCCTAACCCCCTCCGCCCCGACCCCGACCTGTCCGAGTGTCGACTAGCCCAGCGCCAACCTGCCCCAACCCGCTCTTGCCTGCCAATCATTCGCGCCCAACGTCCGTGCCGCCTCCTCCTGGCTCAAATCCATGTTCTCGAGGATTGGGATGAGCTCCCGGACCACGAACGGCAGGGTGACAAACATGGTGGCCAGGGCCATTCCTGGAATGAAGTTGCATGGCGGGTGGGTGGGAACGATGAGGGACACGGAAGGCGACGGGGAGCAGATGCCGCACGGGATTTGTACATAAGGCGGAAACGGAACTGGTCCAGGAAGTGGGAAGGGGATGGCTAGGAAGTACACTTTACAAGCCAACATGTCAATGTACGAGCGTGCTGCGCACCCGTCAAACGAGGTTCTCATCCTAAGATAAATCCACTCTCCTTGAGCGATCCCAATGGGTGCACTCCATGTTGTTCCCTTACCCATGTAGGAGGACTCGTGGCCGTGGCACCCACCACCTCTATCCGGGTGGAAACGGCATTCGGCCAGGTCATGCATCTTACCATCTTACCAAACCCCATTCCGCCTAGTGTGTCCTATGCAAACCTCAAATTCGACCCATATCCCGCTCCCATATATCGCTCTGACCCACGTAGCCTTTCCCACTCCGCAGTAAAGACATACCGGTGAACGCAAACACCACACTGATGCCTGTCTCCCGGAGCAACGCTGCAAACCAGCCCGTACGGCCGTACAGCAGCGTCAGCATCAGGCCCGTCACGACGGGCGAGATGGAAAACGGCAGATCCAAAAGTGACATCAAGAATACCTGCAGGCACACACGCAGCCAAGCAGGTATGAGGACTGCCACAACTGAACGAGGGCTAGCCGTGAGAGGCAAACAACGAAGGAAAGAAACAGCGTGCGGAGTGACGCGCTCTTCTGTTGCACATCCTATGTGGAATGAGAACTACTACTACTAATATAATAATAATAATGCTTCCCAGCACCTTCCAACGCACCTTCCCGGGAAATTCGTTGCGTGTCAGGTTAATGGCGGCCACAGTCCCAAACACCGTGTTCAGGGGCACAGTTACGAAGGCCAGCAGCAGTGTCATTTTCAACTGTGTACGGCGCATGACGAGGAACAGCATGCGGTACAAGAAAAGGCGGGTACGAGGGGCGTGGTCAAAAGGGAAGGAGCCAAGCACTGGATGGGGGCGGTGTGTGTGTGAGGAGGGTCGAGGGTGTGAGCTGCGTAGCGTACGCATCTGGTCTCCTAGGCCCCAGGCCAGCGGCAGCTCTTTTCACATAGCACTGCCGGTGTTTTGCGTTGCGTGGCGAGGCGAGCGTAACATCCGTATGAGGTTACGGTATTCTCCAGCATCACACCTCCTAACAATAATAATGATAACGAGTGGTGACAATGTGTCGCAGCATAATGCAAGTGACAAGTAACAAGAGGCACACAGACAGACATACAGGCACCCCGCGTTCGTTTCGGTAGGCCCCTTTAATGCCGTTCTCTTGACTCGGCACAGACCATTTATTGTGGTGTTACTGGCGTTACTGTTGCTTCACACAGCACAGCTTCCGAAGGGTAGGGCACAGCTTCCGGGAAGGCAACCGCCTGGCCGCTGATAACACGAAAGTTACATCCGTTCCTGGGCGATGCCTACTGCTGTGGTTTCGGAGAGCTTACCGCGTGGAGGAAATCTGGGTCAAGGCAATGCTCTAGGAAAGGTACGATCCCCTTTGCGAAAGCCTGCGGCCCAGGAAAAACCAAATCCATCATAGGGCTTTGTCTAGAGAACAGCTTAATCGTCCAGGGAGGAGCCTGAAGCTGGTTATGGAGAGAGCAGTGATGTGTGACTCATCTATAGCATGTTGTGCTGCGAAGGTATGAGGCCAAGCCTAAGGGAAAGTTGGGAAGCAGGGCAATTCCGTTGCTGCCGAGGGCAGGAGTCGTGCGGTGTTTTTCGCCAGATGCCAAGACAAACATGGTTACCTGGAAAAACACATTGAAGAATGGCACCAGTACAACGAGAGCTATGTACACGACTGCTAGTCCGACCAGGATGCGTTTGGCCAAGTTGTCGACCTGAAGGGGAAGGAAAGCTGCGTCAGGCCATGCGCGAGTGGCCTCGGCACATGGCGACGCTTTACCGGTTCCCCTAATCCACCCCCGTGGCCTCCCATGCCTCCTGCTGGGCCTGCTTGTGAGATAAGCAGGCCCCCGCGCACTCGCCGCTGCGTGAAATGTGCCTGCGGCAACTGCAAGCCATGCTGTGCTCCATTCTCCCGAGATCCGGCAGTGGCAATCCCACAGTATTTTGATGTTGAGGGTCCACAACTATGTATGCAGGTTCGTCTTAAGGTGCAAGGAGCAGGCAATTGTTGTATGGGTCTCGTGGCGACCGAGGCCGATGAGGGCGTGGATATGTTGAGCGGACTTGCCGCCATTCGTAGATATAAATTAATAAGAAGGGATTAGATGGCGGGACAATCATAGATGAATGAATACGTGTATCTTGAAACACTACGTGGCGGCCTGAAGTACAGGGTATCCTCCATTCCTTGTGCTCACAATTGCCTGAAACTATATACAAACATATTCTGACAAGGAGAGCAACCGATTGCGATTTTTAGTATAACAGGTCAGCATTTGACTCTAAACACCTGTATTTTTCCTTACCTGGTCCTGTCCAAGCCGTCAAGGTCTTTGCATAAATCCAGTTCTACAAAGGCTAAACGTTATGCAGTTAAACATCGCGAAAGGAGCCCTACTTCTTGGAATTGTAGGCCTAATGTTTAGCGCGGATGTAATGAGTATGTTTGGGGGTGCTCGAGTGCAAAGTCCCATAGATCCAGATGGTGGCCTTTCGCTGGGTGGACGGGTGCATATCTCCTTCTGCAGTAGCTGAGGAATGCGTGGCGCGTTCGGTCAAGTCCAACAGCTCGTCCGAACGCGGTAAGTTACGTTAAGGAAGGTGGGATGATTTACCAGCATCGGTACAAAAACGCACATTTGATTCTGTGCTGCAGTTTTCCCGGGGTTGAGGTTCACGGTACCACGTACCCCTTGCCGGCATGGAAGAGGCCGCTGGTCACGGCGGCTAGGAGCATACAGATGACGGCCTTGGCGTTCTGCATAGCTGGAGACCACATTTTCAGGCAGCTCGGAATGCAGCCAGTGGCTTGGTACACGCAGAACGTGGCATCCAACCGGCCCGGTGCCGTGATGGGCGTCTGGTTCGTAGGCAACATGCTGATTACTAACCTTCAGAACACGGGGGCGTTTGAAATATACTTTGACGGACAGCTGGTGAGAGCAACTCGGCATGGGAGAGACAGGAGAGATGCGAGAATTGGAGGGGCGAGGGGGGAAGATGAAATGTCTGGGCCCCTCGTCGCACATTCGTAGCTCCTAGAGGCTTGAAATTGACGCGGCGGTGCGTAATGGCTAGCGTCTTAGCATGGCACTAGCTCCATTCTGGCTGTACCCACCACAGCCATGCGTCGCTTTTCCGTGTACCGGAAGATTCCCAATCGTCCTAAGTCACATCCTTCCTGACTGCATCTCCGAAAAGATGCGAGCCACGGCTTGGACCATGAGTTGACCAAGCAAGCTGAGGGACAGGTCAAGAAACCCAGGCAACGATTTTCTCATATCCTTGGCTTTCGCTCCTCCCCCCATCCCGTTTTCAGATCTTTTCCAAGCTGGCGGAAGGTCGCATGCCCACAATGGCAGAGCTTTTGGGCCCTATGGAGGCCTACTTTGCAACGGGGGCTGGCGGTGGGTCCAGGACGGCGATGACCGACGCAGCAGCAGCAGCTGTTAGGGCCGGAGGTAACGCTCCACGGGATTCCCGGGCGAGACCGGCTGGCAACGGCGCAGGGGTAGTGGCTCCGGAACCAGACCACGACGGGGAGCTTTAGCACACACATGGCAATGAACTCCTTGAGGAGAGAAGACTACTTAATGTGAAGCACCCATTGCTCCGTGGAGGATGCTGCTGGCGGGAGAGCGGGACACAGGGTGGTAGTGGCAGTGGCGTGTCGGGCGGCGTGTGTAGGGCAGGGAAAAGGCTCCGGATGACGGCGGGCGGCCGAACCTAACGACCCACGGGTCGTTGGAGGCGCTTCACCTGATCGGGTACGTGGAGTTCTTTTCCTGTTTTTTTCCTACAGACGCACACACTTGTGGCACAGCACGGCTCGATGCTGGCTCATGGCGTAATGGTCCTGCGTGTCTTGCTGCCAGGGATTGAGGTGGTGGTTCTTAGTAGTAGAATCTCCCTACACCCCCAAAAGTGTTTTCCGGGAGTGCTAGTCTTTTGAGTGGGATGTGGTGAGAGACGAAAGAGATGCATAGATATTACACCGGGCTGACGCTCGGCGTTGCCTGCCGATGCACGACGAGAAGCTCAAGTTGTGCAGCCATAGCCTGCTGGATTTAATCTTCGTTGGTTTTAATTATAAAAATATTACAACAACAGCCAGTGACAGATTTGTTTATAGTAAGGAAATGACATCCTAAGGCGCAAACCTGAAGCATGGATAAAAACTGAACATGTGATTGACCAACAGCAACTACGTGAAATCCGTCTACCATAAATCTCACCGAAATGTCTTTCGTCACAGTGGGACACGAGAGCATCAAGACCCACATCCGGGATACTTCCTTTGAAGAGCCTCATTAGGATGCCCTCGGCAAAAGGCACAAGGTACGACAGCGCTGACAGGCTACCAGTATGCATCCTGATGCGCACTGTCAAGTGTTTTGGCGTCCGTGCTAAACACATTACCCAGCCTGGTAGTGCTAAACTTCTCATCTCCTTATCTGCTCTTGCAGACCGCATGGCCGCCCTCCTAGCGGTCTCGGTGCATCTTCCCGTGTCGACTACACCCATACTGTTTATCGTCGTCGTTGGCTTTATCACCACCATCTTCATCGTCTTCTCTATAGAGGCTGGCATGTATCGCACCACCATGTTGCAACTCGCAACCCAGCTCTCGCTGCTTCCAACCCTCCTCTCAACCCTCCCCCCCAGCCCCCTATCAATACGTCAAGCTCTTAAGGGAGTTACACGGAAGAAATAGAGCCACAAACATTTCCTAAGGTTAAAACAGAAGACGACGTGGCTCCACAAATTCTCATATCGCAGGTTTAGCTTTAGGGTTTCTAAAACCCTAAAACCCTCACCTCCTAACCGCCCTCCTCCCGTCCAACACACGGCGCTTCCTTATGGTGGTGAACGCTGCTACTCTGGCAGCTGCATCAGCAACAGCGGCTTGGGGCAGTTGCGGCTAAGGTGTGACGCGACACTGCCATGAAGGGCTTCCAGCAGCAGACCTCTCCTCGAGTAGTTGAGCAACACCACCATCTTCACAGCGGGGTTACTGGCGGCCAGATGACATACCTGGAATCGGGGTTGCAGAGGTCCAAAGGCTTTTCTCTCTCGGGGATAGTCACGAGACGACGAGACGATGATGGTGGTGGTGGAGAGCGGGCCGTGGTGGCCATGCCGCAATGGCAAAAGGGTTTCACGACAGGTACGACAGAGGACCTTGCCTGCCGTCAAGGCATAAGACGCAAAGCAAGGTTCTCACACAGGACAGGAGAGGCAGCAGCGCCTCTCAGCAGCGCCTGTTGCTTGCGAAGCTTTTAAATTGTCAGGTGGGGCACAAAGGCGGCGGAAGAGATAACGAGTCGAGGAAGGGACAGCGATGGTGCCGCAGTACAATACAGGCACGCAGCCTCCCTTTCACGCATTATGTAATTGGGTCATCAGAAAGCAGATCGTGTGCTCGAGGCTTTTACCCGCATAGCATTAGGGGATGTACAGGCTGTACAGCTGTACAGCCTGTACATCCCCTAATGCGTCGTTACCAGTTACCACATTTCCATAGGCACGATGCTCGAGTATTTTGACTTTATGTTATATGTTAACATGGCGGTAGCAAGAACAGCTATAGGCGAGGTTTTTTGCTACTGTTTATTGGTCATCCGGACCCAGTTGCTGGTGCAGACCCGTCGCCCTACCCCTCCCCGCCGTGCCGTACCTGGTCACCTAGATCCTGTGGATCTCCCGTGCTGCTGTACAGCTGCCTGTACGACACCTGTCCCAGGCCACGGCTCTGAAGCTGGTTGGCGATGGCAGTGGACAGCGAGGGCATACCGCTGAGGCTAGGTCCAGCCACATGCCAGATAGACAGCGCATCACCTGTACGGCACAAAACACCGCACGGGAAGGGACTTTCGTTAGGGAATAAACAGGAGGCAAGCATGCATCAAGAATCCATAAGCAAACAGAATCCATAAGCAAACAGAATCCATAAGCAAACAGTCCTGAGCACAGGCTGTATCAAAAATGAAAGAAAAGGACACACAACATTACAAAGTTAGGTTAGGGAACATGGTGGATTGTGATCTCTCTGCCCACGTGCCCACTTGCCGGCCGGCCCCTTCCCCATAAGGCATCACGCTAAGACAACACCTTTGCGCGCGCAGTTGTCCGCCACCCACTGCCAGACACTGGCTAACTCCTCCAAGTGGTTAACAACAAGAAGGATCTCACTCCTGGTCGAAGCCGCCGCCGCCGCTGGCGCCGTCGCAGCGGCGGCTGCACCCTCGGAGGCCAGCGCCCCCGACGACGCTGCAGCAGCAGCCGGTGGCGGCGGCGGCGCTAGCGGCACGGCGGCAGCACGACGCGCGGCTGCGGCTGCTGCGGCCGCCTGCGCCTCGATACTCGGCACTAGTAATAGCGGCACGTGGGAGTGTTGGTAGCAGAAGCGGCTAACTGAACCATATTCTGCCAAAGCACCTGCGGCGAACAAAGAGGATAAAAAGCAACCGTATAGCGTTGTTGTAGCAACAGCAACAGCAATTGTAAACTTTATATGGTAATAGTACCGCAAATCGCAACAACAACAGTACATCGGAGCGGCAAAAGCAGAGCGGCATTGACAACCGCAGACGGGCAGAAGCAGCAACAGCAGCAGTAGCAGCAGCAGATCAGCAAGCGGCAAACCCAGCGTTAGGCCGTACGATAGCTGGTCGCCGAGTCCAATCCGGCTCTAGCTCTGCTGCTTCTATCGCTCTTTTCAAGCAGGCGAAGGCAAAGACCCATGGGTCGCTGGTTCGATCACATTCCCCCTTCGCCCTCACCTGGTCCATGACTGGCCACGACTAGCAGTTTGGCGTCGTACCGCCGTACGGCATCTAGGAGGGTTTCACCAATGCCGGCTGCAGACCGACAGGCCGACAGCCGAGGCAGCTCAACCTGAGCAGCAGCAAAAGGTAAATGTATGAGAAGACTCTTCATGTAAAATAGATGGCGACATAGGAGAGGTTGCGGATGTCGGTGTCGAACATGCCTTGGGGTTCACAGCAATGCTATCTCAAAAGTAACGAGCATGGAGTAGAAGAGCCAATAATGTACCGTCTGCAAGCATGCAACGCAACATACGTCGTACGACGCCTACACTGTTTACTTCCGTACCTCGTACTTCACTCCGCCTCGGTGCAGCTGCTCGCAGCGCCGATCAACGACACGCCCCGCGGCCGCTTGTAAACGCGACAGGTAATCCTGTGTGTGCGCCGTACATTGACCAAACAGACGCCAGGGCGATGGCGGCGGGCGGAAAAGAAAACCTTTCAAAAGTCGAAAATTTTCGAATAAGAATACAAGTTCGTGAAGGGCTGCAGTTGGCCATGACTATTACTGCTACTGCTACTGCTACTGCTACTGCTACTGCTACTGCTACTGCTACTGCTACTGCTACTGCTACTGCTACTGCTACTGCTACTGCTACTGCTACTGCTACTGCTACTGCTACTGCTACTGCTACTGCTACTGCTACTGCTACTGCTACTGCTACTGCTACTGCTACTGCTACTGCTACTGCTACTGCTACTGCTACTGCTACTGCTACTGCTACTGCTACTGCTGCTGCTGCTGCTACTGCTGCTGCTGCTGCTACTGCTGCTGCTACTGCTGCTGCTGCTACTGCTGCTACTACTGCTGCTGCTGCTGCTGCTGCTGCTGCTGCTGCTGCTGCTGCTGCTGCTGCTGCTGCTGCTGCTGCTGCTGCTGCTGCTGCTGCTGCTGCTGCTGCTGCTGCTGCTGCTGCTGCTGCTGCTACTGCTGCTGCTGCTGCTGCTACTGCTGCTGCTGCTGCTGCTACTGCTGCTGCTGCTGCTGCTGCTGCTGCTACTGCTACTGCTGCTGCTACTGCTACTACTGCTACTACTGCTACTACTGCTGCTACTACTGCTACTACTGCTACTACTGCTGCTACTACTGCTACTACTGCTGCTACTACTACTACTACTACTACTACTACTACTACTACTACTACTACTACTACTACTACTACTACTACTACTACTACTACTACTACTACTACTACTACTACTACTACTACTGCTGCTCAATGGGCTACTTATATAACGGCTGCGGGGAACCAATTGAGGCGACAGTCAGCATCCAGAACACATGCGACAGACATACAGGCGGCCTACGCACCACCCACCCATCCACACAGACCCCGACGCTCTCACATGCAAATCAACCTCGACACTGCCGTAATTGCCGCCCCCGGCTGCGGTGCCCAGTCCCAGGTCGTGAGAGCTCACGGCAATGGAGCGGCCCGAAGCCGTGGTGCCCAGTGAAGTCTGCCACTGCAGTGTCCGCGGATCACACACTACGTGTACGACACGTAGCTCGTCCACGCCTGAATCATCACCATTAGGGAAACAGCAACAAAACAACACCGCAATAAATATTACAGCAAGAATAAAACAAAAAATTGAAAATAATAAAATAATTAATTGGTTGCGTGTGACAGAACTGATAAGCACCAGCGATATTAAGAGGAAAACCTATTACTCCTGAGGCTTCACCGGGAGGGGGTGAGATGGGCTCCAGATGCATGGACGATGTACGACGCCGTAGCGGTGGCCATGGTGTACGACAAACACGGCTGACTGGGACTTCGCGTGGCTCCCTTTTCCAACCTCTTCCCCATTCTCCCCCTCTACCTGGATGATACAGGTTCTTCGCCACCCACTCCACCGCCGCCGCCGCGTCGTCCGTATCATCTAGCGCCACCAGGATAGTGCCGCCGCAAGTGTTGGGCTCGTTGCAGGTGAACTCGTGAGGGTGTGTACGGAGGACTTCGATGCTGCCGCTGGCGTGGGGATGCAGAGGGGCCTCTTCCGTCGCCGCCGCCGCGGCGGCGTTGAGCGCCTCCGCGATGCGGTCACTTGTACGGAAATCAGACACCGATTTGAGCTGAGACTGGGGCTGGGTTTGCGGGTTCTGCTGCTGGCGCCGCCAAGCCTCCGTTTCCGCGACAGTCGCTTCCGCCGCGGCTGTAGCGGCGCGCTCAGACTGACTTCTGCCGCCGCCGCCAGCAGACATGCCAGTGGGCGGCGGCCGCGACGCATCCGCGTCGTTTGAAGATGCAGAGTTGCGCGACGACGGTGACGATGATGGTGCGGGAACAGGGTTGGCGCGGCGCCGGGAGGCCTTGTTGCCGGTTCGTGCTTCTTCGGCGGTTCCGCCGCCGCCACCTCCTCCTCCTCCAGGATCTGTGGCCGCCAGCGGCGGAACGACGGAGCTACCGCTGCGGCGGCGGAGCCGCCAGTGCAAATACCCCGCCGTCGGCAGGACGCCGCGGTGGCCGGCGACGGCTGCTGCCGGACCTGGCTGCGGTGGCGACCGGATGGACCGCGGCTGGCCCCCAATAACAAACCAAGGGAAGGCTCTAACGGGCTCTGCCATGCTTCGGCTGCCCAGCGAGCGATGGAGGATAGACTTCATCCCTCAAATTCACTTCTCTATCGAAGGTGTTTGAGCTGCTAGGAGAAACGTAGCTAGGAAATTGCACTCTCAGGACGTCGTTTTCTGGACGTCTGACGTGAGACGTGTGCAGCAGCACCGCCAGAGACTACGGCGACGATTTTATGATGCTGATGCTACGTGTCTCGAGCACTCTTGTGAGCTGTTGCGACGGGCCAATTGCTATTCTTCTGCGGCGGTGTATGTGGATACAATTTAATGCCAATGCAGACGGAAACGGATCCAAGAGAAATCAGAAATCCAGAACGTGAATTAATGTTGCGACTGTTAGATGTTGTAGATTTTCATCCGGGGGGACTCGTCGCTGTTTTTTGCGATGTGCCCAGATGTTTCCGTATCCTCAACCTGCGACCGGAAAGCGAGTTCTTGGACTAGGGCTTCCGACTCACAATTACAGTCACAAATTCGACATATCCCCAGAAAAATCTAACGCCAAGGTTTTGTTGTGTGCTCTGCTTTCAGAGAGGGCATTATCTCCGTAATGAAGATTGACTAATAACTCGTAAAGCAGAAGCAGCGGCCTCCCGAGGACCGGAGGAAAGGATTACAGTCATGCCAAGCGATAAGGTTGACCCACGGGTCATACCTTATCGCGTGCCGGCAAGTCAGCGCAATCACCACAAACTTCCTGCTGTAAACTTCATTGATTCTCTTTAAACTGGAAAAACACGGAAAAAACCGTCAATCCGGGAATTAAAGGAAGCGTCATCCGGGAAAGAAGGAAGGAAGGATGGAAGCGATTCTTACAGCGGTGCCAGAAAAAGGCTACAAGTGCTAGGAGCAGGGCCGTATCGTAACGGGCTCGGCAAGCCATGCATGAATGGAAGGACGATGTACATGTACATGTATCAAAGTACAGCATTTACAGGATTATAACCATCGCTGCGGGCTTACGAAAGAAGAATGCCTGTGGAGGGGCGTGCATGTACTTCTGTCACAGTATCCCTCCAACGAGGACAAGAGGCCTTGGTCGCCGGACACTTGGTCGTCACCGACAGACCTCCGCCCTCTCGTACACATCAACCCAACCACCCCCTCCCGGGCTCATGCCCCCTCATGTCTCATCCCTTAACACGCAGAAAAAGGAGCACCAAGTCACATCCGTTTTACAGGCATGCATGCACGCATGCACGTGCTACTTCCCTATCCACACACACGCGTACACACACGTAGATCATAAAAATACACGCGCACGCGCACGTGCGCACTCTTGCTTCCCCCACCCCACCGTCACTCCCGCAAGCAGACATAAGCGGCGCATCGCAGACAGCAAAGCGGTGCAGCGGTGCACGTGTCTGTCCTTACACGCGTTACACCGAGCACGCGCCGTATACAAAACACGCCCCGTGTGATGCACGCGGCTATCCTAATCCTGACGCTCAGCAGTCCACGCATCCGCATCCCCCCCATGCAGCAACTCCTATCAATGGTAGTTGTGTCCGCCCACGCACAAGTTCAAGTTCAAGTTCGTCTCATTTGTGGACCTTGGCTCTGCTGATAACTTCAGGAGGCGGGAGCCCCGCGGCTACTTCCCGGCGCTGCCGTCAGCCTGGCATATGCCCGGCTGGAAGCACGCGACGAATGCTGTTGAGACATCAACCCTCCAGGGGCGGCCTCAAGGTTTGCCGTCGCCGCCGCTGCCCCCGCGTCTATGTTCCCTCCTGGTACGGCTGGTGCCGCCGGCGCTGATGGCGTTGAGGTGACGGAGGCGCCCTTGGGTGCCACCGAAGACCCTCCGAACACCCGCAGGTCCAAAATCTGCATCGATTGCAATTAATGGCAGCAGTAGCACCGGCAGCGTCGTCGGAGGTAAAGTAGCAGTAGCGCCAGCAGAGTTCTCATTGTTAATTGTGTGCCAGGTCCAGCTATTGATTGAGCTGCTGTAGTAGTAGTAGTAGTAGTAGCAGCGGCGTCAGGAGCCGCAGGAGCTAAAAGGAAAAGAGGATTCAGCAGTGGGCATTGCGACGGGGAGAGCAAAAAAAAACGCTGAGGGATGGTCCCCGAGGAAGCAGCTTGGCTTGCGTTGCTTGCCTGCCTGGCATTAAGCGCCACGCGGGTGCGTAAGTAGGCAGATCTGAGGAATTGTTGGGTGCTAGGCAGATGGATGGCCCTCAGCTGATGTGAAGGTGGGTGTCCGGAAGGTGTGTGAGGGGGGGCGATGGTGGTGGTGGTGGTGGCGGCAGTTCTGGTAACATTGTAAAATCGTCGCGCCTGTTTTCTCGTAGGACATAAATATAAGAGCTCATGAGACGTAGTTATAGACAGCTCCAAACGCAGGAGATCACGACGACGGCGCCTGACAACGCCTCCCATCCCCTCGATTGCATTCATTCTTTCTCTCTTCTGGGCCCGTACGATAATCCTTAGCCCCGTACCACGTTTAGACATGTAGGACACCTGGGCGGCTGAAACCCGACGGCAAAAACACTAGTTTTATTTAAATTTTCTGGAAAATCATCGTCTGACATAGATGGCCGCTTTCTTTACCTGCTTTGCCTGGTCCACGTTATTTGCCAGTGTGTCCCGCGCTCCCGTACGCTCCTCCGTACGGACCTGCACAAAACATCAGGATAGCATCGCTCGCTTTTCCTTTTCCGCCAAGATTGCCGTACTGTAACATTACGTCAGTCTGTGCGGATGTGATGCCGTGAAGATGCGGGAAGTGGAGGTGAGAGGACGGGCGTCCTGGGGGTCCTTCCTGGGTGTCCTGGGGGTCCTTCCTGGGTGTGGGGAGCTAAGGAAGAAGAAGAAGAAGAAGATGCCGGTGGTGATGCTGATGATGATGCTGATCCTGACGAATCTTTCTTCTCCTGCAGCTGGCGAGCATAGTTTCCTGTTTTGGCAGTGACGTTGATCAAGGTGCGACGGCGCCTCCGTTCTCTGTCTTCTCCTTCTTTTTGGTTGACTAATACTTCCGCACCAAGGTTGGAAGTAAGACGACTCAAACCCCAACTTCAACTCCAGCTCCCAACAGCGACCTCGGCTCCGAGACACTTCACCAGTCTACCTCAGCCTACCTCAAGCCAGCTGCCGCGGCCCATACCTGCGCAAACATGGCCTCCATGTCCGCATCCGCTACCTGGTAGAACTCGCCTGGGGAGAAGCGTGAGGGGGAGATGGGATGATGATGGGGGGGGGGGAAGACGAACGACGAACGAGTGAAGCTGCTGCCAGGGCAAGAGTGTACCAGAAGTAGAACTGACCAAAAGGCGTTCTTGAAGGTGGTGGTGGTGGTGGTGGGGTGAGGCAGGCGCCGAAGCGCGGCATGGGACCGGACCGATAGAAGGGCTAAGGTATCGTACATGGCAGGCGCCGAACTCTCTCCGTTCGCCGCTCCGTCCTGTCAAACGACCTCCTGCCAAGCTCCAAGCACCACCACATCACCACCACAGCTGAAGGCACTTGCTCCAATTCCCCTACTACAGGCAGTAGCGCGCATCAGGGCGCATCATACGCCTTACATGCACTACTCTACTCACATAAACAGAGGCTCAGCTTTACGACACTTTACACGTCCTGTCCGTACATCGCCAACTCACAGCCCTCGGCGCACGGTGCACCCCGTCGCATAGCCTACACGCCTACCCCTAAAACCCTAACCCTAAGACCCTAACCCTAAAACCCTAATTCCACCCCGTCGCATACCCTACACGCCTAACCCACCCCGTGCAGACGCACAGACCGCTTTTACCTTGCAGCTTGGTGAGGCCCTCGCCAACGCCCTTGATGTCCAGGTGGGGTATCATCTGGAGCACCCCCAGTGTGGACACCTGCTCCTCACGCAGCTGCTGCTGCACACCCAGTCCCTGGTCCAACTGGAACTGCTGATGCTGCAGCAACAGCTGCATGATGCGGACCATCTGTACACACGCGCGCGATCGCGCGTGCGTGTGTGTGGGGCTTTTTAATAAACTAGCTGTGCGTGTGTGTGTGTCTCTTTAGTAATATCGCAGTCGTGGAGTCGTGGACAGGAACTGGTGAGGATGGCACGTGTGAGTGCGTGCGTGCGTATGTCGTTTGTCAGAACGACATCAAGGTGCGTCCAGAAGTATAACGACATCAAGGTGCGTCCAGAAGTATAACGACATCAAGGTGCGTCCAGAAGTATAACGACATCAAGGTGCGTCCAGAAGTATCGAAGTCCGTGGGCGTGTATGTGGTGGTGGTTCTATGGGGGGGATGATACATCTCTAAAAATACATAAGGTAAGGTGAGTAGTGCGCAAAAGGTGAAATAGTGCCTAGGTAGCACCTTCCTCAGTAGGTGCACGTGGGGAGGGGGGCAGCTTACGGAAACCAAACAAGACATGTGTCTTGATTAAGCACTACCTGAGCATAGTACCGGCCCCACGTTGCTGGCCAACTCACGTTGCCCCTTGCCTTCGGTTCATCTTTTTCAAAGTTGACGTACCTTGAGAAGGTTTGACTCGGTCAAGTCGTACACGCTCTCTTTCTCCAAGTCCGCGTACGCCATCTCGCCGTACATCTCAAGTAGGGTGCGCGTGTCGGTTTCACGGACCTATGAGTTACCACGAGCACACACATGCGAGCACACACGAGCGCGAACATAAAAACGTTATGTGCATTCCTGACAGAAGCGAAACAATGTTGTTTCCGAGCACGATGAGAACTTGGAAATCGGATGAACGCCATGACCGGAATTTTCGCCAACAAGCGATGATGTCGAGGAAGACTCCAGTAATGAGACTTCCACCCACATGGCGCATATGGGTCACTTCAATAGTCATGCTGCCGCAAATTGGATTTGATTTGAGGTCGATAAAACACCGCTAAACTCGAGACGACTGGGAAGGTGCCGTATAAGAAGAAACATGGGCGGTATACGGCACAGAATTTTTCGCGTCTTGCACGGCAGAATCTCGAGCTGGAATCACTAGGAAGCGAGTCCGTCGTCCAGGAGCAGATCAGGGTGGATCACACCACAGGGTTGATGTGCCGCGACCCAAATCGCCAAAAAATCGCCAAACAATGTCCAGATGACCCGGAAGCGCCCATCGGAGTCCTGAGTGGACATTTCCATCATCTGACAGCAGCGGCCGACACCCGAGAGCTTCGACTTCATTCCCCAGACCCCGCATGACAGCCGCCAGTCGCCCCGGGGAATACGAGGAAACTGTTGCTCATACAAGACATGACACATGCCGCTAGCTGAAGAAAAATCTCTGTGTAAATTGCGTTTGGGTTTTACGGCGGTCTCTGCTGCATGTGCAACTCTGCGCGCGGTGTCTGGCGCTGCTTTGAAGTGCAGAGTCCACAAAAACCAAGCTCGTCCTGATTGTGCTAATTCGCCCTACACGGAGACGTGCTTTGTATGGCTAAAAGCAGAACTCACCACTCGATCAACGTTTAATGCACGAAGCTTACGCCAGTTGACTTTTCGATCAAAGGGCGAGAAGGAGAAGGGCGCTAGGCGCTTGGCGCGGTCGAGATCTGGAAAAATCGCGGCAGGGAATGGGGGCTTTAGCGGGGCCCCGAGGGGAACTTAGGAGGCTCTGGCGCATGGCGACTTCAGGGTACACACTGAAGGTGCCAGGGCAGGGTGTGAGATTGGCAAAAAGATGGCCGTGGCCAAGGTCGCAATCCGGGAATGTTGTTGCTAGCCTGTGCCCTTGGCAGGGCTGTCCTTGTTCCCTCCTGTGTTTTCCTTGGTCCATGCTTTGCGCACGCTCTTCTGGAAAATGCTGCCATCCATGAGCTGCAGTAGGTTGCGGAGTAGCTAGCATAAGCTACTTGTAATCTAGCTTTTCGTCATGGTGCCAACTGCTGGGCTGACTCACGGTACGCAGGCGCTCCCACAGCAGTCGTTTCCACTTGAACAGCTTGGTCAACGTATTTACGCCCCGACCGTTCCTGCAGGACCTTTGCCAAGCGTTGTAGTTCGAAGGCGCGGTCAGAAAAGCTGTCCAAGTCCCGGGAGAGTTGCTCCGACTGCTCCGCGAGCGACCGGACGATGGATGCGGTATTCATTTTTTGCGCAAGTAGAAACCATGCGGCACTCGAGATTTCAAGGCATTTCCATGCATACAACTTATTCGTGGCCTTTGGCAAGATTGAAAAATTACCCTTAAAGAGTTGATTCTGTGAATACGGCTACCGCACAGTACATCTTGATCTGGGAAGCTTTTCCAAGAAGAGCTGCAGTGCTGGACACATTTGGGTCATGCAGCTGGATCCGGTTGCGTGGATAACGAACTTTTTCGAGCGGCTTACCCATCGTCTGAAAACTTTCTAAAAACATGTTGGAATTGATGAATAAAATTGCAAATATTGTATCCACTAAATAGAACCAGGCAGGAACGGCAGCTTCGTTTACAAAATGTTTCTTCCCGGAAGATTGCTACTCCTTTCTTAACACCAATTTATGTATATTGCATGGGTTGAAATTTTGTAGGCCGCATCGCGACCGGCTGTGTTTGCTCCATAAGGGACGTGAGACACAGACGCCTCTGGTGTCTGTAAAGCAGACTCGCTGTATCTCTGACAGTAAACAAAGATGTCTTCCTTACGGGACCTTGTTGCCGGCTCGGATATGTGTACACCCAGCGATGGTGCTGGGCCATCGAATGCGCTGGGCGGACTTGTCAACACGCTTCTGGGCGGAGCTGGAAAAACGCAGGAGCAGCTTCGGGAGGTACGCCAGCAGGGTCTGCGGACTTATTTCTCCATCCGCACGTGGAAAACCACGCAGGTTTCTCCTGCTGAGTCGTCCGGGTTCCCCCTTCCCCCAAGCGATCCCCAACAAGTTCCCTATTACTACATGCTTGACTCGTGAAGTGGAATAGTTCTTTATGCACTCCAATAGTCCATCCAGCTTCCCCATGTACTTCCTGATGCTAACTTCGCCAATCACACAAACGCAAACCCGCCTCGGTTTTCCATCCCCCTATCCCCACCCGTGCTCGGCAACTGTTCTGCACCCCCGGATACCCCTTTCCTGCCTATTGTGCAGCACCCCTTCCTCAAACGTATCAACCCCCGCGCTCTTTCTGTGTACGAGTCTTTTGGCATCACGCTATTTGCATGTACATTGCGACCTACAAGTGTTTTTTGCTTCTCTTAACCTTGGAAAAGCAAATGCATAAGAACTATGCTATGGTAACCCCTCTTTCCAATAATCATGGCTTTGTGTAGCTTACGTCCTGGGAAAAACCTCCCGCATGCTCAACCTCTGTATGCCTGGTCAGTTGGATTTCCTCTCCTGTACGTCCGCGCACCCATGCCTATCAACACGCAATCAAGCAACAAGCCCTCCGCGCGCATCATTATTTCCCGCAATCCCGTAACCTGCAGCCCTACATGCCACTCACCTCCGCTGCCCCCCCGGATTCCTTCCGGATAATTAATCATTTCCACCCAGTCAAAAACCATCCTCCTACGTCCGTACCCTTAGCCCCCGTCCCTCTCGACCCCCACGCACCAGCTGCCGGGTATGGGCCCCGGTGTTGCGGGCCCCAGCACCTTCGCTCGCCACGTCCATACCCCTGCGGAGCTAGCAATGGCGGGTCCCAGCGGCTTACAGGTCCCGGGATTGGGCCCGCCACGAATGGTAGGGGCTTAGCGTGGGGCTGGGAAAGGGCAAGGTCACGCGGGGTCGGCAACATTCACCACTGTGCTGTTTACTGGTAGCCGTCCCCTCCCAAGGCCTGTCCTCTAGCCTCGTCTTCGGCTTCGCCTTCGGCTTATGCTTTCTTTCCTTCTTTTCGGCTTCTTTTTTTGCACCTGTCGGCCCTCTCCGCGGCCGCTTCCACCGCAGGATGCAGCAGCTGCGGAGTCCTTCCTTCAGGGTATCCATGGGGGACCCTCTGCCGCCGCGGCGGCGGCTGCAGCCCCTGCGGAATGGGACGCCATCTTTCATGGTCAGGTGTGTAGGGCGGTCCTTCCAGTGATCATGGAGGCATGGAGGGGCAGCCGCAGTGGCTGCAGAAAAGCAAGGCATCACGGACCGCCAGGAGCATATGTCCAAAAGCGCGAACTTGATGGAAGGCTTGAGGGGCCCCGGAGAGCCGCGGTATGGATAGTGCTCTTAGAGAAGATTATGAAGTAGTGTAGGTTCCGCCTCAGTAAAGCTCCGCCTTAACCCAGGTGATGAATGAACAGGTGAATGAACAGACGTCCCGAGGGGTAAGAGGAACAGCCCGAGGTTGTTCACGGTTCCGTTCCGCTTGAGCTTCCGGTCCATTTTGCCTCCGGCCGGAGGGGAGGGGCCGGAAAAAAGCACAAGGCGCCGGCGGCAACGGAAGAGGAGGCAGCAGGATTTACTACAAGAAAATGGGGGAGGTGTAAGGATGACATTGAGGGATTGGGGCTGCCGATCCAGCTTGCACTTTTGGGCCTTGAGCTCAGCACGTTACTATTCGTCCCGTGGGGCCCTGCGCAGGAGGCTCGTGTCCCGGGGCCTATTGTGCTGGCGCCCCCAGCGCCGCCACTAGCGCCGACGGCTGCAGGGGAGCTGATGCCCCGGGGGCCACCCCCCATGCTGGCACCTCACTTTCAGGTAGGCTCTCGTCCGGTCTGCGTTGCGGTAGGGTTGATATACTATGGGGGGGAGGAAATGTTTTGGATCTAGATCATCCTCACGTCAGATCCAGTACGGAATCCCCTTGGGCGCGTCGGTCGGTGTTTGGGGTACTGGGTCCCGAGGGAAGCCGAGGGGAGGGGAGGGGAGGGGAGAGGAGGGAAGCCGAAGGGGAGGGGAGGGGAGAGGAGGGAAGCCGAAGGGGAGGGGAGGGGAGAGGAGGGAAGCCGAAGGGGAGGGGAGGGGAGAGGAGGGAAGCCGAAGGGGAGGGGAGGGGAGGGGAGTTGTGTAATGACGGCTTATGGCCACCGCTTGCCTGCCTGGATAGCACATGGCGTGCCGCCATGCGTGTGCTAATTCCAATCTGCAAGGAAAACCACCCGCTGCGTATAATCCCCCGCCCCCCCCCCACCCCCATCCCCCGCCCCGCCCCCACTCGTTTGTGGTTCGTCTTTCCCCCACCCCCATCCCAACCTCTTGTTGCCGTTGTTGGTCAGGCTTTTGTCCGCAGCGCGCTGGCCCCCGGTGCCGCCGCGGCTGCGGGCCTGCTGCCTCCCGAACTGTCTACCCAGCTCACGGTGGCGGATAAGGTCCGCATCCGGGACCGCGCCACTATCATGGCTCGGCACCTGTACGCCGACCAAGGGGACAAATTTGCGGATATGCAGGTAAGCACCACGACAACACGACAAAAGCACCTTTCTAGGTTATTGACACTACTGCGTTTAAATTTCATTTCAATATCACCAATCTGAAAAAATCTAACGCAGCGCAAATTCAAGATATTATTGAGGAAACTGAAAATTTTTTGCAGAAATTTTGAAATTTTAAATTTCGGTGCAGGTTGGCCACCTGCTGGCCTCCCTCCGGATAGATCCTCGAGAGCTGCCCGCGCAGCTGAACCACGTGCACCATGCAGACTGGCACGAAGCCTGGCGGGCCGCGGCCACCGGCGCGCCGCCGCCGTCAGCGTCGGCGGAGCTGGCGGCGGCGTCTGCGGCGGCGGCAGCAGCAGCACAGCTCCCGGGGGGCCCAGGCCAGTGGGACGCGATTTGGGAGCATCGGCATGGCCCGGGGGCGGCGGCGCAGGGGTACGTCAGGGCTGTGTGTTGTGTGTGTGTTTGTTTTGTACTGCCGTGTGTGTCCGTGTCCGTTTAGACACCACACAAAAAGCCATACACCAAAGTCAACAAATAATTTATACTTGTCTTTCTCTTAATCCGCAACTATTTTTTTTCATGTTGTTGATAATGTTGATAATTTCCTGCCGAAAACTATCATGTGGTGTGACGGCCTCCGCTGCTCCCCCCGCGGGGCCCCGCAGTCCTGCCAGCCTTCTACGACCGCCGTCTACCGGCTGGGCGAACGAATTCGCACAAGCACAGGCGGTGCCGCCACCAGCGGCCTGGGCGGCGGAATTCACGGGCACCGCCGCCGCCGCCGCCGCTGCGGTGCCAGCCGACTCCGCCTCGACTTGGGCCGCTGATTTCAAGCAGGAACAAGAGCAGGCCACGGCGGCCGTGGCTTCGGACGATCGGGCGTCACAGGCGACCCGTGGGTCGGTGGACACGCGCGCGACGTCGGCGGCGCTGGCGGCCGTGTTGAGTCAGGCTTCCGACCCCAAGATGCGCAACTCCAAGTTCCTGCAGTTCGTGAGCAAGATGAGCAAGGGCGAGCTGATCTTGGAGGATAATAAGGTTTGTTGGAGGGCGCGACGGAGGCGTGGACCAATGAGATGACGGAGGCGGGGACGGGGACGGAACGAAGGCTTTGACATGGTGACGTTTGAGGTGACGGAGACTGAGGACAGGAACAGGGCTTGATGGAAGGGGGGAGCTGTTAAAGGCTGGAGATGGTTTTCCCTCAAGACATGCCTTCCCCCCCCCGCCCGCCGGACGCCGTTCGGTCAGTTCTACGCCTGGTACACTTTTGCCCTAGCAGCAGCTTCGTTTGTGGTTCGTCTTTCCCCCGTCCTCCTTCGTTCCATGGGTATGGGAGCGCGGGTGACACGCCATGCCGACCAGCTGGCTTGGGCGGAGAGTTTCGGAGCTGCGGACCAATACACACCGCCACTTCCTTCCACACCGCCAAAATACGCCGCCATTCGCTCCTGACCTGACACATCTCGGGTCTCCGCCGTACCCTCGTTCTCGCTGTAAGGTTGTGGAGCGAGGCCCGGAGGCGACGACGTCTTGGGCGGCGGAATTTGGGCAGCAGCAGGGTACGGCACCTCCAGCGGCATCTCAATGGGCGGCGGAGTTTGGGCAGCAGCAGGTGGGGGAGCGATATGAGCTCAGCGCGAGCCGTGAGCATGGACGAGTGAGCCATGGGTCAACGTTCGGGGGAGGGCGGGTTGGTGGGTGGGGGAAAGAGGGCGCGGAGAGACAGAGAAAAAAGAGAGGAGGGAGGGGGAGGGAGGGGGAGAAGGGCGGGTCTCACACGAAGCGTGAGCGTCATCCCACTGAAAAGCTGTTGTCGGTGTCGGTGTAGGCAAAAACACTGGGAGGAGCTCCAAAGGGCTCCGGGTAACTGAGCTGTTGGGTTCGGATAAGGCCCCCAACACTCCAGACGGACAGGTGGTGCCCGTGTTGGGTTGTTAGATTTGGGTCAGGTACCCAGCGGTCGGTCGGCGTGAGGCTCGGCCGGACGCTGTTGCTTCCCGATCTCTCTCTCGCCCCAACGTGTCGCCCTTCCTCCCACGCACCCCCACGGCCTCCGCACGGTGTGCGCATGGGTGTGCGCAGGCTGTCGATGCGGGTCCCGCTACCAGCGGTCCGGCTGCTGCTGGTGCCGTCCGAGGTGGCGACTGGGTTGAGGAGTTTGCTCGCGGCGTGTCCGACCTCCGTTTGGATGAGGGCCTGGATGCGGCCACTGGTGCCCAGTTGGAGGCGGCCTGGCGGGAGGGGGAAGAGGAGGAGGGGATCGCCTGGTGGGAGGACCGGGTGGATACGGCAAAAGACAGGGTACGGCAAAAGGCAAAGTGGGCTGAGTTGCTGCTGTGTGAGTTACGAGACTGGGATGAGTGGCGAGAGTGAGCGAGTAGGCGCTTTGCCTGTGTGTGTGTGTGTGTCATGATGTGGGATGAGTGTTTTGATGTCCGCTGGGCCCCTCCTGGGGGAGGATGGATTGCTGAATGCTGTGTATGTGTGTGTATGTGTGTGTATGTGTGTGTATGTGTGTGTATGTGTGTGTGTATGTCTGTCTATTACAAAGAAGGCAACAGCACCGCTTGCGAGCGTGTTGGCGCTACGTACCTGAGCCTGAGCCTGAGCCTGGCACTCGCTTGGCAGCTGTTCCTTTATGAATTAAAGGATCAGTTTGCTCACGTCATTTCCCCCCTCCATCCCCTCTCTCCTAGGACGAAGAACGGCAGTTTGAGGAGTGGGAGCGTCTGTACGGCCACGGCGCTGTGGAGGAGAGCTTCGGACTGGGGGGTACACATACGTACGAGCGTGCTGGTCCCGGGGAGTACGTGTTTTCTGAGAGCAACCCCTTTCTGGGGGACCCGGAGGCGCAACAGAAAGGCAAGGAGCTGTTCAGGTGGGTGATGATGGGTGGTTGGATGGGTGGATAGGCGGGTGGGGGCCTCTTTTCGCCCCTCTTCCCCCCCTTTTCCCTTGTGTGGTTCGTTTTTCCCCCCTTTTCCAACCGTCCCACTTGACTTGTAAACCATCAAACACGGCACCGTTACCTTCGCCGTTACCTTCGCCGTTACCTTCGCCGTTACCTTCACCGTTACCTTCACCATGATAATCGTCGTATACACTTTAGAAAAACCCGCAATCCACCTCTACCCCCCCCCTTGCTGTGTGTCAGACGCGGAGTTCTCAGTGAAGCGGCACTAGCTCTGGAAGCCGAGGTGAGCAGCAGCTTGAAGGCCTCGTGTGTGTGTGTGTGTGTGTGATGGGGGGGACTGTTAAGATGAACCACGGACGAGTGAAGCAAATACCAGAGATAGACGGATGGGCGGATGTGTGTGTGTGTGCGTGGGGGGTGGCGTGGACTGACCTCGCATCGCGATCGGGGGCCGCGTCCTCACCCGCCTTCCGGCCTCTCCAATGTGAGCTACGCCGGTGTGTGTGTGCCTGTATGTATGTATGTATGTATGTATGTATGTATGTATGTATGTATGTATGTATGTATGTATGTATGTATGTATGTATGTATGTATGTATGTATGTATGTATGCGTGTACAGGTTCGTGCCCATCCGGAGAATGCGGAGGCGTGGCGGCTGCTTGGGACGGTGCATGCGGAGAACGACGACGACCGTCAGGTGGTAGTGGTGGTGGTGATAGTGGTGGTGGTGATAGTGGTGGCGGTGGGAGGGAGAGGGGGAAGGGCGGGCGGAGAGGCCTTTGGCAGTTTGGGCTAGGTAGATCTGCAGAATATAGTTTTTTTGGAACAATTGCATCATGGTGACTTTCCTCGACCGCATTCAGTACGTTATCGGGTTGCTGGTTTTCGAGGCCCCGAAATCTAAGATTTCGCGCAGTTGCTTTACCTTGCTTTACCTTGACTCGTAAAACACACACACACACACACACACTCGCACACACACTCACACACACACCCGGGGGGTATCCCGGGTATCATCTCGATTCTTCTGTGATGGTTCGACTTACCCCGGACCCCTGGCGGATGTTTTTGTTCATACAATTATCTGTTCTACCGTTCCGTATATCCTGTCCTGTCATCGTCCTGTGTGTCCTGCGTGTTGTATCCTGATCAGGCTATCGCCGCCATGATGCGCGCCCACTCAGCCGACCCACGGGACCCTGAGGTGCTGTTAGCGCTGGGTGTGAGTCATACCAACGAGCTCTCCCAGTTGGAGGCTGTACGGCACCTGAGGTCCTGGCTGGCGGCCCAGCCGGCGTATAAGGCCCTGGATGCGGCGGCGGGGGAGGCCCCGGACAGCAGTCAGCGACTAACACACGTGGTGAGCCCGTGGCTGGGTGGTTGGCGGTTGGGCGGTTGGCGGTTGGGCGGTTTGGTGACTGGGTGGGGTGTTAAGAGGGGGTGGGGTGGGCCCTAGGTGGGAAGGATACGGGGTGCGTGTGAACCATACGAAACCCTAAAACCCTAATGAATCAAGACACGAAGGGCTAAGGTGTCTGGTGCCAGGTTTCAGCCAAGGACCCCACACGGGTGGGTAGGAGGAGGGGGACCTGCCGGCCCACCTAAAAACCCACGACACCGTTTTTTTCACTGTTTCTATATATCGCCGCCACTCCCCTTGTGACAAACAAACCCCTTGTCCGCTGCCGCCGCATCTATTGCTTGCTGCTGAAGCTAAAATTCGAGAACATTTGCACCAATTTTATGTAATTAAAAGTTATTCAGCCTGTCGATCTGTCTGTCTGTCTGCCGCGGTCTGTTCAGCTTGTCGGTCGGTCTGCCGGTCTGTTCTCTCCTTTTTCCCGACTGTTGCTCCGCCCCGCGACTGTCATGCTACTTCGTAACCCGCCACCCAACCCAACCCAACCCAACCACCGACGCCGATTTTCACCCCGATGGCATACACCCACAGATTCGCATCTTCGAGTCCGCAGCCGCCCAAACGCCGTCCGATCCCGAGCTTCAAGTGGCATTAGGTGTACTGCACCATTTAGGACGACAGTACGGCCCCGCCGTACAAGCCTTCCAACGCGCCCTGGAGCTACGTCCCTCAGACTACAGCCTTTGGAACAAGCTGGGGGCTACGCTCGCCAATAATGGCCGGAGTGGCGAGGCCCTGGCGGCTTACCAAAAGGTAACCCCTGGTGCCGTACTGTACGGCATTGACCTTATTCAGCTGGTCTGTTTCCACCCACTTCCTTCTTAAGTATCCCCCCACGCGCCCACTCTCGCATTCCCGGGTCGACACAACACACGGTGGTCTTCTTTTTTCCCCTCCCATACCTCCCGTACCTCTCCTCTTCCCCCCCCGCTCCCGAGGAAACCCTCCGCCTTCCCCCTCTCTTGCCCTGGCAGCAGCTTCAATCGTGTGTGGTTCGTCCTTCCCCCTTCCCCGCCAAACCCCGATCTCTCTGCCACCCACGCCGCGCCTCACCGCAACCCACAGGCCCTAGATCTGAAGCCCAACTACATGCGCGCCTGGACCAACATGGCCATCTCCTTCGCCAACCTCGGAGACTACGACCGCTCGGCCGCCTTTTACGTCCGCGCACTGGGCCTCAACGCCTCGGCCGAGCACGTGTGGAACTATATGCGTGTGGTGTTGACGTGTTCCGGTCGGATTGATCTGTTGGAGGCTGTGGAAAGCAAGGACCTGGCGGTGCTGCAGGAGGCATTTCCCCTGTAGGAGTAGGAGTAGGAGTGCTTGTTGTCGAGTGCTAGTGTTTATGTTTTCTGCTCGTTTTGTTTTTTTATGGTGGGGGGTTGTGTAGGATGGGGGGAAGAGGTTTGGGAACCCGGTTCTTTTGGATGTGCGCTGTGTTTTTTGAGGGTTAGGAAGGGATAGTAGATGGCAGTGCAAATGCAGAGATGCAGATGAGATTTTTTTAAGGGTGTTTTAACGTGTATTTCGGCGGGGGTGGGGGATTAAGTCGTGTGACGGGGGTTGTGTGATTTTGGTGTGTGAGGAGCAATGTTGGGCCTTGTGCAGGAGTGCTTTTTGTGCAGGAGTGCTTTTGTTTTGGATTTTATTTGTGTGGAAAAGGAGTGTTTATACAGGTATTGTGTGTGGTGGTAGAGCTGGTGGAAATGCTGTGGGAAATTCGGGTTTTCGGGGGGGGGGTGTATGCGTGTCTGTGCGTGTGTGTGTGTGTGTGTGTGTGTGTGTGTGTGTGTGTGTGGCACCGGAGCGTGCTGCGGGTGAGACAGACACTTGGGGGATAAATTAGAAGGTGAGAGTTTTGCCCAGATTTTTTCCGTAATGAGATTGTTAAGGCCGTTGCCAAACCTGCATTCCTTGCCTTACCTTGCCTTAAGTCGCTTTTGCGTACGCTTGTATATTGAATGACCCGCTTCTGTTTGGGGTTCATAGTATAAATTCTCTAACCTAGCCTTTGAAGTAAGCCCAAATGGTTAAAATTGTTCCTTCAAATTCAAATCGTGGAGTTCCTGGAGTTTGGCGGAGAACAAAAATCCACGTTGAAGTAAAGTAGCTGGATTCTAACTAAGATGGTGGGTATGTATATGGCAGGAACTCGTTAGGTTGCGAACAGAGATAGCGAGAATCTTATCCAATCTTATCTAGCCGTGCGTGGCAGGTAAAGCATTTTGCGGCACCGTTCATGACCTTACAGAAATTAGTAGGTTAATATTTACAAACAGTGTATCTCAAGTGCCCGCAAAACTGCTTGCCGAGCTCCTGTTGCGACCATTCTATGCTAAGGATGTCTGTGGCCCCCGCCAGCCGCGCTGTAGGTCCCTCCCACGCACTCGGTAGCGGCCTCTCGGCCTCGCGCTAGCTGTAGGCCCGATGTTATCATATTTAATTATTTTCAAATTAGCACTATTGAACGGAGTCTTGGTTCCCGACCCCTCCATGAAACCGCTACATGTTTTGTGACAACCGGTGGGCGGAATAGCACTAGTCACATATAACTAAGGTCGAAACTTAGGCTAGGACGTTTCATAAGCTCATCAATCTTAATAGTTCATGTCAACGGTACATTTTACGGTTGCTTGGAGTGATATTTCGGTTCAACAGAGCGGCCTTGTTTCGGGGTGTTTTCCCGAAGCTGTTTTCAAGGTGGTGTCAAACGGCCACGGAGGAGATATTGCTGTATAGAGGCAGCGGCTTTGCATACGGAATGTTTTTTCAGCCGCCGGGAAAAAGCTTGCGAAACCGCGGTCGCAATTTCTCATGGACAAGAACAACTCGTCAAATAAATACACGACAAAAAATTTAACATCAATCTCTGTTCTTTTAAGTTGTCTTGATTGAGGGCCGTAGAGGTGGTGGCCAGAACTAAAGGGAAAACGTTCAAGCCGGGGGTGATGGGCAGGTACTGGGTCTGACGTGTACACTCCTCAGAAACCTCACAGCTTTTCACAATAGATAGAATGCCGACGCTAATGACACATTGATGTGTTTTGCGTTAACGTTTGGCGGGAAACAACATACGTACCGGTACAAAGCTTGCGTTTGGCAACGAAACTCCCGCCGCCAAAGCCGATGAAACTTACAAGAGGCCTCGCTCCCCCTTCAGCTGAGCTAGGAAAGTTAGTTAAATGTGGAACAGAAGGATTTATTATAACCGATTGCCTTGCTGCTGTGCTGTTTGCCCAACAGTGCGCAACAGCGCCTCAACCCTAGGGTTACGAACCCCAGGCCAGCCGGTGAAACGGGCGGGGTTACGGGCCCAACGAAATCAAGGTTAGACTCAACGGTAAAGGAACCATCGTTTTCCAAAACAAATTAAAGTATAAAAGGTAGCCACCCAGTTACCATATTCCCTGTTTAAATGTTTAAGCTCAAGATAATCCTCCGATTAGGTAGGCTTTTGTTGCAGGGGATCATCCTCCGGTCGCGGAAACAGTTTTAATTCCCGAAAGGCCCCAAAGATGCGGACTAAATCTCTTTATATTTGTGCGGAACGTTCGTTGAGGCGTATTCCCCCAGGCAAGCAGTCCAGACAAGGCACCCGGTGTATGTGTGATGCAAAGTTCCGATACCCTAAGAATACCTAATCTATAGATACCTGCCGCTGCCGATGTTGCTGTTACATTGCATTAGACACTCGCATATGTAATTGGCTTTTGTCATGTACAGCATCATGCCTCATGACACGTTTGTACGAAGCAGACGTCTGGATCCAGCACAGCAGGGTGGTTAAGCAGCGTGGTTGTGAACTTATTCCCGCACAACTTGCTCATACTATTCTCTCTGCCCGCATTTCTGCGACCTGATACCGCTCTAAATGAAGCATTAGGTCGGCACACGCGCGGTTCCCCAGCGTGGGTAACGTCGGAGAGCCTCAACAGCAGGGGGAGGTTAGGTCTGAGATGCATAGAGGTCTCAACGCCATCACAGCACGCCGGCGCGCCCACGAAGTTTACTGAAGTGCGCTCGTTTTGGAGCCAAGTAGGTTGCTGTTTAGGACTACCACGTCTTAATGGTTTAGCACGGAGCGGATGCTGGATGGCTCCCAGATATCGCCGTCGCCTCTGGGCTTTACCGTAAGGGTCGTTTGTTTTTGTTGTCTTGGAATGTGGCCAGTTTTGTATATATAGCGCTTTAACGTTTGGCGCTGCGTGCGCGTGTTCCTGTTTTCCTAGCACTTGCTTGGCGCGTTGGAGTAGTCGCGTTGCGGGCGTTTTATCCGCGCATTACGGCGTTACTAAAGTCTTTAATGTTGCAGCACAGTCTTGCACTCTGTATGTGTAAGGAAAAGAGGGAACTTAAATAACTGCAGGAGAGTCGGGCAGCAGGCGAACTGCAGCCGTCCCACTTCTCACCGGATCTTCCCAATCCTGGTCGGCCTTCCATTCTTGTGTAGTGGATATAGGTAAAGCTACAAACATATTATAGGTAACTTTTATTTTGGCTGCAAGAGGAGCTGCTCAGACAATTACAAATTGCTGGCAAAAGGGCCAACTTCAAGGCTAGCTTTCGGGAGACCGAATGAAATTAAAATGGGTTTGCATGGTTGAGCTATCACTATTTGAAAATGATGTCATCGTGACGGATGGCAAGTCCGCAGCCGCCGCACGCCTCGACACATGTCGATGCTTGGTGCATACCTAATCTCACATAATCTATAGATAATGGATTGTATTCTTGATAGACTGGACATGACTGTTGGACTCTATCGGTACAGTTGCTGTGTGGCACCCCTAGATGAACATCCAGGACACTGGCAAAAGGGCGCCTGCAATCCAGCGACGTTGAATTCCATGAGCAAGCTTGACAGTATTTATAGGGGTTCATGAACTGCGCGTGATGTTTACAGGTTACAACTCCGTCCTTCCGGGCAGCATGGCGGTGACTGAGACCTCCTAATACCACAATTCCCAAGAGGTAAAGAGTTTGCGTCAATATCTGGATTGATATTCGTCGGGATAACACGTGTCGTTTATTCGACACCCTACCTATCGAGTCTCGACTACGAAAAGCATCAGTCCAAGTGGACATCTTGAAAAATTCAATTATAAATGGAGAATGAAATCCATTCATGTGGCATGTCCTGTCCCTGCACGTGCTTTCTATACATACGCATGAGTGCCGCGTGGGGCCACAGCCATTACGGCCTACGGCGCAGTACTCGCACAGGGAAATGCTCAAGCCATGAAGGAAAGGCGGCTTCCACAGGAACTCATTTGATAAATGTAAAAGCCACAACATTCTACAATTTTTCCTTTCCTTGACCTACTGCTGCAGCAGAGCGTCTGCGGAGCCGTAGAGGTTCTCAGTGTAGCCTAACATAGCCTAGGGGATGTTTCAACTTCCCATTCCTAGAATGCTATCTTTTTGGGCATCCCATAGTACACGAAAACGAACGCGCTCGGCAAAGTTGGAAAACAAGGGTTGGTTTTCTCCTAATCATTAACATACGCATCTTGGCCATTTCATTCTGTCGTTGCAATCATAGACATGTGGATCATGAGGTAGCAAACTACCTTCCCGGTGTCGTCCACTCCGCTAGCTTAACGACCTAGCTGCACGAGCGCTCCACGTGCGCTGTGGGTCACGGAACAAAACTCCAAGCCCAACGTTTCCAACTGGAGGACAAGCTCAAGCCACACCGATAACTTTGTAGACAATACAACGGTTACAGAAAGCCCTAGGATAAGGCGCTACAATAGAATTTTGCCACCTTGTACGGCAGCGGACGCTCCGTGGGAAGGAAGGGGCACCTGCTGCTTCATTGAAACTCAGCTGAGGCCACCGTTTCTGTCCTTTTTCCAAGCACAACAAGAAGAATGAATAAATGAATAAGACGCCCTTATTAACTGTGCTATCTCTCTGCTAGCACTCTTTTTGTTCCTGCAAAGTTATTCACCCGAAGGCGACTTAACCCCAGCTGGCACACCGGCACCATTGCTGAAAAAAGCCATGCATTCTGCCTCTGGCGATGACTTCCGATGCTTGGCTTCGAACGGGCTGGACTTGTCATCTTTGCGAGTATCCCAACAACTTGGACGCGGTGGATTTGCAACCTGCTGGCGTGCAACATACAATGGTCAGAATGTCGCACTCAAGGTTATGCTGCCGCGGCCAACGCTTGCGGCGAGAGTAGCCGCGCCTGCCGATGGGAGAGGTGCGCCCGAGGACGATCTTTACGAACGGATGTTCCTACGAGAGGCTCAAGTGACAAGCCAGCTTGAACATAGGTACGCTAATTCTTCTACCTGACTACGTAGGTGTGTTGTGCTTGGGGTCGTTATATATGGCACAACTGCGAGCACGGGACAAACGACCTATGCGCACCTGGGTGGGCGCTCAATGCTAGTACAAACGTACTCATACATGTTGATGATTAGGCGTGGCGTTTCATAGCTGTATGGAGAAACAAGGAAGGGCATGAGCCACGCAAGCCGCCATTGTTGGCAAATTATGCCAAACAGCGAAACGGACAGCGCAAGCATTCATATGAGCTCAGCATGTCATAAGACCTCAGAAACAATGAGGTGCTTACTGCAGTTGAAAGCACTGGTTGCTGTGGTGGGCGCACGACTTTCGAATCGCGGCATCCCCAGCCGGCCTGACAGGGTCTCACCACAAACCATTGTACAAATAGATCTGGACTAATATTAACACAACGTTCCAAGCAAAACATCCCTTTAGGACCCTCTAATGCGTCTGCTCCCACTTCTTGGGCGCCATGGCGCTTCTACTTGTACACGTGTTACATCCCCCAATGCGGTGCTACATTACCAAGATAAGCTACAAAAGCAAAGTATTACAGAAGCGATGCTGATATGCATTATGTAATGGGCAATATTTCCCTTCCATTTGGTTGAATTCCATCTGACCCTGGACGCCACGCACGCACAGGCACATTGTCCAGTGCTTTGGCGTGGCCCAGCTGCCTGCTGGCTTCGTCCCGAAGCAGCCGGAGCCATCACTGGCAATGGTGCTGGAACTGTGTGAGGTGGGTGCCTCAGGATGGGGGTCCGTGGCGTCGTGTTCGTCTCCTCCCTTCTTTGGATTGCACCGCGGGCTACTCCACAAGCACTATACACGAAGGCTCTCATTAAAATTGGAACTGAATTCAGGGCATGAGATCGTGACTGCCATTGCCCTGCGCCCGGTGCCCCTGCGCTCTGAGCTGCGAGCATGGCGGAAATCCTGCAACCGTTACAAAGCTCTGTCAGGCTACAAGCACACACACACAGACACACGCACTCGCACGTCCTCGCACGTCCTCGCACCAAGGCCGCACTGCACATGTGCAGCAGCAGCTCCGACTGACTGCCAGCTTTGTTGACCTTGGTCAAAGCTACCATCAGGTCATTTTCGGGTCTTGGGATAGCATTGGGCAGCGTAACCGTAGAGCGGAACCGCCAACTCGAACTTATTTCTTTTTCCCTCCTTTGGTTGCGTTGCTTTGTATGTCGTACAGTCTTACACATTAAAAGACTTAATCACGCGGGGAATGGCGGCTGGGCGGCGCGCATACAAGCTCAAGCAAGCCTATGCGTGGCTTACCCAGGTGCCGTTGTCGGGGTTGCAAAACCCACACACTGCTGCTATGTTACTATTGGGACCACAATTATCGCGTTTTGTTGATTACGTTGCATAGGTAGCTTGCGTCGCGACATAACGGGATTGGGCACACGGATTACAACTTGAAAACCTTTGGCCACCTGCGTGCACCCTTCGTTTTACCGGAACCTAGACCCGGGGACTCACGCCCCGTGCATGCACATGTATGTATGTATGTACTTACGTACCTACAGAATCATCAGGATCATCGTGTCGAGTCGCGTCACGTCTACGCGCGATCGTAGGCAGGCTGAAGGCCCCTTTCCTGCTTCTTGCAATAACAAAAAGTACCGTGCCGCTGCCTGCAATCCCCGTTGCAATCCCAGCTGCAATCCCCGCAACAACCTTGACACTGACCTGAAAAGAATACAGTCGTCCACGTTATTGCCCACACCGGCGCCGCGATGTGTGTTACCTTACCTTATTTTCCTGACAATTCGCAGATCGCCTCAGCATTGGCGCACCTTCACCGCCAAAAGTCGCCTATCATTCATCGTGACGTGAAGCCGGTACGTGGAAAAATAAACCCATAGTTGCGGAACTGTGCCTGACACCGCACTGTGTTTTTGCCGATCCTACTTAGAGGAGCCCTCAACCCACCCCCAACTACAGCAACCCCTGAAGAAATCCATACACAACTATCCTCTAAACCCCTGCACCCTTCGCTTCCCCAGGAAAATGTGCTCTTCAAGCGCGACCCCAGCACAGGCGAGCTCATCTGCAAGTTGTCAGACCTTGGGTTACATGCAGAGGTGTCCGAGGACCGTTCCGTGATGCTGCGCAAGTCCCTTAGGAGCACTTCCTCCTTGGCTGACATCTCCGGGCACGAAAAGGACCCCTCCCTTAGAATGTGCGTCAGCCGCTTCATAGATGGCAGTGTGCGCGGCGCGCGGGACGCAAGTGGCCGCAGCGGCACCCTCGGAGTCGTACCGTGTGCTGAGGGCTCACCGTTTTTGACGGTCTCCGTGGCGCCTAGCTTCTCCACTGCAGGCAGCCGAAACATCGGTGGGTGTCGAATTCAGCGGGGCCGCAATTGCTGGGTTTCAGGGGGGGCTCAGGGAATCAAAGATGCATTTGGCTGGGGGGTTCTGGCCACTGAGACGGGCAGTCGGGGATGTGAGTTTTGGAATGGTTCCTTGACTGGCCTTCTGGCTTTTCCTGGCTAGAAGCCCTGCAATGACTGCATTGTACTGCCTGCCGTACGTGCGAGTATGGTATTTGGTGGGCTTGTTCTGTTTGCATAATGGCTCGTAGAGAGCGTAATAAGAGGGGCTCAAACACCCAAACGGAGTAAAGCGGGACTTGGTGGATTTAGAGAAACAAATGGAATTGCGCCCCGCATTTCCTTGGTGGGTTGCTGCTTGCTGCCGCAGGAAAGAGAACCCAACTATCCATGCGGTACTTCAGTTCGACGCTGACGTCACCACATGCAGTGACGCCAATATCAAAGCCCCTGGACGTCATTCGACAGGAGTGCGACCCCAACTATGAGCCCAGGACAGCCGCCATCGTTGTCGACGGGTAAGGCACGCATTGTCGTACCGCATGTCTGCCTGGCCGATGCAGAAATGGACTCACTGACCCCTCTTCTTCTTCAAGCTCCCGGCGACCGTGCATGCACCGGATTTACGTTTTGTTTCCCGTAGACTAAATGGATTGCGTTACAGTGGATTGAAAACGGATTTGTTTATGTTTAAGTTTATGTTGGAATCTTAGGGTTCAAGTTACTTCGAACCAGCTCTGGCAGGAGGGGGAATGGGGCCCCGGGTCATGAGGGGAGAGGGGCAGTAACCACTCTCGCAAGTGCAAGCACCCACCATCTCCACGCTCTAAAAGGGCCCCTAATGATGCATACCTTGCTTGCTGTTAGCCTCAGGACCCTTGGGTCGCCCCCTGGCGCCACGTCACGCAGGATGGGGGTTGATACGTCACCTCCGGACCAAGGGTTCGCCACCGGGCGAGAGCTGGGCGTTGCACAACAACAGCACCAGCAGCAGCAAGAGCAGCAGCTGGTGCTGCAAAACCGCCAGCAGCGGCTGCAGCAGGTACATGCGGAAGGGGAGGAGGAGGGCGAGGTAGAGGATCCTTTGCTGCCGCTGCCGCCATTGCCGGCGTTCCCTCTGCCGCTTTCCTCACAGCCTATGGACGAAAAGGAAAGCTCCTTGAAACTGCAAGAGCAGCAATTACAAGAACTACAACAACTACAACGGCATCAACGGTCTTCAACGATAAATCCCTGTGGTGAGCAAGATGAATTTGCAACCTATTGATCGTTACTCTCGTTTATACTTGACACGGGTAAAAGCAACGGTAAAGCCAACGGTACCGGTAGAACAAGACATCCCATGTCTCACCCCAATGGACCTCGAACAGGCGATGCGGAGAAGCCTCCAACCGTCGGCGCCTCCGTAGTGGGTGAGACGTCGGTGCTACAGGCTGCCAGCGGGCCGGCGACGCCAGCCGCAGCAGCGGCGACGGCAGCGGCGGCAGCGGGGGCAGCGCTGCACGAGGCGGCATTGGCGCAGAGGAGTTTCAGTACATATAGCCACCATCCACCGCACAACGACGACAGCGAAACGCAGTCTACGCTTGCCTCCCCGTGCTCCCTGGGCCCTATGTCGCCGCTAGCGGCCGTCTCGGCGACGCTAAGCGTCCTGCTTAGGTGCGTGGGGATGGCAGACATACATACAGACAGACATGCAAATAGACATGCAAACAGACAGACAGATGTAATTTGAAAGAGCGAATAATTTTTAGGGCAAAGTGGGCGGCCCATTGGGGACCAACATCAGTATCACAGTTTGTTAGCCGCGGCTATGCACCTTTTGTTATGCGCATGCGCATGCACATGTGCGCGTTTGGGAGCGCATGAGACTCCACAATATGGACTGTGAGCAGCAAACGTGTCGTTCACTTCCCCATTCGTCATACTTTGCGTACTTTGTGTGATTGCAGTTGTAATCCGGATCTTGTGGAACCGGTTTCAGCTGCCAATCTGGCTGTTGGGTTACGTAATGTTGGATCTCTACTCCGGCAGCTGGGCAAGTCGGAACTGAAGCCGCTGCGACGGCACGAAATGGAGTGGGTGTACGGCTTAACGGGTGAGTGCGGATGTGTGGGTGGGTGGGATGGGATCCAGGCACTCGGGCGAATTTGTGTTGGTAATTTTGCGGTCCTTTCTTCGCATGTCTTGGAGTGCGGCTGTGGTTGGGGGGTAAGCGCATGTTCGTTGTACGCGCATGGATTTCGATTACCCGCTGTGGTATTAAATAGGATTTCGTTCCTCGCCGGCAACAGGTGCTTGGCCTGGATTGCGTCAGGATTATTAATACGTTTATCGTATTTGACCTAGATTGTTTTCCGTACTGACGTACCGTCGACATGCCGTACTTCATTCCTGCAGGCAAAGCTGGGTCTCTGATGTACATGGCGCCAGGTGGGTTGTTTAAAAGCAACCTGACAGCTTTATGATATTTTGGGAAATATGCTGGCATGTCTTGCTTTAGTTGCCCAGTCGACTGCTTGGTTAGTCGCTGCACGCTGGGTTGCTACATCGGTTGGTCGACTTTTGGTTAGAATTTTGGTTTTGTTGGTTTTAATCGTGTTTCCGCAACACAGACCTCAAACCTCAAATCGCAGCTTAACATGGTTCACTTTTAATCACCTTCCCATCCAAATCGACAGAAGTCTTTCAGCACCAGCCGTACAACGAGAAGTCCGACGTGTTTTCTTTTGGCGTACTGGCGTACGAGCTCCTGGCGTCCGAGATGCTTCTGATTAGCATCTTCAACACGGGGCGAGCCGCCAAGATGGGAATCCGTGATTCACATGGATATGCCGCTAAGGTAGGTGCTCTAAGTGCCCTGCTTCGTCTACTTACCTACCTACCTGCCTGTCTGTATGTCAGCATGTCTGTCTGTCTTTTTGCATGTGTCCTGTGATTGTTCCCGCGCGACAATGCGCCTGGGACGATCAGGTGGCGGGTTCATCATCTCAGGGGCGGTGCTCTGCGGCATGCTGTGAGCCACGGGAAGAATCCCGTGTAACCCAAATCGATGATGATCCCACTAATAATCACTAGCTCAGCTCATGTCCACAGCAACCTTCCAAACCCGCATGCATGCGTGCATGTGTGTCGTCTCTGCAGGTAGCGGAGGGCTTCCGACCGCCGCGAATACACGCGCTGCCCGATGCCGCCTGGTCCATCATCGAAAGATGCTGGCACAGGGATCCCGTACAGCGCCCCACTATGGCGCAAGTGCAGGCGGAATTCCAGAAACTGCTGGCGAAAGAAATTGAGGGCTTCGGGGGAGGTGGAGGTGGCGGGGCCATCAAGCGGACCGCCGGACACATCGCATCGCGTTTGGCATCGACGGGGGGACATGGGGCCGGCAGGCACGGCGGCGGTGGCGGCAGCTGCGGTGGCGGCGGTGCTGCCGCCGGCACCGCTGCCGCCGCCGGCACTAGTGGGGCTTCGAAAGGGGGACGCAAGGCACCTCGAGTTACTGTGGGCAGCGCAAACACGACGTCAGGGTGCCTGCCGGGGTGCATTATAAGCTAAACCTTGGAACAGTACGGCAAGCGTTACACGACAGCTCACTCTCGTGGTCGGCCGTCAACGCCCGTGTACAGCGGCGGCAGCTCACGTCGCCTGTTCAAGAAATACCGCGCTTCCGCAGCCGGAGCCACCCAACTGAAAATTGCGAACCGGTGAGGTGTCTGTCGATCGGGCGCAGCGAAAGGCGACAGGACAGCTGAAGCAGGCAGGGGGCTGATACGTGGGTTTTGTGTGGATGCGTGTGCACCGGGCTGTACGACGTTTGTACGGCAGCTCGTTGTACTGCGTCGGTTCATGTCGTCTGCTGTGAAAATGAGCAAAGAAAGCGACGTTTTTAGCCGCCGCATGCAGTCCCTGTACGCACGCGCTTTGTGGGAAATCGGGTTCGGGTGATTAAGTGATTGTTTGAGTCGTCGTCGTCGTCGTCTGGCGCCCACCCGCAGGCGCCCAAAGGCAGAAGGTTGTGCGCGTTTGCTCGCACATCATTAGTTTCGGGATTCGGGAACTCGGGTGTCGCATCCGGACAGTTGCATGGAACTAAGGCCACGGGAGATAAGAAAGTCACATCCGCCAAAGGCAAAAAATGAGTGAGGAAGCGATGAGGAAGCCGGTAGTCAGTGCTGTAGGCCAGCCCAGCGAGACATTCTCCCTTAGTATGCGCGCCTATTCGTAGTCCTACCAAAGTTTAGTAGTCACCGAGCACGGCCCGTGTCGTTTGTCGGATTGGTGGGTGGATGGTTGCTCCCCTAGCCGCCTTGCTCCAAAAATCAGTTTTAAGAATGCATCAATGGGAGCATTTGTAGCGATGACACATATGACACAAACCGTTATGTCAAAACCTGTGCCGTACAACCATTAGGCAGGCCGTATTGTACGACACGTTGCTATTACTACTGCTGGACTGGTGGGGCCGGCGTAATTTTTTATGGGATGGGCAGAGGTGTAGGACTTGGGGGTAGAAACCAGGCAACGGCGGGGAGGGTGTCCTATTCACGACAGCAAAAGTTTTGTCTTCGTTAAACACGTAATGTATGTCCACGATGCAGGATATTATAGTTTTGGCATGCATTTCGACACTTGATGCTTTTGAGTTGAGGTTTGGGAGTTGGTTGTGACATTCAGGCATGCAGGCGGCAGTAACTCCCTACCAGAAGGGTTGCTGGCGTTTTCCCTTAGCTAGGCGCTGACACACGTTACACGTAAGCACCCTTGCCTGTTGAGGCAATGGGCTCGAAGCATACCGTGAAAAATTGGATGGACAATAATTTTATTGCAACTGTCGGTCTTTGCGCGCGGACAGTTTTGCTTTTTAGTTTTCCCAAGTAGCGTCGCTAGTCACGGAAAAGAGGCAAGAGGAGAAGCCGGCGATGGAGCAAATCTTAGAACATGGGTCGTGGCGGTCCTCTGGCACGTCGCCGCAAGAGCGCGGCCAGTTCCTATCTATCTGACATCCGGATGCATGTGCCTAATTGGCAACACTTTTATTAGTTTTTTTGGTGTGCGTTGAGCCGATTTGGGCAAGGCAGGTGGGGTGCGTGATTGTGATTTTTCAACTTTCTGAATCAGTTCCGTGTCTTTGAAAAACTAATAACAATTACAAGAACGAATATTCCATGACAGGGGCAGGGCACTCAGCTACAACTGAAGTTGTAGCGGGACGTTCAAGCGATGCTTTTCAGTGCCCCCGTTCGAAGCGCGCTGATGGCCTGCGCACAAGTCGCACGGTCGAGATGCGCCTGGGGCCCGCAGGAAGTCTTTTTTATTCATTCTGAAAACATTGATGCACGCAGTGCTTCGTGATCTGGGTGCTTTAGGCATCACGTAATCCGTCCAGGTGCGCGCAGTACGGGTGTTCGACGGCTTCCGTACTCTTGCTGCAACCGCATGCCCGCCACTACAATGCCTTTCGTGGCATCCTTTCTCTTTTTCGCAACGGCTCCGTTGATGTCTGTGGTTCGTCTCAACTCCTCAGTTGAGCGGAACTTGCTTTCCGGGCCCATGAGCACAGAAAGCGCCGCTTCCACGTCAGCGCGGACTGGGTTTTAGTGTGTGCATCATCTAAGGGGTGCGAATTTTCAAACCCATGGCATGTAGTACGTAACCAGTAATATGCTTGTATGCATCTACGTATGTCTGTCTGTCTGTATCTACGTACCGGGAAATTCGGTTGCTGTGTTGGGCGGTGGGGGGCCACAGGGCGCGCAGGGCGCGGTTTAAATGTGTGGCATCTAACGGAGGAATTCGCAGGGATTCGCTAGATCGCCTCAATCCGGGATTTCTTTGACTCGTATAAATTTTTAGTTTGTTTTTGAAACTTGGTGGACCTGTTATCCGTGTGACCTAACGAGGATTGTGGACGAAACGCGGCCGTCCTTTAGGCGGGCGGGCGGCTCCCTGCATAACTACGCGCAAAGATGTGCGGCGTGCGTGTGCATGCCTTTAAGGATGTCCATAATGAGTTAATCAATAACTAGATCACCGCGAAAGATGATTATTATTGGCGAAGATAACGATGACGGCGAAGAAGCAAACTCTGGAACATCGACATATCGAAGTTGCATTCGTCTAGCGCGACAAAACTGAGTCCCTGTGAGTCGGTTGGAGGACGCGGCGCAGAACAGGCGCCCAAGGTGAAATGGCCAAGCCTTCCAGCTGCGAGGACGGCTGCTGCACCGCCGAGCTGGATGGTATATGTATGCGGCCGCGTCCGGCCGGCTGGTTATTACTTACTAATTGTTGTTTGTGCTCTCCACGAGACGGCGTTGTCGAACTGCGTGCAGTGCTGTGAAGTGATGTGCTGTGATGTGATGTGGTTGTTGGGGTTGCCTTCCCTATGTGATGTTGTGCTCCGTGCGTTGTTGCCGTCGTGCGTAACTTTGTTGGGACTGTGCTTTTGATCTGCTCTTTGTAGTGCTGCGCCATGCGGGTGTTGTTAATTTCAGCAATACGTGTCCAAGAACCTGAAAACAAACAGTGTGCGTGTGTGTATGTATGTATGTATGCATGTATGTATGTGCGTGGTGAATGCATGCGGTGTACGTTGCGTACATGTGTGTATGCATGTATGTATGCGTCGACCGCCTTACGTCGTCTCTGACCGGGCCTGACGCGGGCCCCGGGCGATATCAACCCTGATCTTACAGGAACCTTCGAAACTTCACCCAATGTGCGTGTGCTAAATTGCGTATGCGTGTCTACTGTTGCATGGTGTGTGGGGCGTGACTGCGTGCGTGCGTCGACCAGAAGCTTCTATGGATTGCGCAATTGCTGCGCGAATGCGCTTGCCGAGTTAGTTGTTCGTTTCGTATGTATGTATGCATGTTCGTTTGTTCTGCTTCGTTAGACCGTTACACGCCTACATGACTGGACGTGAGCTTCCTGTTGGCGTGCATAGATTTAGTTAGTTAGTTGGCCGATTGTGGCTTGGGGGATCCGGCAACAGGAAGCCCGCTGATGACATGATGGCCTCAGGAGTTCAATTAGGTACAGTGGATTAATGCACTGCTGGAAATTGCGAATAGATTAGTACGCAAGGATCATTAGTTTCGGGTCAGCGGTGCCAAGGGATGAATCGATATTTCGTTTGCATGTGCATGTGCATGTGCATGTGCATGTGCACGACTCGCGCCGGCGTCGTGTGAAGGGGACGCATGGAGAGCATCGGTGCATTTTATTGCATGGGTGCATGTTGGCGATGCAAGTAAAAATATTATGCGATGGCCTAATCAAGCTGCTGCTGTGCACGAATGCATGGCAATGCGTTATACTGCTTGCTGTTAGCTGGTATGTGCAACTCAATGTGTCCCGAACAACTGTTGTATCTCGTCCAGCTGGAAGCAGCGCCACGTGTACGAACAGCCAGCACGTACGCACACAAAACAAGCAAATCGTGCCAGCAGCAAACGCGTTTGGTTGCAATAAGGTTACGGCAAAGTGAGCTTACTTCATCATGCAGTTGTAGAGGTGGGTGGTAGTGGTGGTCATGAAGCCTAAAATCTGCCTTCGCTGGGAACCCCATCACGCCCATCACGCAATCCCAGGGGCCTGCCGTGAGCCGTCTTGAGGTGCAGCACACACACACACCCGCGCTGACCTTGCTGCCGACCCTTCACCCTCGGAGAGAAGTGACATCGCACACGCCCGACTGGGCTGATGCATCCGTAGCACCGTCAAGGACGGTCCAAAGCACGGAGCGTCGCCGCACATTGCGCGCCCCACACACTAGGACGTTTTCGCCCCTAAGCCCGGAAAATAGTCATATTCAAGTAAATTGGCTGTCCGGATTGGCTGTTTTTCCAATGGCCGGTCTTTTTACTTAACTTGGCTCGCAGGCCATACCGCCATTTTAGGACCGCGGCGAGAAGATGTGATCACCTCTTTAAGGTCTTCAACCCGATACAGTGGTACTGTTTTGTTGGTTGTGTCGGTTCGTTGCTGGTTGTGACGAATATACCGCTGATTAGCCGCTGCCTAACACGTGTGCATGTATGTGTATTACACCTGAAGTTGCTTGCCCTTTCTGCCCACTGCACGGCGACGCATCGTACTTCGTAGTCCGTACTTTCGTACAGCGCACAAATCGATATGTTTGGGGTCGCCACAGATGGCAGAGGGGTTGGCTATGTGTACAACTGGCCCGGCTCCAACAGCGCGCTGTTTAAGGGGGTTGTGTGCAACACAGCGGTCCCGCCGCCTTGATGACATTGCTTTCTCGTCGCCGGGGCCAAAAAACAATGACAGCCGCCGGCTATTATCATTCTGGTTAGTACCCGCACCCGCAGCGGCAGCAGCGGCAGGAGCAGCTGCGGCAGTGGCGGCAGGCAGGTAGATAGATTCGGGGTCCCCACATCGATCCATATGCCATAGCCCGCCACAAACGAATCTCCCCAAACGGCCCCAAGCTAGTGATGTACGCCTGGCAGTCGTGCCATCTGAGGTCCTGGCCGGCGTTTGCCGGCCACCATTCAGCGTCCTGGACACGCAAGGATGAGATGGTGAAACTTCATTAGGAATTTCCAAACGGAAGTTGCACGGAAAGTTTTTAGACAGAATACCTAAAAGAAGAACATTTGCTGCAAAAATCATCGGGAAGCAGCACGTAAGGGACGCAAAACAGGGGAAGCGTGAGAGCGAGGAAGGAGATTAGTCATGCGCTGCGCGTCCACAGGTCTCCTTAAGGCACGACAGTAGGCTTGCCGTAAAGCTGCGCGCAGCAACATGTATGATGCGCTTGTCGAGTCGATTTAACGCGTGTGAATGCGCTCAGGGCAGGATCTCCTATTTTCCTAAGCCTAGGCCCTCAAAAAGAACCCTTAGGGCTGGCCCACAAGCTGTCCATCATCAAAGCTGAGTCTTAAACAGCCCAGAAAGCAGGTCTTAAAATTTTGTTTGCATATGTGTGTATTATGATAGTGTTAACACACTTATGTTCATAAAAGGTGTTGGAAGGACAGACGGAGGTTTTTCTGTCCAGCCCTTGCGGAGGTGGGCGCGGAGAACTATAACTGGAACCCTATCTTCAGCCACTATATAGGGTGGTTCTGGTTGCTTTGGACTTTAGATGTTCAAAGCCCTATCTGTTGGCGACGTGTTGTAGGAGTAGGGCGACGGACACTGACTGACTGTGGCGTCAGCGCTGGCATGAGCCTTTTTACATTGGCACGCCTGCACCACCGCAACCTACTGATACTATCATTTAATTCAAAGCTTCTGAATTTCGCAACCATCGAAACGGGCCAGTAACCGAAATGGCGCCACGTGCGCGATAGATGTACGACGCAATAACAAAGTCCTGCAAAGAAAAGGTCTGTGACAGCTTGCTGTCTGGCTGTAGGTATAATTTGGGTATGTTAACAATGAGATTCTGCTATTTGAAGCTTCTAGGAGCATACGGTTGACGCAAGCTAAATCTGTTGCGCCAAGCTAGGTCTGCCCTAAGCGCATAACGCCTTTAAAAGTCCGTTGCTATAGACAATTGTAGTGCATACGGTGAAAGTTATGGCTAATGATGATGGTGAATTGCCACAAAAGCTGGATTTGCGAAACTTGCAAGTCCGGGAACTAATCGGAGAGTCTAGCTCCGCTACCTTTTGGAGAACCACTTACAACGGACAAGATGTAGCTCTGAAAATCTTCAAATCTCTCACCTCAAAGTCTAAATCGTTGACTGTCAAACCTAGCCCAGCTACGGCGGCGAATGGGTCCAGCAAACAGCCTCCTGAAGCGGATCTTCCAGAGAGGATCTTCCTCAGAGAGGCAGAAATCACGATGCAGCTGGAGCACACGTAAGTATCTTCCGGGTCGCTAGGGCCATAGGTACAGGTACAGGTGCACCAGATGATGCGAAGCTAGGGTGGAACAAGATTGGACGCTCGAACAGGCTCATGTGGCTTGCGGGTTTCATTGCTTTTGGTCATCTTAAATTTACTTACGCAACCGCATCTCCACCAGCCTACCACTTGCGTGTTCCTCCACCCATTTCCCTTCCTGTGCGCTTGCCATACGTACCCTCATACCTATGCGCGGTCACCTCCTTATGCCAAAATACGGATGCAACTCAAATGGACCCCCTCTATGTCACGGGGATCTGGAAAATCGCTAGATTATCTTGTTATTGTTACGTTTCCTATGATCACCGGACCAACGTCACCTCGCACCAGCGTTTCTCTATCCTCTGCCTCCTTCTGCAAATGCATTTTCCCCACCGATTGCCTAAACAGGAACATTGTACGCTGCTTCGGCGTGACGCAGCTTCCCGGCGGTTTCTTGCCTAACCAGGGCGCACCGGCGTTGGCAGTCGGTATGGAGCTGTGCGAGGTGAGGTCCGGCAGTGCGAGGTACTGACTGCAATCAATGACGAGAAGGATGAAGGATACGTGGATGGGACATCTGGCGTTTAAATACCTGACATTCTTTTTGCCGTACGGTGCCGTGCACGCTTTTCCTCGTTACGTGCCCGGTTGGAGGACCATGTGGCTAACGATAAGCTTTCGCCGAAAATCGTTTCCCTTGTGCCGTACATCGCGTCGTACATGTAATGTGCCATACCCGTACAGCGGCAGACGCTCAAGGAGCTCATCACGCGGAGCATGGCAACGGGCAAGCGCGTGTACAAGACGGCCGATGCGTATCGATGGCTTGTTCAGGCAAGTGTGCGTGCGCATATGTACGCATATGTGCAAGTTTGTGGATGTACTTGTGCACTTGTGCTTCAATGAGTTATGCGACGAGGACAAAGTGTTGGAGATGGCATATGGGCAAATATATGCACATGTGCATATGTATGTATGTTGTTACAGGGTGGTTAACTTCGCCAGCGGCCCCCTTTCCCGGGGCAGTCCCTGCTCTCCCCTGCTAGAGGGGCACCCTAATCCGTCACCCCATCCGACTTCAGAATGTATTCGTTGGGTTCGGCAACTCACCACCAGCATCCAACCAAATCTAGCGGATCAACGGCGCATCAACTTAGTTCCTGGTCAGCTCGCAAGTTGATATTATCACGTCCTACACCGTCCATATGATGGGGGGCCACCTCCCATTTCATCACTCCTCAAACACCCGAGGAGCTGGCAGGCGGATTTGAACCCGGGTCGACTGGATCGATTGGGAGCAGAAGTCAGGCCTTAACTTCTGCCAGCCGCCTGCCTATGTATGTATGTATGTATGTATGCGTGTGCGCGTTACGACGCCGGGCGCACACATGCACGCGACGCGCGAGGGCATGCATGCGCAGCTGTCGTACGTCTTGTAAATAAAGCAATGAAGAGAAACTGATACCGGCCCCCACCTCAAACACCAGGGACCTGTGCTCGTGTATTCCATCCCCAGCAGCCGCCCACCGACGCCAAAAAAAAAGACGTGGTTTAGCGTTCCGCTCTGCCTGGGATCGTGCCCCAGATTTAATGCGTTCCCCTATTTTTTCCCACCTTTCCACCTCCTAAGTCCTTCCAACCAATACACTCCTCGCAACTGACGTACGTGGCGATCGTACTCTCCTGCCGGATGCCGTACAGTTGTCCTCTGCTCTGGCCTACCTTCATGAACGGAAGCCGCCAATCATCCATCGAGATATCCGGGTGGTAAGAAACGTTCCTCACAATATTTACTAGTCAAATTTGCAATGCGCGTACTGCACTGTCGTACTGCGCAGCTGTCGGCCATCCACTGAACCAGCAGCGCCCGATATCTCACCTCGCGGGTGGTAGGTGAGGTGTTGGTTGCCGATAACATGGTGGTGCATTTCGCCGTGTGTGTGCATGTGTACGGCAACTGATGATCGGTGGTACGACATGTGCACGGCAACCGGCTATGTGTAAAACAGCCCTTGTTTTGTGCTTTCCTACGTGTCTCATCTCCTCGTTGCTTTCCTGGTGCGGCTGGCTGTTAGCGATCTCAACTTACGTTGAGATCTCTTATCTCCCGAATATATAATAACCTGCAGGACGGCGTCTTGCTGAAGCGGTCATGCAGCAGCGGCAGCGGCGCCGGTGTCGCAAGCGGCATGAGTTGCAAGTTGTCGGACTTTGGGCTCCACGCCATACTGTACGAGGATCGTTCCAATGCGTTGCGGCGGCGCGCGTTCACCCAGACCCACATCAACCCACTTGCGGACTCCTCCACCTCCAGCGGCAGGCAGTACTTCGCCGGGGAGGGCGGAGATGAGAGCCTGAGTGCTAGTAGTATGTCAGAGGTGAGGTGAGGCTGACTTGTGTATATATGTAACTGCGTATATATGTATGTAAGTTTATACATATACATGTACATGCATATATATGCATATGTGTGAGAGAGAGAGGGGGGAAAGAGCGAGAGAAGTGGGGGCTGTGCCTGTGGGTGCTTGTGGGTGCTAGGCAAATGATGAGCTGTCGGAAGAAGGAGGGCGAACCAATGGTGGATCTGAATTGCTAGATGCAAAGGTGCAAATAAGGAAGCAAGGCAATAAAAAGAAGTGGTGCCGGATGGTTATTGGAAGTTGAGTGTTTACATTAGTAGAGGCTGCCCTTTATTGCAACTTCTGCTGTACGACATACGGCAATCTGGTTCGGTCACTGTGCAGGCGTCACGAGGACGAGCGACGGCCGCGGCAGCGAGAAAGGAGCAGGCAACAGCGCCAACAGGCCAGAGCCCTTCGGCATCGGCTGGCGAGCCCACGTCGCCAGACAAGTCACGGTATGTTACTGCTGCTAATCCTGCACGACCCCTTACCGCTTACAAAATTTCATATAAAATTTGAACATGTGGATAGGAATTAACGTAACGGGATCAAATTCAGATGAACAAACAAATTCGGAATGGGTTCGAATGTATTTCATGGGTTTGAACTCAAACCTACGCCAATACGTGAGCTCGGATGAGCGAACAAAACAGAACAAATTCAGTAATGGATTATAATAATGATATAAGGATTGAATCTTGTTACAGTGGACCCAAAAGTATTGCCAATACGCATACCGCGCGTGTTCACGGGCGACATATTTTTTTTACTTCTTGCGCAGCCGAGATGGGCCAAAATTGCAGGGGGCTGCTGTCGGAGGCGAAACATGCTCCGCTACCGCCACTTCGGCGGCACCTGGTGGGCTAGGCACTGTGGCGAGCCTGCTTAGGCAACTGGGGTTGTCCGAGATCAAGCCGCTTAGCCCGGTTGAAGTGGAGTGGGTCTATAGCCTACCCGGTAAGGAAAGCTGAAGTAGCTGCGCGATTTGTAAATTTGTGGACTGCGGCGAGCGAGATCACCGGCTAATCGGCTTTGAGGCTTATGATATATTTTGCACCGCTTGACCTAATCTTCCAATCTAACCAATCTAACCAATCACGGAGCCTGGCACCGCAGGCTCTTGCGTTCATAGGACAGCGACAGCAAAAGAGAAGACCAAGCCTGTTTCCTTGTTTTAAAAAGCATCTTAACGTGTTGCGCATAAGAACATTTACATTTTTTGTTTGTAGTGAGAAAATCAGCACGTTCGCTCTAACGGATGTTATGCACACTTGCGTATTAATCGTCCTCCCTTTTTTCCTTACAAACCCATTTCCTGGCCGCGGTTGTGTTTCTGCTTGTGTGCTGCCGCCCTTACTGAATACTGCTCCAGGGAAGGCCAAGTCCTTTCTGTACATGGCGCCGGGTGAGCGCGCCGTTGCGTAGGAGTTGTTGTATTGTGCATGGATTGCACTGTACGACATGTGAGGGACACGGCCTGGGCCGTCTATCTTGTGTATTCAGGTGAAGCGGGAACGAAAATTCCCCTTAGGTAGCGCAGTTCTCGAAAATACTTAAACCCCCATTTTACCTTCTTCCCTGTTGTTTATTTTATAAAGATATGTGTGTATACATTCGGGCATTCTTGCGCACGTTGTATACGACCTTCGCAGAGGTGTACAACAACCTGCCGTACAGCGACCGTTCTGACGTCTTCGCTTTTGGCGTGCTGGCGTATGAGGTGCTGGCTGGGGAGGTGCTCTCCATCAGTGTGTTCAGTACTGCAAAGGCCGAGAAGATGGGGATCTCGGGACCTCATGGCTACGCGGCAGCGGTGGGTGGATGGGTGGGTGGATGGGGAAAAACGGGCAGAAGGCGGCAGAGACCCCCAATGATAGCAAAAAGGGTAAACCCTAAACCCTATTTAGCAGCGGCACGGAGGCTGTTACCTTGCGTGGCACTGGGAAGACGCGTTCAGCAGCATCCATCCAGCGCCGCCCGCCAATTTCTGTGTGTACATGTTTACGGCAGGTGGCGAAGGGCTACCGTCCCGCCCGCATTCGAGCCATCCCCGACGCCGCGTGGAACCTAATAGAGACCTGCTGGCATCCAGACCCCGCACAACGACCCGCCATGTCGCAAGTCCTAGCGGAGCTTCAGGTTTTGCTAGAGAAGGAGATGGAGGAAGCCGCAGGCGGCGGCGGCAGCGGCAGCGGCAGCTACCCTTGGGCCAACTCAGGGATGAGCTCAGGGAAGGGATCCCGGTCGGCGCCGGCAAGGGCCCCGCGGCGGTCCGCTGTGGACGGCCCCTCTCCTAGCTGTACAGACCAATGCGTCATCAGCTAGGAAAGCTGGGGAGCCCCAGCTGCTGCAGGCTTCTCTTCTTGTTTCGGGCCTTACCTTGGTGCGACAGGCCGGACCGGATTTATAGCTCATGTCGGTTGCTAAGTGCCTAAGTGGTGGCCCGGCATTTCAACAAGTGGGGTTTATTTTTTGAGGGTTCGGCTACCTTACCTGTTTCGCAATACTCGTTTCCTGGCTTGTGGCTCTTGGGTATGGGGGATATACGCACAAAGGAATGCATGCGTATGATGCTTGAAAGCTGGGTGATTGGCTGGGGAAGCTTTGGAAGTTTGATTTGAAAATTGACGAAGAGCGCGGCCGAGAGGTAATTACCGAGGGTAATTACGCTTTTGAAGTGTTACTGAGTGTATGTTGTTGAAGTTGGTTCCTGCTGGGGTACAGCCGTGCGAGCTCATGACGTTATGGTAGACGCCGCGATGCATGACACACCCAAGCGCTACTTCATATATACGACTCGCAATCTCTGCGAGAATGGCCGTCGTTGTCACCACGGTCTTTCCGTTTTTGCGGTTGCTGTTGTTGTCGTTGCGAATTTGCAGCTGTTGCGAGAGTTTTTTTCCGGGGCACGGGGCCTTCATCCGCACTGCACACGCGCACGAGATAGAGCGCTGATGCGGGAGATGCGAGAGCAGGCGGCGAAAAGCCTGCTCTGTTTTTTCACCACCATTCATTCACCTCCTAATGCATCATGAGACGAGAGGACGACGAGACACGCCCTATATGGCCCTGCAAAGAAGCCAGAACGGCTTGAGAGTACCTTTTAAGGCCGTTGAACGCATCATCGTCATAGGTGTGATTGTTTGGACCTGGCCGTGACTTTGACCGAGCCTGTTGACTGTGCCCATTCTCCTGACAATAGCCACTCCTATGCCACTCTGTCATGGACCCGGAACCGGACTATTGCAGTGCGCTTTTACTGCAATTTACGCAACCGCGGGCGAAGGTGGAGTTTGATCCGTGTGTGTGTGTGTCTGGAGACTATGAGAGGGACTTCGAGCGGCTTCGAGACGATGGTCCGACCACAAACAAGGGGGGCCAAATACCAGTTAGGTGGTTTCCAATGTTGCCCTTGGGCCATAAGCCCCTTGGCAGGGAGAAAGCGCCTTCGCGCATTTCCGTACAATTCGTGAGTAGGAAAGGGTTGCAGGTCTTAACTTTTATTCGCGATTTTTTTCCTTCAGGTTTTGGGGCTGAAGCTAGGGCTGTTGCTGAAGGTTTAGGAAGGGGTGTTGTTGCTGCCAAGAAACAGAACGGAGCTGCGACATACCGCATCACTTGATGATGTACGACATGATACTTATATGTACGACATGATACATGTCATGCATGCCACTTTATGCATCGAGCCACGTGAAACCCGTGTAACAGTAGGTGCCATACGCGCATAGCACATATCGGTGCACGATAGGCCGATTTGCAAAAATCCAAACAGGTGAACACCTCTCTCCAAGCGTCGCAACGGCGCCATGCGAAGCAACTGTTGCCCCTTGCATTGCATCCCGAGAAAGTGAATGAGGAGCGGATCAATCACCTTTCCATAAAGCTCTTAGTGCAATGCCAATGAATCTGCAATTCACCAGCGAAATAGTCAAATAGCATTTGCACGACACGGTGGAACGGCAGAAGAAGTACTGCCATCGCAAGCACCACGCGCACACAGTCCGCGGCCGGACAGACTCAGAATGACATGCGTTACTTTGATCTAATGCGCCGAGCTGTACCTGGGGCGTCATGCCGGAGCAGCTCAATTCTGCCCAACTAATGCCAGTCGGTGCTCACGGTGCGCGTCAAGCCATTGACCAGACTCATGGCTGGTCTGCTTTTCCGGTCGCAATTCCTAGCGTCCCTACGTATCTTCTCCCCCTTCCGCACTTCATAATCGCCCCAAACAACAACAGCTTAACCCAACAGCGTTGCGGTTGACTCTTGACAATAGCATGTTTTCAGCGAGAACGCAACATTTCGTGCGTGTTCGTACATGCATCAAAGCTGGAGAGCAAACACCGGTGATGCCGCTGCGAACAATAGCCGGCACACAAACACAAATGAGACGTAGGCATGTGCGCTATAACTGTGTTCGGTGCGCCGAAAAAAACACGACAATTCTCGTCACGTCGCTATCGCCCTGACTAGCCCTGGTGGTGTCGAACATGTAAAGGTAGGTTGTTGACAACGTTGCGTTCTAGTAGGGCGGAGGGAGAGGCGGCGCCACCAGCCGCAGTGACTTCCCTGCCTGCCTGCCTGCCCCGCAGGAAGCCGCCGCCCGGCGTGGTGCTTGGGCGCCCATCCCCTCGCCAGCCCTTGATCCAAAAGAGTCAGGAAAGTGTCCAAGCAAGTAAGAACGAGTGCAAGGTTCAGGATACCAGGAAAAACGATTCGTGTGATTGAGTCACGGGTGGCTAAATCCCCACGTCAAGTCCAGGTCGCCAACGCCAAGCCCACCAGGAAAAGGTGTCCACGCATACGCATCAACGCAGGTGGTGTAGGGGAGGGCCCGGGGAAAAAACGCGAAAACAGAGGGACAACACAAGGCTCCCTGGCTTGGCAGTAAGAAAGACATGCAACACAGAGGAAACCCATGCACGAGTGCACGTGTGCACATGCAGACGCACACAAAACATATGCACACGCACATGCATACGCACACAAAACACACACGCACACACAGACGCGAGGGACTCGGTTATGTAGGGGAAAACCCCACACACGCCACGGGCGCGCCATGCTTGATTTCGCTTCGTTGCTGAAGGATAAAAACTTCCCCATTCGTTCGCAGGAACTGTTTGTTGGCTTGTCCACCACCAGCACGACCTGCAACACCAGCGCCAAAAGCGCGTGCCTAAGTATTCCGGCCGGGCCCAAGCACCATGTGAGCGGCCCTCCAGCCATGACAACACACATACATACGGCCGCAGTGCTCGCCCACGCCCACGCTTAATGTGCATTCCTCCCTCTTTACGACCGCATTCATGGACGCCTGGCCCACCCATGCAAATGCACTGGCTCTTAGCTAACAACTGAACCAATCAGTTTCACGCTGCGTTTCCTACCGCGAATAGGACGAATTTCAGTAACATCATTTTAACACTCGGAGAATTGGTTAGTACATGAGACGCGGCCGTTACGCGAAGAAGAACTTTGTGCGACATACCCAGCGACGGGTGTCTGGGTATTCGGATATCGCCCCCCAAAATTTGTACATTCCGGGTACAGGCCCCATATACCGATTGGCTAACCGCCTGAGGAAACAGGCTCTCATCCCCTTGGTTGATTCACAATTTGGATGTTAAAAAACTTGACGTGCACTCGAATCTTCACCACAATGGAAGGCATTCAAAAGGTCTCGAACAGAGGGTCGAGTCGTCTGTTGGGTTTTCTATCGCCGCATGCGCGAGAGCCAAGTGTGAAAATCGGGTCGTCATGGCCTCCTTGCACGGCCTAGACGGGCATAAGGCCCATGTCGAAAAAGCGCTAGTGCCAAGCAGCTCTGCTGGTGCTGGTGTTGGTGCTGGTGTTGGAGTTCCCTCCGCGGCCGGAAGGGACCGCTCCACGGCCGGACTGCTGTCTGGAGCCGCCACCGCCACCGCCACCGCCACCGCCACCTCGCTCCCCGACAGCCCCCTGTCCTCCCGTTGCCTCAGCACCGCCGCCGCCACCCACACCTCCACCAGCGCTGGCCCTGCTGCCCCGACCGCCGGCCTCGGGTGACCGCCCTGCGCCAAACACCGCAGCCGCCCTGGCGCTGTACAGCGGGTTGATGGCGGCGCCTCCGCCGCTGACGTCTACGGCCGTAGCAGCGGCGGCTGCGGCTGCGGGGCCAGTCCCAAAAATTCCCCTGGCTACGTGCCCGGCTTCGTAGCTGGGGCGGCGGCGGCTAGTCGCAGAGCCCCACGTCGGCAGACCGCCGGCCTCCTTGGATGCGCGGAGCTGCGGCTGCGGGTGCTTGCTGGCGGCCGCGGCAGCCGCACTCAGCTCGGCGTGACTGGGGACCGATGGGGTGTTCACGTACGGTCTCGCGCTGGCGCTCCGTGAGACGTCGATGGACCGCCGCTGCTTCGGGATCGCAGGGCCTGCGCCACGCGTGGTGGAAGCCCCAGCGGCGCCGTACGGCTGCGAGAAGGCCCCAGCGGCTGCGGCAGGGCCCAATGGCTCGGAAAGAGCCGAGGACGGCGTCCAGGTGTTCGTCTCTTGCAGCGGTGGTGGCGGCAGCGGCGGCGGCGTGTAGACGCCGTCCTGACCCGCGCCTGCAAGGGAAATGGCGGGAGTCGGTGTGGGTGCAGACATGGTCGACCCGCCGGCCGACATCGGCGTCCGGAAATACTCCGATCCCAGACCGAATGGTGACATGTTGCTCGTGGTCGTGGTGGTGACGGTGACGGCGGATGCATTGCTGATGGCGGAAGATGGCTCCCGGAGAAAATCCTGGATCTTGATTTGGCTCTGAGGGTCGACAGAGGAGGGGGTGGTCAACGTGCTAGCAGCGGCGGTGCTGCCGCGGCTGCCGGGATTACCGAGGCACGCTGCCATCGGAGTGCTAGCTGGAGAGACGCCCGGTGACCGCGGCGAAGCCACTGCCACCGCCGCCGCCGCCGTTGTCGTTGCCGCGGACGCGGAAGCGCTGCGCTGCAGACCTGGCACCCTGGCAGAGGAGGAGCCCTTGCGTCGCGGTGAGCGTTGATGCTGTTGCAGGTGCGGAGGCGACTGGCGCATGGGGGTAGCGGCGGCCGGAACAGCCGGGGCCACCGTCACCGGCGGACGTGTGGGGATATTAGAGTAATGGTGGTTTGAACCAGGCTGGCGGCCCCTGATGGATTGCTGCTGCTGCATTTCCTGCGGTTGCTTCGGTTGATGCGTTTGCTGCTGCGGCTGCTGCAGGGGCTGCTGCAGGGGCAGCACTCCAGGATGTGGCTGCGTGGAGTTGCCCTGGCCTGGGCCTGGGCTCGGGCTCGGGCCGGAGTACCCGGCACTGTGGGCGGTGGCCAGCCTTGGGGACGTAGCCAGGCTGATGGAGCTGGCATTGCTACATGCGCTGGGACTCGAGATTCCAGGCTGGGAACGGCTCGGGCTCAGACCTGCACCGAGGCCGATGTGGAAGAAATCCGTGAGCGGCAGCTGCGGCGATGCGGCCGTGTTGAGGCCGCGGATGATGGCACCTGACGCGGTATCTATGGAGGGCTGGCGCGGCATCGGCGAGTGCAGAGATGCGTTCAGTTGCGGGTCGTCGGCCTGCAGCGTGGGTGGCAGCGGCCTGTGTGGCGACGGACCAGGGGCAGCAGAACTACTGGGGACATGCGAGCGCGGCGGCAAGGTAGACAGGCCGTTGGCAAAGCAACGGTTCGTCGAAGCAGGAGAGTCGAAGGTCAGCTCTGAGTCCTTTTTAGTTTGGGGTGAGGTAGCTCGGTCTGGCGCTTGCGAGTCGCTAACTCGGCAGCTGCCGCCCGCTGATGTCGCTGCCGCTGCCGCCGTACACGTCATCGTCGTCGTCATCGCCGCGGCGGCGGCGCCAGCCACTCGTTCTGTTGTTGCGGGAGCCTTGCCAGCATCCTTGACGATCCCAAGCTCGGTCGCCGTCGCCGCGGCGCCGTACGCCTCCAGCCCCGACCAGCCGCCGGTCGCAAGCATGAGGGCGACGCCGCCACGCACGCTGATCTCTGATGCAGATGTCACATTGCTGGGACGGCTTTCGGCGCCAAAAGAGCCGCTACACTTCGCCGCCAGCGGCGGCGAAAATGTACTGCAGGTTGCCGCGGCAGGAGCGGCAGCGGCGGAGGCGGCGGCGCCGATGCCCTTGTCAATTGCACGGAATGAGACTGAAGCTGATGAGCTTAGACCAGCCATCTGAGGCGACGGAGGTGACCTGCCCTGTTTGCCGTCGGCGTCTTCCTCGCCACCGTCACCGTGTGCTTCCCGTACAGCGCGGCGAATATCTGCCAGCGCATTTACGTTAACTAAATACGACAACGTCGGCAGCTGCTCGCCGTCGACGCCACTGCCACCGCCGCCACCATCCTGACTCACATTCGACGCGTTTCCTAACGTCCTCTCCGTCGCCGCCACCGACCGCGCTCCTTCCCCAGCTTCCTCTGCAACAGCCTGGGCCCTGGCACCGATGCCATTGCTACTCGCATCGCCGCCAGGTTGGCCGACAACGCCGCTCGCGGTCCCGGCGGCAGGCGAGCTCCGCTCTCCTTGCTGGCGTGGACTGCATTCCGCGGGTGATGTCGACTGCGGCTGCGGCTGCGACTGCGCCGGAGACACAACCGAGGTGGCAGGCGACGCTGTCTTGCTGGACACCGTGCTGGGTGTGCCAAGGAAGCGCGGGGCGAAGGAGCCGCCCGCGGCCATTGCAGTCAGCTCTGAAGAGGACGTCCGGTTGCCCTGTGGCGACGTGCCGCCTCCTTCCGTGACGTTGGGGCTACTGCCGACGCGCCAAAGCAGCCGTGCGTCCGGCGCGGCAGCGGCGATGCCGGGGCGGCTACCTGGCCCCGTGGGAGGACTGACCATTGTGGACCGCGGCGAGGCCAGGTCAGACGTCTCGTCCCAAAACTCGGAGAGGTTCGAGGGCGTTGGCGAGTGAAGCCCGAACGCGGGGTTAGTGTGGTGCCGAATGGAGGGAGCACCCTGGCGCCCCGCGGAGCTCTTCGTGTCACCTCCTGAGGTGGCCATGGTACCAGCGGGGTTGGGGTAGCAGGCGCTGTCATTGTCGCCGTCCGTGAGCCCCGAAAATGATAGCCGGCTGGTGTTGCCGTGGGGGCTGTCCAGCGTGAAGGGCCGCGGGCCGCCGTCATCTGTGACCCCTGGGTCAATGTAGCTGTCGTCCTCAGCTGCCGCTGCTGCCCCAGCGACCCCGTCCTCCTCCTCCACCTCCTCGGCTTCTCCAGCAGGCGCCTCCTCCTCATCCCCCTCTTCCTCCTCCTCAGCCAACGGGGGACTTAGCTGCGCTGCCTCTGTTGCCGCAACCGCCTCCGCCGCCGTCGTCGCCAGCGACGACGACCGTCCCGTTGACAACGCGCCCCAGCTTCGCCCGTTTCGCGCCGATGGAACCGGCAGAGGCTTGACCTCTAAACCCCATTGCCTCACATCAAGAAGCGACAAGAGCAGCGCCTGCGCGCCCTCTGCCCCCGGCACGAAACCCGGCACGCTGCCGAGCCCCTCCATCTCCTCGGCGGCGGCAAGTGCTGCAGGACCCTTGCCGCCACCGGCAGCATTGCGACGACGACTGCATGCCGCACCGGAGGGCGAATTCAGCCCGTCCGGCGACGCCGACGCCGCCGTCCCGGCGGTGGCGGCCGCCGCGGCGGCAGATGCCACCGCGGCGCTGCTGCCGCCGTGCAGGATTGGATGCACGAAGCAGCCGGCCAGGCCACGCCCACCCTCCAAAGTAGCCT